CTCTCTCTCTCTCTCTCTCTCTCTCTCTCTCTCTCACCTGTCATTCCGTCGTCTCCAGTCAGCAAGAAAGTCCTAAAGATGCAAGCACTAGGCTCAATAAAATCTTCGATAAAAGAGAACAAAAAAATTATCGCTGTAATTATCAATAAAAAATATTCGTCTAGCAAAGCAAGAAAGTTTTTGCGTGTCTTGCATGCACAACTGCCAAGTTAAAGATGCCCAGCAATAAGTACTTGAAGGAGGTAACGATGATTAATGATCATAATTCGTGAGAGGCATATGGATCATACTAGTTTTGGTATGAAATTATATATTTATAAAATTATCAGGGATATACTGTACGTATTATCAGCTTGAAAACACTGAGTTATTTTATCACGATAGCAGCAGTGGATGGGTGCGCGCGCAACATCAACCTGTACTGAAATGATTCAGTGATTAGAAACTATAACTGGAAACAGCGTTACAGTGCTCGTATGAGAAGTGATATTATCAAAGAGTTTGAGGATGATATGATTTTTTAATGAATTATGTGAATCCTGTGTTAAATGTTAGTGCAACTTATCGAAGAGATGTTGACTCTGATTGGTGGACTTGTCATTATCTACTTCCTCTACGTTTTCGTCACGAAGAAAAATGGTAATGATCGACTCGTGACATTTCTACACTTATCTTGTACGCGTATCTACACTATTGATCATATCGATTATACGATTCGGATAATGTAAATCAAAATGATATACGGACGACCGGTTTTGATTTCCCTAGTGACCTGCTTTGCCTTGACTTCTGCTTACCCGTCTGTACATACACACGTGTAATATTATACGTACGGTATGTCCTCACGTTCTGAAAGATTTGTCAAAGATTTTAATACCCGGCTCGAGTGGATTGGAAAGCCTCTTAAATTTTGAGATGTTTGAAAACAATTTTCAAAAATCCTATTCGAGTCTATTGCTATATTATGCTTACGGATGAAACTTGAATGAGAGAGGGCTATTTTATTAGGTTGACATTAAGAGAACCCACTCCCGTGTATGTATTGAGAAAGTTTTTTTTTTTTTCTATACTTAAAATACAATTTGCACTTTTGGGCTAACGTATTCTGGGTGAAAGGAAAGATCGGAATTTAAAATATTCAATAAAATCAAAATGCGAGACTCGTTTGTCAAATTTCACGTGTTAACTGATCGACATATCGATACTTTCTACTTGAAGATATTAAAGGACATTTTATTGCATGAATTTTGGACTTTCGAAAAATAAAAAAATTTTACGCACTTCGGAGTAATTCAGAATATAAGAAACAGGGGATTGTCTTGTTAAACTAAAAAAAAAAACCGCGGCAATTACGTTGATTGCGAAACAGCTAATTATCATCTAGCTGACGGACGGTGAGACAATTTTTCCGACTGTAATAACTCGTTTTGGAATTGCCAAATTATATACGTTTCTTATTTCATCCTCATGAACTCACCAAACAACTCCCTGTAAACAGTCAACTGTAATAACGAAAGTCTTGCAAAATGTACCTGCAACAGATACACAGCTACACGTAAATCTATGTGAATTTGCATACTGATGATTTTCAAGTAAAAAAAAACTCACCCGCGTACAGTCACCTCTTATCTATTTTCTTACAACATACACGCAATTGTAAATTCCAGGACACACAGGAATTCCAAGGATTATTAACGATTCAGGAAAGTCGTTGGATTACCTTCAGACATAAAGTTCTATTAAAAAGACGCAAACCTATCGTGCTAGACACGTTTGTACATCATTTTCAAAAGCCTCGTACCAAAGAATAAAACGATTTCCGTGTTTGAAATTAATTGACAGATTCACATCGATAATCGCTAGCGACGATAGTAGTGAATACCTGTCCGAACACAAGCACGGCCTTGACCTTCTACCTTTAACTGTGAGATCAGGCTTAGAAAGCTCAGAACCTCGGGTTATCGCACAACAGGTCCCCACCATCATTCACCCAGCATCCCGTGTACCTTATCGTTCTGTAAACCTGTATGGACGTCACCAATGCGTTAGCGTCATGAAAAGAGTTCAGGAGGTCGCGTCTACGTGGAATTTCACCGAGAGGTGAAAACCGCAAGGTCGCTTTCGCAAGGTTATTACGCATAGCAAATACATGCAATCGATCTTTTCCTTATATCAAAAGATAAATCAGTCCCATACAATCTTAATGCACAACGAAGATTCGAATAACCGCAGACAATTAATTGAACTCGAAGGTTAAATATTCTTCTCATATACGATAAGTGTCTCTGGCATTGCAGTTTACGATTAATTACCTATTATCTGTAATTATCATTAACTCGCTGATACAGGGAGATGCTGATCTTGTTTGCGTTATAAAATTGAAAAATATAATTAACCAAATGATATATCGACATATCAGGACTTACTTACGATTAAATTTATAATTTTATATTATATCATCAGACAAACCAGCCACGGACACACCGACGATGGCGCACACGGCTCTACGGGAATTGGTAGAGCGTGCTGTGGAGGAAGCCAGGAAGTTACCGGGATTAGGAGGATCCGAGACCGGAAGGTCTCAAGAAGGCCGTGATATATCTGATCAAAGTTACGAGGATCTTCTAGCTACTGCCATACTCAACAAGGTAAACAGCTCTTAGAAACACCATACGATAATCACGGCAACCGTGCAATGCGTAACGATACACGTAACCATCATAAATGCCCGATCTACAGCCGCCACGTACTTTTTTAGGTCATTGAGAAATATCAAAGGGAGCACATCGACGGTAACAGCAACGTCCTTCGTGAAAAATCATCACCAAGGCCGAAATTCATAACCAGTACGTAGTGCACGATGACTATAAATTAACGAAATTAATAAATAAGATATCTCGTATGATTGTATACGTTCGCTAAGGCTGTAATCTCGCATCCAAACCATTACCTTTGCAAGCACTGCCATTACGCTTGATCCAACTTATCTGCATTGCGAATTATAAAAAACAACCGTAGAGATAAGATAGAATTAGCCAACATCAATATTTACAGTTCCTACAAACTCGTTCGATCACAACCAGTCGATCTATCGTTGCAAATACCTCGTGACAAATGGATATCCTTAGAAAACGTATTACCCGAGAAGAACGTGAGTAAAGATCTTTCCAGAAGAGTTCTTATCGAGACAGGAACTTTAGTCAAAATGATATTAAAAAAGAACGCTTGCCAAACGAGTATAAGAGTACAAAAAGTACACTTTGCACAATGATCTTCCCCGAAGTCATTCTCACTTGGATACCCAAATCATGATCTTGCAGTTACGAGCACGCCTTAATAACACAATCAATAAACGTACAATCCGTATATCAATCAGAGAATCAACGATCAAATAACGAAAACATGACGAGTAAAGAAATGACTCTCGTGAACTTGCAGGTGAAATCGAGGTGGGGCTCGATGAGGGAGTCGAGGAAGGTAGCAGCAGCTTGGAACCACTGTCCCAAGACGAATATAGCAGCGATACCAGTGTACCACCATCCAGGCACATCAGGACCCGTCAAGAACCGCTGTCGTTAACGGTATTATTTCTCAAATAATACATAAAAAAAAAGCAATAGTTTTAAATCTAGATGATTATTTCCAAAATCAATGAAACATATCCCAAAAGTTATGGCTTAAGAAATTTTATGAAAAATCCCCCCCTAAAAAAATGAATGGCGCCAAATCCTCTCTCTCTCTCTCTCTCTCTCTCTCTCTCTCTCTTAAGCTTCTCGCGGATCACTGGCTCGCCGCACGTCAACCTCCCATATCGAAGTAGCTTTAAAAATAATTTTCCAGTACGATACGAATCCAAGTAGATACAGCGATGAACAGTCAGGTGAGACTCGCTACTGAATAATTCATAAAGCTCAGACAAGAACCTATACGGAGCGATATTCGCGGAATAGTATCACGTGTGCCAAGATTTAACCACGTATAAGGATACCAGTTTGGATGCACATAACATCTCCTACACATACGCTCGTCGGCCCTGACCTTCTCAGCTAGCGATGGCATCCTGGAACACATGCCACGAATTCTTATCGATTCCCAAGACCCTCGGAGTGCTTCGATGAGCCGATCTCAAAGTTTAACGAAGGTCGTGAAATGGATGTCTAGGAGTTGCAGGAAAAAGTGGAGATCCTTGAATAGTTTTACGTCAACGATCCAATATGTTGCCGTAATCATAAAACTATACGTCAGTCAGTCAGTCTTTCTGACCATCCGACTGACAATCCGACCCGCCATTTACCTGTCCGTTCATCCCTGTCTACGAAGATCGTTTCTGTGTATTCCTACAGCGCTAATTTCGTTACACGCATGCGCCTATATACGCGGAGCTACGCAATTACGACCTGACATGTAGAGGCACATGTGACGTTCAATATTATCGTGCCGCCACGTAAGCAGCCGCTTCTGCTAAATTACATAAAGAACTGTACTAGCCTTACGTAGATATTAGTTTATACGATTCGGTGTACAATGGGAGTCTCTTTGTGAAGTCTGTTGAATGGTAGAGACCGTGGGCTATTGTTGTATAATCAGCAAGAAGCCTTCGACTTATGACTGTACAGCGTGCTGTAGAAAGTTGAAGAAAAAAAAAGTCGTTTGGAGAATACTTTAAAGAACTGTAAAGATTTCGAGATATAATATCGCTTTTTTGTAGACTCAGTAATTTAGTATGTAGAGTTTATGCCATTGTTGTGATATTGATTTCAGATCGAAGAACATATCGAAGAGGTTACTACGACCTATACGTCGGACGAAGATCGCGAGGAAAATGAGACCAACGAATTGGATTTCAAAAATGCACGTAGGGTACCATTCCCAGAATTTGGAATGGATATTATTGATCGTATGTATCACAATTTTATGTACCAGTGTCAATGCTCGTTTCTTAATTCGATGGTCGTATAATCGAGAGTTGATTGTGTTGCAGCATCGCAGGAATCATCGGAGGATAGTCAAGAAGAATCGGATCTGCCTTCGCACGTGGATCACGTGATACCAGTAGAGTCCTGGGAAGAAAATTGGCTTTTCCAAAAAAAGAAAATGCAAGCGCAATCCGAACCCGTGGCTATGCTAGTACCTAATCCTAGCGCTGATTTTCGGGCGCTGATTGGCGATAAGGATGCGGAAGACACTTCTGACCTCTCGGAATGTTCTGCTCAATCCGATGAAGAGATCGAAGAGGAATTGATGCAGGCTATCAATAATGTTGTACCGAAATCACTAAATGATTCGGAAGTAAGACAGACATTTATCGAAGATCAGACACTAACGGGTGGAACTCTTCGGGATACAGATAAGCGAGAGAGTATTGTTGAAGAATTTTTAGAAAAGGAACAAATTATTGTAAAACCAAGTAGCAGCCCTGTGCAGATTTCAAAAGTCACGGAAGTACTCAGTCAAAATGTAAAGAAACATGTGAATGTCGAGAATGATCTTGAGAAAGTAGTGTATGACGTGCATGACGCACAGGAAGGTGTGGAAGATACTGGAAAAGTTGAAGTATCCGTGGAAGTGCATAACGTGCACATCGACTCTGGCAATGCGGAGAGAAAATTAAGAAAAGAAGAAATTGACGATGTGAAAAATAAAGAAACTGACAAATCCAATAAAATAATTGAAGAATCTTCGAAAAGGATGGACATTCTAAGAGACCTCAGTAAGCCCGATGATCATATTCATTCTAATGATAAAGACAGGCCTACGAATATAGAACCAATAATTGAAAATTCAAAGCACCAGCTAGAGACAATGCAGAAAGAAGAAAACGATGATACTCAGAAAATTAGTGAATACACGATAAAAGCAACGAATGATTCAAGTGTAAATGGACAAGAAGAAACCTTGAACTTAAAACTGGAAAAAGAAAGAGCGTCGACTAATCTTTTTGTGGAGACTAAAGATGCAAATTCGCAAAATACTTCGAACAGCGTCAAGATTAAGGACAGTCAATTGATCCATGAAGCAAAGTTCGAATTGTCAGTTAACCATGAAAATAGAACCGAAACGTCCACGAGCGTCACTAGGGAGTACAACTTGATTGATCGACAACTGATATCTCTAATAGATGAAAATCCGATATCAGAAACTCCAAAGACACCAACATCGTCACCTGCGAGAAATTCCATACCAGGAAGCGATACAGAACATTTTATAAAACACGATCTTCGTTCTCTAGATAAGAAATTGGAATCAATCGAAACAAGCATGGATAGACAATTGGATTCGTTTGAAGTTGTCTCGAGCAACGAAAACGATGATCTAATTTCGCTGGAGAGCGCTACCAATACATTTGTAAAGATCAATAGCGAAGCTGAGGATCAATCGAAAATAGAAAAAGGAAACGATCGATATCAATCACAGAGTATCAACGTAAATCACAATATCGATAATCAAGGTACGGCAATAGTAATATCGTTTTTGAAAATAATTAAGATATCCACGAGTGTCCATAGTTATTTCACCAAAGACACCATTAATGTATGCGTTTCTCTATCGAAGGTGAAGACGGAGCTCAGCAAGAGAGTGAATATACAGAACATTACGATATTGCGACTCAGAGGCACTTCGACACTTCAACGAAGAATGATGTTCCACAAAGAAACAATGATGTTGATGAAATCCCACCTCCGATACCAAAAAGTCCACCGCCTCCTGCTGAAACGCTCAGGTATTGTGACTCGATTTTTTCAATCGATCTATTCCTCAATTATTTTCTTGACAGCCACTCCCAACCTCGGGTCTTGCACCTATAAAAGACGTTTCTTTTTATATATATCTTTAGAATAGTATACAAAGAACTCGAATGAATTTTTATCGATGAAGCCGTTCTGAATAATTTATTCAACATTCCACTGTGCAGGCAGTGCCGTGAGGCTCTGGCAGTGGCCAGTGCCAATATCACACTGGTTCCTTCATCACCCGGAAGAAAGAGAGTGGAGGCAGATATCCAATTGGCAACTCCACCGCGTCCAGGTATAGCAATGATTAGCTTCAATCCAAAATGTTTTCACTTCAATTCCTAACGATACCTCATGATTGCACAGGCACTATAGCAGAGCGCGAGCACAAAAAATGGGAAAACGCAGCGCCCATTGAAAACAATCCATACAGCGAAGAAAATATCCAAAAGCGTCTGTGGGAGCGACAATACTCCAGAAGATCCTCATCAGACGTGCTAGGGTACCTATAAATAATATAAATAACATTAGAAACGAATATATCATACAAAAATCACATCAAAATATTTGTTTATGTTTAGAAACACTAATGAATTACCAAAGGGTCCAGGTGAACCGTTACAAGTAATTTTAGGTGCTACTCAACCAGATTACAAACGGTAAGTCTACGAATAGTTAAAAACGTCTATTCGAGTTTCCCGCAATACTCATTGTCTCTAACTATGAATTATAATCGTTTTTTCCTTCTCTCCCTTAGATTTGGAAGAGATTACTATATCAACGACGCGAAGGTGTCGAGTGATGAGAGACCGAGAAGATCAGCAATGTCAAGTTCGGGTAGACCGAACAGCTCCTTATCTCAGCACTCAAGCATGACCGGAAGTGAACTCGAACATCAGGTGAGTTACGGACTTGACAGATTCGAGGAGGCCTCCCTTCGGGGCAGTCTTCATAGACGGAGCTTTCGCGGTCCAAATGCCAGCCCGCACTTTGTAATCAACCCTCTGCTCCACTTGGAATCCGCTCAAGATAGTGAGAAACTGTCTATTCCTAGGAAAAGTGATGAAAGTACCTTAGACGCGATAAGGGATGAGCCGGTGGGCATTAGCAGTCCGATGAACATGTATTCCTACGATGGCGATAACGAGGATGACGACAGAACGGAAAAAGATAATAATCTTAGCTACGACGAGCTTAATACTTCTCACACTCTGCCGGCAGGCGTTCTTGACAATAATTCGGATGCAATAACAGAGAGCGTGGATTATCGATTAAAAGTGATTAATGACGGAAATGAAATAATTGACCTTGAATCTGCGAATCTTAATAGAGTGTTTAAAGTTGAAGACTCTGACGAAAGATTTGCTATTAATCCGTTATACAATAGTGATGATAATTTATTAAGGCCTCTGCCAACTAACATGGCGGATCGTGATTCGGGAATGTACTCAATCGGTTCCAATGATACGGAATTCACTAAGGTTCTGGCTGAGAGGAGTGATCCAAATTCTAAGAGACTGTCATCTTTGGAGATTTTTCCTGAAACGACAGCGGCTAATACGGTTTCTATTAATGGAATGAAATATTCGGATTTCGGTAATTACAAGTTTCATACGTTTGGCGGAATAAAACGCAGGAGGATCAACTGGACCGATATTGAGGACGAACTGGATGAGGACGAGCATGAGCATGAGGGAGTATACGAGTATCCCGAGGAGAATCCTGAATTCGCCGACCTCAGGTTTCAGACATTCGGCGGAATCAAGAGAAGCAACGATGTCGACGGGAAGCGAATCACGGCTTATCGCAGAATTAAAATGCGACCCGCCTTGACATTTATCGAAGCAAAAAATGGATATATTGAAAATCGACAAAGATCAATGAGAAACACTCGGGATTTTTTAAATGGGAATTTTGAGATCCGCGATCGTCAGAAAAGATACAAGTTTGATACGGCAAGAAAGAAGAAATCCATACAGGAAGGGGGATTACGTAAGATAATTGCCGAACAAGAATATCCTGGCGATGAAACAATAATGATGAACTTCCTTCGTGATGCTGTAATAAGATCCAAATCGCGCATGTCCACCGATAGCGACTCCGTTTACTCCCTGGATTCAGCAAAAAGGAGAATGCTTGGTTTTCGCGACGATCTTCGATCAAAGACAAAGAAAGGTTGTCCCAGCGAAGACGGTAGCCTAAGACTAGAACCTCCGGTAATACCAGAAGTCGTCGACAGAAGTTACGAAACTCTGTCTGGTTTGCGCAAAACAAGCTCCACGAAGGATGACAGAAGTCTCACATCAAACACTAATAAAATGCATATAATTAAAGAAACGTCGATGTGGTGAAGTTGAAAACATATCAATTCTAACCAAAAGTTCAAAACTTATCCTTTCTAACCAATCGGAATAAAGGTATACGCGTATGCGTATATAATGAACTTCGAGACGATAATAAACTGATTATATAAATAATGATTGAAGAAATTTAAATTATTTGGCCACTTTCGACAGTCTATTTGCAAGTCAGGAATTTATCTATACAGACAAACAAGCCTCTGTCACATTTACTTATTACATATTGATTTTCAGTCATGAGTACCAAACGAATATAATATGTTTATCAATTGTCGAGTTAAATGTGTAACACGTAAAATAGCAGCATTGCATGATTATACAATTTTTAACTGTGCATTCATCCTTTTAAACTTCTTTCTATACAACATACGACGTATGACATGTTACTGACTTTCCTTTTGATATATCACATACCTATATGTATATATACCTGATCACCGTGTCATCCATTGCGATTAGCAAGACTTTTTGTGAACTTGTACATAATACGATCTGTCGGCTCCTTATTTATAGCGAATAAACACTATTGTACTGTTTCTGTTAAAAGTTTGAGTGATTTTTACCCTATGCGCACTACACATGCATGAGACTCTTGTACGTACAATATCAATTGGTAAGTACTACTAGCCAAAACATACATATATATTCGTTGTACTCATGTCGACTAATCCAAAGAAAGGTAAAAAGTACTAACGGGTTGTGTCACCTTGACTACAGACATGTCAGAAGAGCATTGAAAATCTTTAATTCATATATATTTAGTGTGTCCTAACCCGTGAAAGGATTGTTTGGGAAACAAAAAAATTTAATAAAAAATAATCACACATGCTCTTCTTACACATTTATGTCATGTGCTAACACCTATACTGCATTCAGTCACTACTAACCTTGCAAACAACTTTCAACTGACTTTGAGCCTCATCTAATATATGTAACCAGGATGTGCCAGTGATAATGATAAAATTGCATTGTGCAAAATGACTTTAGCTTATTAATGTCATCGAACCTAAATTGAAATGCAGTATCATCAAAGAACACTAGTGACCGTACAATAATAATGAATTTTCCATCTGTTCTAGGATCAGACTCAGTACACGGAGTTGGGATCCACATCAAGTGGTACAAATGAGGTCAAGTCCAAGGTATCCACATGGCAGCAAAATAACATGGAGATCAGCCAGCCGGAAGGATCCTCTGGAATTCAGAGGGTAGAGGCTGTCATCCAAATAGGAAGCCCATCGTCGCTGACATCAGAATCGCAGAGCGAGGAAGTTCAGTACTACAGGAGTAACGTGACAACCAGCCAAAGGACGCGTGAGCATCAGGTCAACGAGATCCTGGAAAATGAAAGAAAAAATAGTAAAAATGAATTAAACGCTAAGTTGAATAATCAGGACGGATACGACGGAGCGAGTATAACCGAGAGTAAGAAATTATATTCGAACGAGGGTCACAAAAAGATCCAGCGCATCGACCTCAAGGCTTATGGATTTGAGAATGAAATTAGCTCGAGGAGCAACGAGGTCAAGAACACCTCTCAAAAGCGCGTAGTGAACAAATTAGACCTTAAGTCTTTCGGCTATGACACAGGAGTGCACACGACACGATATACTAGTCAAGCCGATAGTAATAAAGTGAATAACAATTCGAACACAAAACCAATGATCGTCAAGATGAAAACAAAATCGAATTTGACAAAGCTTAAGGAATTAGAAACGTCTACTAGTACCAGTGACTATACAGAGTATTGGGCTTCCGGTGATCGTAGCATGGTAAAGAGTACAGAGACGTTGAATGAAAATGAACTGAAACTCGAAGACCGCAATAAATTCGGTACGATGATCTCAGTAAAATCAATGCCCAACGTGGCAAAGAGTGAACACTATGCAAAGGATTCGGAGAGGGTTCGAAGCTACGAAGGTGAGGAAGACATCATCATAAAGACGTTCATCAAGAAGAGGTCGACGGAGGAAAAGCTTAGAAAAGAAATGATCAAGGCATCCTCTAAAAGTCATGGTCTATGGAAATCAGAGACGATACTTGCCGCTGACAATTCCGAATTATCAGACGTCTACTCTGAAGACGAAGTAGATGGTTCAATTACTAAAACGAAATCTACCGAAGTCTTCTCATCGGGAGATCATCATCAAAAGTCATCGGAAGTCTCGTCAACCAAGAGTGAATTCTCGGAAGAGGCTACGAGTTCTATCAACGCTGATGATGAGGATCTGCCAATGCCTTCAGTGAGAAGACTTGCTCAGGCATTCAGTAAAACGACAGAAACAAAACCAGTACCGGCTGCCAGGGTAAGTTTTTATGGGAATTATTAGTTTTCAATTTACTTATAAGATGCAGTACACGGGCTCTTCTTTCATCCCTTTCCATACAGATGTCTAAGTCCACCAGTAACATTGCCAAGGAGAGGTCGACCACCCCTGAGATACTCATAGTGGAAACACCCAGGCAAATGCATAGTCTAACTGCCAGATCCTTATCTAAGGAGTTCAGAGAAGGATTACGTCAAATTCCTATTAAAATGACGCAATCGCCCACCAATCACACTGTTGATGATCAGTCGAAAAAAGTTGAGAATCAACCGGAGATAGTATTGTCTGAAGCAGATAATCCAGTGGATGATACTGCGTTGATTGAACCTGGAAAGTTGAAGAATAACATCAAATTTTGGGAACAACTACAGAGGCGAAGTTAAAAATTCGTCAAAGCAATTGCGCCAAAAATTGACACGAAAGGAATGAAACTTCGTGCAATTTTGGATCATTTAAATAACTGAGCAGAACACTAATGTGTTGTCATTAGTCAACAATTGTTGTGATAAATCCAAAGGTGCACGAGAAATTTGTGTTTTTACTTGCAATTGTTTTGGATCGAGATTTTAATCATATAAATAAATACAAATCTGTGTCTGTTGTGACGTTAATGTTATCGGTGCCGATTGGACTCGTTTATGGTTGTTCTTTGATATTGCAACAGAAACACAACATTTTGTATAGTCCTGTACAATAAAACTATTTTGACATAGTCTTTGCCAGAAAATGACTCTTCTTTGTATCGCAGTAATATTCGCGCAAACAATTTAGATTTTCCATTCCTCAAATCAATCGCAACAACGAAGCATCTAATAAATTAAATTCCACAATGGAAAAGTGTTATTACAGAAACGTGGATAAATGATGCGATCATTCATATTTTTTTATATCCAATTTATGTAATATTATTCAGGATGATTATGCGATTTATGCATGGCATGTGATTACTTTATAAAACTTCAATGACGATCCTTTACTAGATTATATTTTGGCTTATGAACTTACGGTTTCAGTCATTTGTACGACATTACAAAAATTGCCAGAATGCTTTATCCACATGGGTTTCAATTCTTGCACAATGTAAGATTTTGTTAACACTAAACATATGCAATGGCACAGATACGTATCCAGATAATAAATAAAAATTCTTCGATTATTCCAGGAATTTTTTAAGACGTACAAAATTGATAATATTACATTTGTGCCAAAGGACACTGAAGTGTCATTATCCAAAGATTGGTATCCTAAGTAACTTTTCTTAAGCTACATATAATGTAGGACACGTAGCACGTTTAAGAAAATTATACACGTAAATTTTATAACTTCATCATTAACAGATCAATAAGTATAACATGAATTTTGGAAGTTGAATACCAAATTCACAATTTCCGTAAAAAAAAGGAACATAAAATTTTACTTACGTGTAATTCAGTCACATATACGGAAATTAAAAACACTGATTCCAGTGTCGTTGGTTTTTGTTCAATATACTTGGAGATTACATATTTTACCGATTAATGTAAAATAATAATTCATGGCTGAAAAGTGTACTCATTCTTCCATTACTCGAGATTACAATTATCATGGGGTTAGAAATTTAAGTGGATAAAACTACAAATACAAATTGTTCTAATGCTTGAAATTGAAGACACGGAATTCACAAAAATATTTGCCAATTTCGAACTGGCAATGTTGGATATGTATAAAGTTTTCAGCCATGATGTATCGTTGTAGATATTAATAATATTTTCTATAGATAAGTATTACTGGATGAAAACTATTTAACAGCATATCCAAGAAATAAAGATTCTTGTAATCTTAGTATATAGACGTACATATGTAATTGCATATGAAATTGTATATTTTAGAATAATAAAATATCTAAGAATATATATGCCTGACGTTTATTGCTCAGGGTAATAACTATTCGCTGGAAACCTTAAGAAGAAAGTCACGTGAATAAATTCATCTATACTTTTAACTATGAAAGAAACAAGATATTAACATGGTCCCACGTTACTGCCAAAAATAAAATTACCCGAGTATTATACATGGCAATAATATCTAATTTGAGTATATCAAATAAGAAGTCCAATGTTCACATAACCGTAAAACGAAGGTAACTTACAATCACAGCAGTCCACAGGTCTTTCTCATTTTGAGTTTTTACAAAAAATTAAAAATACTAGTATATTGACCCTCGTATACAGGACTGAAAGTTTAGATCTAAGCTTTGATCAAAGATAAATGTTTCAATCACCATTTTGTGATATTATAACAAGAGTGGAATTACGTCTAAATATTTGTTGAAAACTTCCAAAAATTCTACCCAAATTATTATCTCCCTCAGTTTATAAAAAATATAAGCTAGTATATTTTTTGAAATGTATACTTCTGAGTTGCATATAAATAGATCAATCCTTCTCTGTTTCTAATCTTTTTCACATTGCAAAATGATGAATCACAAAGAAAAAGCCTAGATTCTAGTCCTCTATACATTCTAATACATTATGCAAATTATTAATATTCTTGTACAAGCTAAAATATTGCAAATTCCATATGCCACTAATCAATAATAAATACACCTAACTCTATGAAAGGGTATACTTTCCAATTCCTGAGCATGTCGCCTTCGATAGTCCCATAAGAAATTATCGATCAAAATAGCATTGCAATCTGATTCCTTAAGATTTAAACTAGGATAACGCTTAATTAAAGACCTTACTTCGTCGCAAACACGTTCAACGACTTCTATCGAACAACCACGGATTTCTACCTCCTCTATAGATTCCTGTTTAAGTTCAGTACCTGTAAAAACACATAACGCCCTACGATAAAATAGACACAAATGCATCCGACGACCAGCAGGAAAATTAAATTCATACTCGTTGCCTTACTGAAACCTAGACATATAAATTTAGTAACTCACCAGTCTGAAGCATGCTGAGTAGTGGATTGCTGTATCGCATTGCGCCAAAGTGTACCAATACTTGAGGAATTCTGTAGTCTGCAAACATTGTGATCACTTCAATGTCATGAAAGGCTCCAAGATCTTTCTCTTGAAAACAGGCCCAAATATCACCAATAAGAATTTGTGCCCTTTTGTACAAAGCCACTGTAATTAAAAATTGAAACAATACAGTAGGTATAATAAATGTAAAGTAATAAATAAATTGTAGGGATATAAGAAAAACAATAATTATTAACCTTTATGGCCATGAAAATCAGCTTCATCTCTAAAACACTGAAATTCAGTTACAATCAATTTTAATAACTCAACTGCGGAACCTCTGCACGCTTTGATGCATTCGGTAAAAGAACCTGTTGAAGAACATAAATTATAACACAGTTGTTTATCCTTGACTCATCATCTAAAATAATCGTTTATAATATTACCATTATATTTTTCTAACAAAATTGTTCCAACTTCGTGCAAACATTTTAGTCTTTCATCGACCAGTGGTGCTTTTCCACTATCTTCATCGCCATCGAAAATCGCTTCGAGATCAGCTTTTGATATTTTCGCATAATAATTTGGATCTAGTATTGGCTTGCCTGCCTGCAAATAATAAATTGGACATATGAAGGATTATAAACTAAACTACGGTTTCGTATCCTCTGAAAATGTTTAGTTATAAAACAAAAAAATGCTAATTACGAAACAGTGTCTGTCTGTCTGTCATGTAGAAAAGTGAAATATCAAATTTTATTTCCAGTAACGGAATGTAAGACAAAAACATGTACTATTTCCGAGTTCTGCAACGAATACACAGTTTGCCCTAAATACTAATATAATTGGATTTGATCGAAAAATTCTAATATCAAACCCTATTCAGTTAGAAAAATAGAAAATCAAAATGCCTGGAAAAGACAAGTGTATTACGAAAGAAATAATCAGTTTAAAAAAACCATCGTACGTAAAATCATCTAACGATCTTATAATAGTAAAATAACCATTTTGAATGATTCATGTTTATTAGAGCACTAGATAAAGTAATCGACATAGTACCTAAGCCACAGGGTGCCATTCCAAATTTTGGTTTACCAAAATGGAAAGTGATGCCTTTAGAATCAAAAATCCCAATGATCCCTGGACCAAAAAATGCTTACTGTTTCACACGACGAAAGCTGGGTAAAAGATTATGGCTCCGAACACAAACTACCGATTTTGACTTAACAGATCCATACAACTATGAGATAAATTTTCCATACGACATTCTGCACGACGAGTATCTCAAATCGACTTTATCTCGCCCAAAAAACATCAAACATTTAATAAAATTAGGATTCATAACCGAAGATTTAGATGCAAAGTGTTCATTGAAAGATTATAATGTGTACAGAAGATATTTAAAAAAACTACACAATGACAGTATCAATAAAGAATTGAAATTAAAAGCTGAATTAAATGATGAAAGGAGAGCTTTACAATTAGCCGAGGAAAGAGTAAACAATTATATAGAAAGGTAGCTGTGAAACTCATTAGAGTACTTTTGGTTTATTGGATCCGGAAAATGAAGTTTAATCATGTGTACTAAATCACTGTAGATTAAATGAACAGGAAAAAAAGAATGAAGTTCGCAATGAAGCACGCGAAAGGCTCAGATTAGAAGAACAATCAAGGATACGAAAACAAAAAGAAAATTTAGTTAAAGTTATGCAGCGATGTACCTTGATTGCAATAACTAAGAAGGAGGCAGCTCTTAGGCGGCTGGAAAAATCAAGGGCAAAATCTGAACACATACAGCAGAAACGGATGGCCGCTGCTGAAATTGAACGGCAAAGAATAATTAAAACGATAATTCAATGGAAACACAGTGAGCACGAGCGCAAAAAAGCCGTCAAGCAGCGGCTAATTGAAGAACGTGAGAGGAAACTTAAATCTGTGGAAGAAAAGTAATTACAAAGCAACAAAATATTATTATAACCATATAAGGTGAGTGTATAAAATTATAAATGTTAATATAGATGGGAAAGGAGGCAAGAACACCAACAAAAGCAAATGCACAGAGAACAGTTTTTAATGAATTGCCTCCAGGAAGAACGACGAATATTCATTGAGGAATATAATAAGAAAGTAGAGAGACACAGAAACAAGATCCAAAGTATGTAGTTAACCACGATCCGCTATACAGTAACAACAAATGGATATGCAACACTATTTTATAAACAATTAATTTAGGGAAACTATAACATATTTCTTTCATTTATGTAAATACATATTGTTAGGTTGTTTGAAAAAACAGAAACGATTTAGAAAATGCTATGCAGCGCGGACCATATCAGAGCATAAAAGACGAATCTGCTGCAGAATACCTAATCAAAAGAAGCAACGTCAGGTACTATATACTATTACGCAGTAATATTAATTAGGAGTACATTAGAAAATAAGCAGAGATATGAGAGTATGTCATGATATGCAAATATTTCAAACTACAGCATAATGAAGATAAGGGTTATAAAAATGCTCTTTGTCTTCCTAAATTACAATCTTCGCGCATTGATGATAGGATAGCAAAGGTAAGGCACTAATATCTTACTCAATGTATATGCATTTGTTGAAGAAACTCAAAACATTAAATATATCAAAGTAGAATAGTATCAATATTTTTGAAAAACTGTAAATAACAATGCATAGATAAGAGATAAAATTGAGAAAGAAAGAAAAGGAGAGGTGAAGCCGCAGAAAACAAAGTTGAAACAATACAAAACTATTACAACCAGTAAAAAAAAATTCTCAAAAAAAGAAAAAAATGTGTTAGAAAAGAAGGAAGCTCTGTCAGAACTTGAACAGGATCATAACATTCTATTAAATCTTACAAAGTTGGAAGAATTTGCATCGCAGCCATTACCATTACCCATGACTAAAGATAAATGCAAATGCAAAAAAATCTCAGAGATGAAAAATACAGTTAAATAAAATGGTGTTTTGTTGTACGACTTTCTAACATGTTAATATTAAAAGAAATGTTAAATATCATCTTCATGAAACTTAAAGATACTAATACACTGAAATAAAAAATTACTCACTTCAATGGCTCTCTTTATAGCAGCACATAGAGCAAAGTATCCAGTATAACCATTCACCTTCCATTTTGGATCATTTCCTGAATTCCAAAATGAAAAGTTCAATGTATCCAACACGAACACCCAATCTGCTGCTTTGTTATCGTCAGGTTTAGGATGAAGTTCATGTTGTGAATAATTAGCGGTACAAATGCTATGATTCTTGAGTCCCTCCAGCACCTATAATAGAAAAAGTTTCAATATTTTCAAAAGATTACATAAACCCAAAACAAAGAATTTTACAATAATTCTCTCCATTTGTAACATAAAAATTATGCAACCAGCTTTGTCTTATGCAATTATCCAGTACATACTTACAGTTTAATAATTATACTTAATAGAAAATATTTAACAGAAATCACCGGTTCTTGGTCTTTTAGTTGCAAGGTCACGAACAACAAACTGACAAAATTATTCACTTCCGACTCAATCAAATAAATTCAAAACACAGAAATAAAATATATTTCCATTCCATAAAAATTAACGAACTTTCCAAGTTTAATTTAAAATGCAACTACTAGCTCAATCTAATAGCAATTAAAGTACATAGTCAGAGAAAAACAACGACGCACCACTGGTAACTCACCTCGCATGCAAGTTTTTTAACACCCTCTTCCTCGATAAATACGTTCTTTGCAAGTCTGGCAATTAACTTTGCAGATTCTCTGGGCATTAAAGCCATGATTATTAGATGAAATTACAAATGCAAGTAAGAACTGCGAGAGAATAAGATATCCTAAGATGCTCAATCAAACGGACAACCACCAACACAATTGTCTAATCGAATCTTCCGATCACGTGGCGAGTCGGCGAATCACGTGACCACGGCAAGAAACGGCTGTTAGGCAACGGAGTTAAGTGTAAACAAATATGGTGGTATACGTCAAAATTCCTAAAACTTGCATTTTAATAGTGGCTCTCAAGATGTGCGCGAATAATTGGTTCTCTCTATGCGCTCATAATAGAATAATTAGAGCTTAAAGCATCAACAGCGAGGTAAGGTAAGTAATCGGTCTATTAAAAAAGCGCTAGGAATTCATAATTCTCTAGATACCTTAAATACCTGTACGATCACGGTGTTTTGTTGCATGTATTTCTATGTGTCACATTTATACAATTATGAATGACTTTGAACCTGGGAAAAGGATAATCCTAGGTCTTTATCTTCAATTGAATATTAAATAGAAAAAATATTTTTGTAAGTACACCAGAATACATTTTTGTCTGCACTGTTAACAGTGTAGTACAACTTTTCTTATAATTTTGTAAGAAAAGCATTTATTAAGTTGTTAATTTTAATAAATATTGTTCATACATTCCTTGTATTTAATGACACTGTCGTTAAATAATGCAACTAAACTGTAGAATACGACTCCTTGAAGTTAGCTGTTGATTGTTTAGTTTTTTTATAAGTAATCCTTCAAGAAGGAATCTTTTCTGCAGTTTTACCAATAATGCTTTAAACTAGAATTGATAAAATAATTCTTACTGTTAGAGTGGGTTGAACATAGCCTTTTCTTAAATGCAACTTTTATATAGTCATAGTATTAATCCCTTTCCTTGTCCAATGAAAAAGAAAATAAAATAGCTAAGTTTTAAAGGGTTTTATTATCAAAACATTCCCAGAGATAATGATCAACCGGTGATTACATTACAAACACCTTGGCTAAACAGCTTAAACGTAACTTACTTAATTACATAATAAAAAGTAAGACAAACATAAAGTAGCAGATGAAAAAATGAAATTCGTATGTAAGTACAGAGCCAGTTTGCGAAGTGTCATATCACTTTATTTACTCAATAGTAACATTTAATAATACATAATTTAACTGATAAACGGATTCTGTTTAAATTTTTACATAAGGACATGCGTTACTTATTTTACGATACACTCGATTGTAGGTATACCTAATTTTATTATTCATTTAACGTAGGCAACTATTTTCTGTAGAGTGTGACAAGATTCGAAACACGTAATGTTACGTTTGCAAATTACGTACGCGACACAAGGGCGTGAAACCAAAACGATTCACGATTGAACACATTTACATCGCAGTATGTAACTTCAATATATTTCTATCAATGCCCACATAGCAAGAACAGAGTTTTGTTTTGATATCAGTGTAATTCTCAATTTCATGAAATATATAATCATTATTTCAATGGCATGTGATACATGACCCGCAATGTAGATTCATAAATGTACAAATGTAAGAGATGTAAATCCAACATACAATTTGAATGTTTCCTATCATGACGAGGATTGTGACGTTCTAAAATTTTACTACGAATTACCCTCATTGAATCACGATGTAAATCGCATAATACGAATAACATCACACGGGTGTTTCGAATCCTAGCGTGTAAAGAGCTGAATGCCAATACAATTTTTTTTGCATTCATCCATTCAAATAACATATGTACACAATATCCTCTCAACGCAAAATGTGAACAGATTAAGGCTCCAGCAGGCTATAGGCTACATTCTACAATGTACAATGCATTATGTACTTCTTTTTAGTTTTCGTTTTCGCGTACCTGTCTGGCTGTGTAATGTGTGGTAAGCAATAGCACCAAAAGATTCCCCAACATTTACACTTGGCACAAATCATCTGTATTTAGCAACTAGAAAATGATTGACATATCAATCGAGTTTATGTGAATTATAATTTACTTTATTCCACTTAATTCAATCTTTGCAACATATTGTCTATAATAAATGTAATTATTATAAAAACAATAGGACTTAACAAAAGTGTAGATATTTATTTATATTTTGTGTAATATAAAGTTCGATAAAAATAATGGGCCTTGTGTCGATTATTCAGCAATTACTATCTTGTCAAAATACAAGTCGCTGTGTATAACAAGTTGCTAAGTAGTTGGAATTCTCGGTGGCATTCGTAATGTGCTATACTTAGAGGTGAATAAAGTACAGGCCATAGGAGAGACATGAGGCATGAGACATGGTCCTCCGTGAGACGCAATCTACCTTCTGCTGACAAAAATAGTTTTTTATAAACCAGTCTGCGAATTATGAAAGCATTGATGGTTGCAAATCAAGTTTTACGAAGTAGCCCACTCTATTTATTCATCTCAATCATGCAATGAGATTATCCAACCCACGGGACTCCAGAGAAAAGGGTCAAAATTCGGCGAAATAGTAACGCAATGTCGTTTCGTCATTTATCTTGTATTATCATTGTCTCTGAATTTGGCCCAATTTAAGATTTAACTCACATAGTACTAGAGTGCGTGCATGAGTTTCTGTTGAATGTTTTACTTTTTAGCACTGTTACATTTGCTCCCATTACACATCACACCTCCAGACTCCTCCCATGCAGCAAAATGCGCTTTTTAATTAATTCTCTTAATAATATATAAAAAATCTATCTCTATTGGCTCTTAAGTTCTTTGCCAATACTATACGACACGATTTTGTTCCAGTCGATTTTCGTTCGCATCACCGGAAGTTGCCTTCGCAGAGCCTTGAACGTTGTGTCAGACATTGTCTGATAATTTTCCGAAATCGCCGTTTGGTAATCGTTTTCGGATTCCTCGACCAGTCGTATCAGCTCCTTCGCCGTTTGCTTCTCGTTCGCAATCGACAAACTTTCTTTTACCTCTTTGCTGCTAACCAGTTGGACGTTTCCATCTTCGTAGTAGTGAACTTGAACTTTTAGACTACCCCTTAATTCGGCATTCCCGGAACTTGTGTTAAAACTCACAGACCATACAGAACGCCAGCGTCCATTCCAGAAATTTTTTGGTTGAAATTGATGGTCTTCTATGCAAGCAGTTAGCGTTATATTTCCTGAGAACAAAGAAACATCTTTCTGTTTAGCTTTCGTTTTTCTGTTAGTTTTTTTTTTTCATTTAAGATTCATTCTAATCCATGTAAACGTACCTCCTTGGCTTTTTCCAAAAACAGAGCATGCACCATGTCTATAATGGCTCTGCGTATAAGTAGTTATTTCGTCTTGAAGGGCGGATCTCCATGGTTCTGCCGTTGCATCTGGTTCATAGGATTCATAGTCCTGTGCTTCCTTTCTGAGGTGGTCATATTTGAAACTTTGCTTACTACGAGCATCATAAAACCTCTGACCACCCAAGTCATTATGCTCCGTTATAAGTGCAGGATACTCACTTCCTTCTATCTATATTTAAAAAAGCCATGTTCACAATTTTTTTAAATAAGCTAATGGGTCTTATTCGTTATCTTAGCTTTATATAATAGTAAAATAGTATATTTAGTTATGAATCACTTCAATAAATCAGTAAAACAATGAGATGATCCATTTATAATTATGGATAAGTTAGTCCTTGAAGTAATACATATAAAAGTATACTATTGTACATACCTTTACTGCATAAAAGTACTATAAAATTTCTACGTTAAGAAACAAAAAATAATGCTATTCAATATGTTAAAAAATTATTGTATGGATGTATTATGTGTTTTAAAGTAGAAAAATCCATCAAAGAAAAAATCCAAGTGTTCCAATATAATATCAATATGATAGATTGCAAAAGAGTTATTACTTCCGCAATATTTCTTTTATATATGATATATTCAACTATTTTTTCCTCGATTCAAAAATATTTTGAAAATTATTAGGCATTATGAAAATAATTTGACTTTCAAATAAGAAAGTTAAAATAGTCAATTATATAGAGTAAAGTTAAATGTCATCAGCTATCAATGATGAGTCATTGTCTAAAATAATGTCTATGAGAATTTTAGGTTATTATTTCAAAAAATACTATATTAACGTAGATCAAAGCTAAATTCATCCATTTTTGCTAATATTTAATTCAAAATATCCATTAAAACTAAAATACATAGGTGGCATAAAATTCATATTACAAATTATCATGTCCGAGTCAACATATGAATAAAAAAAAACAGTTGATAATAAATTATATCACAATGAAGTGTCCTTAAAAAAATAATTCAGTAAAACAATAAAATTGAGTCATAAACATTAATTGCAATTCATACAAAAAAGTGTGACAAATATAGTACTGAACAGATTGCATTGAATACTAAGTAAAATAGTCACTCAAATAAGCTTAAAAAGTTTTACATGATACAACAAATTATTCTTTAGAAAGAAATGTTTACTAGTATCCGTAATAGTCAGAAAGATCACTCCGTGCTCCAATTCCGATGTAAATCATACGTCACTCTAAAAAAATTCGAGCGGATTGCGCTTGTAAAATAGGCCAAGAATTTCTTAGGAAAAAAGACTGCCGATCCATAGAAGATCGGAGCTACCAATACCGGTATATTTTTCGAATCGTATACGCATTACTATCAAAAAAATCGTGAAATATTATCACAGTCGAAGAGTTGTACCTTAACAGGCGTGAGCTGGTCCTTGTTGTACTGAGCAAATGCTCCGGATGCTCCTTCCTTCAACAGGTTGTCGTTGTTCAGCAAGACCCTCACATCGTTAAAAACCTCGTTGAACTCACCCGGAGGCGAATGTAGTATAAAATCCGAAACTATTCGCACTTTTTCTTGGTCGGAAATCACGACATCTCCGTCCGCCGCCATCTTACCTTTCCACTGCACGCACACTCGGCCGATGTGTCAAACCAAGGCTTGAACGTTTCAGGTTGTTCCGAGCAAATTGTTCAAACCAACTCGAATCAAATAATTCTGTTTTAAAGTAGTAAAAATCGACACACCACAAATATACTTTTACAAATAAACTCTGTAACATATATTAATATTAACCTCTTTCAAAGCACTTCCTACAACTTCTGCTACGATATTTATAAAACAACTTGGAAACACCCGACGCGCCACCATTCGTTTAGTAGCTCCCTTACTGTATGGACTGTTAATTCTAGCTAGAATTTATTTTATTCTATTTCCTATGGGATAAGTAGTTCTGTTATATTAACGGAACATTTAATGTATATTAGGGTCACATGGTCTAATCTTTCTTTTATGACTTTATGGCTCATACTTAAATTTGTACTGCTTGTAGCATAGCGGTTTTTGCATGGACCTTGACACGAGCTACATACTCGGAACTGTTCGTGCTTTCTCGACGCACACTCACTACCAGGCGTGGTTCACGTTTGCGATAATACATGTTTATCATTTATTTCTGTTTTCAATGCTGAAATTCAAGTTCCATAAATTGTACCTATAGATAGTTTGAAAAATAGTTCCACTATAATGTTTTTCTCGGATAAACCATGTTTTTCTCTTTTAAATAATACTTCAAATGAAATTTAGGTACAACATACATACGAATAGGATCTTGCGCCATAAGGCGCATTCGCGCCCTGATATCCGCGAAATACCCATATATGGTCATCCGTAGGAGTTGTGCCCCTTAACCGCCAAGAATTCAAAGTTGATTCACGTCAAATTGACCGTATTATTCATGAATAATACAGATAATACAGATGCATAACACGGTATATCTTAATGCGATATGACTTTTTAAAATATAATACAGGGAGATACGACTACATGTTGTGCTTACCAATGACTATTATAAGCCAGATAATGCTTCATTACACCGTGTTTCATATTTATATAAAAATTACTGCAACCGCAATAAAATATCATTCTATTTATAGTTACAAAAGGTATCGAAATAACATAATTATATCACGTAACTCATTTGATATAATTTACCTTTGCGTACGTATTTCACGAATCCCAGTGATCTGCTTACGAAAATGCAGTGAAAAATGATTTTTTCCCTATTGTGTTATTCTATATATGGTACCAGATAATTGCAAATCCATAAACCTACAACGAAATAAATAATGAAGAAATGAAAATCGGTTCTCAGGTGGGAAATTTTTAAAAATGCCGGACGATCCGAATAGAGATATTTTTACAGTAAAAGAAGGGTCCTACATTGACACTTGCCGCAGTGATATAGGTAGGTAATTATAAAATAAATATTTCGAATTATCTAATGCTAATGTTATCAAAATGTAATCCATTGAACCATTCACTAGACACTTACGATCTGTTACCCACCTTAAAATCGTTGAGAGGATAAATCGATCTATTTACAGATTCTAGAGAACGTCATTTCGTATGCAAACTTGATCGTTATCAACTCGAAGATAGATATTTGCGATTACTCGACGAAATACAGGGACTTAAGAAATTGTCGAACAGTCAAGAAGATAAAATTAAAAGATTAGCTACAAAGTTAATGAGGGTTTCCGCGAATCCTCGACTGTGTGCCACTGCCTTGGATATTGTTAATGACAAAGATCGAATTTCTTCACTCGAATTAGAAAATAAAAAGGTAATAACATCCAGTATTTATAATACCATGTAATATGTATGATAACATGTCGAAAAATTTTTTAATAATTATTTTTTAATAATAACAATACAATCCCATAAATTTATTGGCATTAAAACTTTTGTATTTAGTTAAAGGACAAGATCTGCGTATTAAAAAGTCAATTATTGAGTCAGAAAGCTTTGGGACGCTCGCCGTCGCGGTGCCGACGTGTTCAAACCCGAACGTCATCTGGACCAACGTGAGTATATTGACAAACGTTTGCACATAAAGCAAACTAAAAATGATATAGATTGCAATAAGTTTACTGGAACGATTATATTTTAGCACCTGCCGAAGCGAAAACGGACGTGTAAAAACGCCTTCCTGCCAAAGCATCATGCGTAACGGAAGTGACGACAATGATACTCAAAATTATCTCGTTAAAATAGAGGTCTGTTTATCAATTGATATATACTTCTATGTGTATTGTGCACACAGAATTATACATATATGTATATGTATATTTATTTGATTACTTAAAAACTGTTTCTTATTGTTACCACCAGGAGCTGGAGATGCAGAAGAAAGAAATGGCATCCAGAATCACATATCTCGAGGACGAACTATCGATTCACTTAACCGGAAATCAAAGAGAGAAAGTAGCTGAGAATGTAGAATACATCCGACTGTGGCGACAGCTGAAGCAGCTTAACGACAAGTTGATCGGCACGCAAAATTTAAATGACGATCTTAACACTCAGATTAACGATCTGAAAAAAGTTCTTGAAGAAACAACCAAGTACGTTCCAAAGTTTGTCTTCTTCTTGCCCCGTCCACCTCTACTCTTAATGAATATTTTTACTCAGGGACAACAGAGAGATAACTTCCGCTCTTGTAACGGAAAAGGAACGCATGGTGGAAATGCATGAGCAGATGACGAAGGCGAAGGACTCTCAACTTTCTCTGCGTGAGAAAGATGAACAAATTCGAGACTTGATGAACGAGATGAAGATATTGCAACAACACAATAGCGAACTTATTGCTCTCAGTTCGAAGTATACTCAGGTTGAGATTGAGAATGTTGAGCTGAAGAAAAGGATTTCAGAGCAGTTATTCAATCATCAATCATTAAAAAGTGCTTTCAATAACGAGCAAGCAAACATCGCTGCCCTTCAGGCAGCCAATGAGCAACTATTGACAAAGTTACAGGAGTTACAGAAAAATATGGATAGTTTAACAATACAGTTAAAGGTGAGTCTTTTTATTTTTTTTATTGAAAATTCTTTTTTCTTCGTATTTCTTTTACTCGCTTTATTAATAAAAAATCAATCCGAAATATGAACTCTCGTGATGTCGAGGCTAAATAGAACGTTTAATGTAGCTCTCATTGAATGTACCTGTGTGTATGGAAAATAACTAGGTGAGTCACGTTTTTATACACACTTGTTAAAGAAAGAGTTATCTAGCTGATAGTCGTATCTTGTTCAAATTAGGCGAGAGATGAGTCATAAAAAAATAGGAACTAATTTCCTTCTCATAAATTATATCTATCTGTAGTATTTTTAGTATAAATGTATCATTTATAGACGTTTCAGAACCAGAACGAGAGACACGTGAGAGCGACAACGAGTGTTCAAACAAGTTCAAAAAACTTAAATAACAGGGTCAATGATCAATCCTCCACGATGGAGGATCGCTCTGGAACTTTGGATAACTCTTACTCCAGTAAAAGCGAGTGCTGTCGAAAATGCTGTGAGGAATTCCAGAAGAAAGTCGTCTGTCTAGAAACATCAACGAATCACGCAATTTCACTTCCTTTGAAAAAGAACACGGACAAAGGAGTTCAAACTCAATTTGAAAATACGACCAGCAACGCAACAGCGCCTGATACACAAATAAAGTCACCCGTAAGGACATCCGACAAACAACAGCCTCCTAATTCACTGAGTCGCGAAAAGATGTTGAAACTTTTGGAGCAAGCTCAAATTAATACACCTCTGGAAGCACAGAACGCTGCCAGAATTAGGCAAATAGATGCTACATGCTCTACGAATTTTTCTGGAATTTCGGAAACTGTACAACGACAGAGGCAAGTGATGAACCTTGAACAATTGCTCTTCGGAGAATCTAGCTGCTTCTGACAATGGTGCAAAATAAACATCAATAAATTCAATGGACATTGTCGCGAATGATAATGAAATACAAATTAAAACTCATAACGGGTGTATATAGAGATATTTAGTTAAATATCTAGTAAATGCAAAAAGAATATACTTCCACCTGAAACCATTTTCAAAGAATGACATTACCTTATGTAATTATACCTTTAGTAGAAATATTCTTATCAAATTCAATGGATTCTATCGTGATTTTCTAAGTTTTTTACAAATCGTTTGCGATACAATCTATTCATGGCGCTTCCAGATAGTTCATCAGGGAGTCCATATTGTACGCGAGTATTTATAACTAGAAGCATTAGCAATGAATTTTGTACAAATCAATGCGAGTTTTGCGCATTTATTTTACTATTGGGCATCTGACTATACTGCGTATCTAAAACAAGGTTATGAACTTCTATTGTATAGTGTGAAAGCACATATTGTATTATGCAATTGGAGGCTCTTTCTATTATGTAATAACGTGATTTATATTGGATTCAATTAATTCACTTAATTTCAAGCTACTCTCTCGATAACTGTTATCGTCCTAGAGTTAGCATTCGCAAGCTAGATACATCGTTTAGAAGTATCGATTTATCGTGCATATTTCGTACTACTGTATCTTCATCATAGAAAATACTGTTAGTCGTATGGGTGAATGTATTAGCATAGATGCATATCTTGTATATACATATTTTTAAATAACAAAACGTATCGTTTATAATATTGCATTGTACAGTATATGCCTTTCATAATGTCCATTGTGAAACATTTTGTACTATTATTGCAAACAATAATAACTAATGATAATTCTGACGTAATATTTTATTCGCTTTAAATCCTAACGTTTCATTACTGAATTATTTATATTACAGCTATACACAGAACAAGAAAAATACTTATATCAATGAAAAGTCAACAAAAATAGGATTAGATAATATGTCACGTAATACCCAAAATGCTAATTTGTCTGAACCTAATGAAATTTTGAAAATCTTTTACGAAATTCTGGGTGAATATAAAAAGAAGTGTAGCAAATACGATGATAATAATATATTCGTCCAAGAGCAATGTGAATGTAATAACGAACAATTTTATAATCAATATGTTGATCATTGCGAAGTTCAAGGGACTGACCAATTTAATGATCATGTTAATCATTGTCCTAATATGTATGATGAGCACAGAACTAATTTAACTGTTTATGATAAATTACGAGAAATTGGTAGACCGAAAATAACAAATACAGGAGAGGATAATAAGACGAATAAAAATTTACACAAGTTCAAGGAAACAGAATGTACTTGTACTCATAATCAGAAGTGCATTATGGATATCGATTCCAATTACAAATGCTGTCCCTCGTGCTCTTCAGAGCATCTCGATTCGTATGAAAAGGAATCCACTTCATTATGTTGTAAAATGAATTCAAGACCTTTTAATAATGCCGTTAGAAACATTGCCCCAGAAATTCAAAAAATGTTTGACACAATGTACATGTCACGGTAAAGATATTGAGAGCATATTTAAAAATAAATAATGTTATTATATAAAACCATGTAATTAATTTTATGCACAGTCGACGAAAAAATTCCATGAAATACGACGCACAAAATAATGCACAGTCTTATCCAACCGAAAATTCAAAGAATTGTGGAAACTGTATGATGTACAAGACTGATTCATTTCCAATGTTAATAACGGCAGGTCAAGGCCTGATCGAAGTTCATGTACTGTACCTTCAACTTTCCACCGCTGTCAGTAACCATAATTAAAGAAATATACTAAAAAATCTGCAGATCCTCAAAGTCATCAATTTATAATGATTTCAGGCAACTCAAGCACTCTCTCTCATATATAATTTATCGGACATTTGTCTGTTTGTCAGCTGGAATATTTGGGGTCAAGAAAAGGCTTTTACGCCTATCATGAAATACCCAAAGCTCAATTTCAATTCATCATCAGTTTATCGAATTTCCGAAATGTTCCCATTCTTTGATTATATATTAAACGATAGTATTATATTCCAAATCAACGTTGTAAACAAAAATGATGATGCACTGACTATAGGTGAAGCAAAACTGTGCGTTAAAAATATCCTCGATTATCCTCAAAATAAAATGCACTACATTGCAAATGTCTTAAGCAACTTGTCATGTAACCTTGGAATGGATTTTGGACAATTATCTTTGTGGGTTCGTTTAAGCTGTGACATGGATACAGTCGATGCCTTTAAAGATCAAAAAGGTTTACTATCTCAAAGTGCAAATATTCCCACTTCAGTTACCGATCCAAAAATCGAGGAAGAGACTAAACAAAATCATCTAACGAATTCTACATCTCTTATTTACATAAAGGAGGAACCTACGATATTAAATATTCCCGCAAAATCAGGACCTGTTAAAAAAGAAGGTATAGTCCTCGGATCTAACAATACTTTGAAAAAGTTATAGCATTTTTTATAATACATACAGACTCACCGTTGGAATCGTACCTCAGTATATCGGCTAATCAAATGGAACCCCATAGCTCATTATCCCACGATAAAACTACTATGGAAGATGAATATGACACAACACCAAATGAAAGTCGTGAAAAATCTAAAATAATAAGAAATGTGTAAGTTTAAACAAATATTTATCGAACAATAATCATAAATTATCCATCAACTACATAGAAACCTAGTATCAACGATTCCTAAAAATCCCGTGAGCCTTCCACCGAAAGTGACAAAAGCGGATGAAGTTGAGCAAATAGAAACATCCAGCATAGTGGAGTTCAATAACGTCCTCAAAAACGTAAGAAAATATGTATCCTTAAAGAATAACATAAAAGCTAACATAAGTGAATCTTTCTTTTAAACGATATATTCAGAACCCTGGCCCTTATCTTAAAAGAACCAACAGTGCATTACGCGACCTGAGTGCTGTCTTTGAAGAAACTAACTGGGATCGTTATAGGAAAAGTTTCATAGCAAGCAATACACGTGCGAGATCTTACAACCAGAGGGTTGGGGTGTGAATATGAAATAAATCTTTAAAAATATGTGTAAATAAATTTACAGAAACAAAGGACAATGATAAGTACTATGATGATGGAGACATCGAGGATAGCGACGATTTTATAAATAATGTACGAGATAATTCTATTAGTTTAACCTAAGAGTAAGGAGTAAGAGTGCTGGATGACTGCCCATTAAATATATATGCTATAGAATTATATCGTAAAACAGCATATATATATGTATATATATATATATATATATCAGGGTATACCTTGATCCTTGTTTAAGTTAGTCGTTAAATCGATCGTTAGTTCAACGACCCATTTCTCCCCGAATTAAAACGCGTAGGTTAGCCAAGTCTGCACTAGAAATCTCTGGCCCTTTATTTATAGGCCTGTATAGGTTGGCTTAAGAGGATAGGGTAAGAGTACTGGATACCAGTGAATTACCATACTATTATTTTACTTGAACTTTAGCTAATCGCCGGTTAGAGTAGTAATTTTCGATGATACTTAATTTCAATACGAAAATCGATAACTTGTTCTGTATATACAGCTGACTATTCTATACAAAACTGCAATGAAGATGAGTATACATAATACTGAGGTATCGAGACAGTTATTAATAAAAAAAATTGAATGGGTAATAAATGTAGTAAAATTCAATTTTATTAGATTTACATATCAGATATCCAACACTCTCGACCTATTATTAAACTTATTAAGAGCAGAAACTCTTAGGCTTAACTAGCAGAGATTTCGTATATACAGTAAACAATAAAAATTAACATTGCTAAACTCTTATTCTATACTCTATAAAGAATTATGCAATGGATTTATTTTATTCTCTATATTTTATTATAGACTGAGGACACCATAACGATAGAGATAGTGAGTATGACTCTATTCAAAACTGCAAATCTCTACAAAAGTACAGATGTTAAGTTACTCTACGTGGAATATTCTTTCCTTGGCCACTATGGCGCTGACATGGAGACTATTTCTGTTCTAAAACCTCTGATAGATAATGGAAAAATGTTCTACAATTTCAAAAGGAGTGAGTACCCTCTAACAATACACAATTCTTTAGCATATATAGAATTAACGAATATGACTCTATTCACGTGCACAGTGCTATCATCAAGTTGTCAGTTAACGACCACCACACGATGCTTTTATAATCCCAGTATAGAGTCTTGAGTACCAAGTACTTCAGGACAGAAATTAACGAGAGTCGACTTCATGTTTCGTTTCAGAATTTGAGATAGACGAGAAAGCACATAGCTTTCAGAGGGAAATGCTACGCGCCATGCTGTCCGAAGCTGCTAATCCAAACATAAGATTCGTCATTGTCAGCGAGCCACTTCCGGAAGAGATGGACACTAAGGAATGCGTCGATGTTGGGTCGGTCCGAAATAACTAAAGTTTAAACAGATAATCTCGTAGCGTTGGGCATTGCCGTGTGTCCTTTTTCAATAGAAAAACACGTCAGCCACAGTATGGTGTCTAGTGCATTAGGATCATTAAAATGATACTCAATTGTGTCTATGTTAGACCCTAGCGTAACGTTTCAGCTATGCCAATTTCAACATCAAGGAATACGCCATGGGCGATGGCTTCAAAGAGGTACCTCTGGTAATTATGAACACGAGACAAACCGAACAAATTGGACTTCTAAAGGTATATTGTTAAATGGAAGAAACTTGTTAAAATGTAACGTCTACGCTTATTGTTGCTGAATATTAATAATACTTACAGATTGCTATTGATGGCATCCAGGTGATCCAACGATGCTTGGCAGAAGTATTAGGAAAATGAAACTTAAGTCTACGAATTGTCCTAATCAATTGTTTTATACTATATTTTTACAAGTATTTCAAGTTTAAGTATTTTTTTTTTAATAAAATTATGTGAGTACATGCATTAACGTTGCAGTTGCATTATTCGTTTATAGCTTTATTATTTATCTGAAGAGTATTGAGTTTTGTCAGAATTGATATTATCATTTGATAAGGCAATATTTATTAAAGTCTATCTTTAGTACACTATAAAAATCAATTATTTCAATATTAATCCTTCAAAGGCGCGTCATCCGTATCAGTGCAGTTGTAACATGGAGAGTATGATAAGGGATACCCTAAAGTAGATTCTCAGCTAGATAGCACTATTGTCAATTCCATTTTTTAAAGACAAATTCTTCTTCTACCCATTGATAGACACAGTATGATTATCTCTTGTAAATGGCGTAGTACATTTCTCCTGATGTTTCTCCCGTATGGCTGAATAGAGTCTAGTTCTTCGTAATATCTCATGGAAAATACTTGTCGCCATTTGAAAATCTCTACAATCTCTAGGCTCACGTGAGACTGTCCACATACCTTCTATGGTATCAATACCTTGGCAAACTCGACAAGCGCCTGTTGATAATTTATAAAATTTTAAACATTACTCAGAACGGTAGGTTGTAAAACTAGATAAAGAGGAGACCATTTTTCTAAGTTACAAAAAGATTTACCTATAAAAACAGCTAGAGTTTTTGTATGATTGTCAGTTGCAATAAGAACAAAAGGGCCACCGCGTTTAAAAGGTGCGTGGCCGGTTACGTTCCAGGTTGTGTTTAAAAGACCTTCATAAGATGGTTGAGGTGTTAATATACCCAGGGATACTGATATAGTGTGATTGGTAACTCTCATGTCAATACGTACTCCAGCCTGTATAGTTACCCAAGATCCTGTGAGTTTACAGGGTAAACCTGATGAATATGATAAAATGAAAATTGTAATTTTTTAATATTTGAAGTATAAGTAGCAAAAAGATTAATTAATATAACGACCTTCTTTCTGTTCAGTTTTAGAACGATCAATCTTAAGTTCCTCAAGTTCGTCAATGATTTTATTCAAAATTTGACTGGCGACTTCCTTTGTCTCATTAACCATTGCTGTAATATTTGATGTATTCGTTGATCCAGCAGTATCAATTGCACCAGCAGGAGTAGTAGTCATTGGCAGTAAATGATGCTCCATGACTTTAATCTCTTTTTGTTTTCCTTTTTCTTTTCTCCTGACTTCTTCAGGTTCCGGTGGAACCGATGAAGCCTCACCGACTCCCTTTAATTTTGGATTTAATTCTGGCACAGTTGTTGTTGTGCAATTATTTTTCGGATTTTCTTGTCGATCTTGTCCCTCTGTTTTGTCATTAGTCGATGGTTTCGCCATTTGAAGATTTGTTTCTGGTCCAACTGTATCGAAATTGTTTAGGTCTCGATTAGCTGTCCAATTATCTTTAGAATTTTTCTCTAATAACTCGTACGAACCGCTATTAAAGCTAGATTTATCGACTTCAGTAATATTCATTAAAGTTGATGTACTTTCTACTTGATGACTATTAGTCGAAGTGAGATTAGATAATGATGGAATTGTTTGTGAAGTAGCTTCGCTGCTTTGGACAGTAGAGGAAGAAGAACTTCCAGGAGAATGATTCCAACTGGAACTAGCATTGACCCCCAAGGATGCAAATAATTTACTAAGAGGTTGAATATTATCCGTGAACGCCGAGGGAGATAACATTTTATTATTTTGAGTAGAACTTGATAGAAAATTATTGTCCAGTATGTTATTCAGGCTTCGCTGGGTTGTCAATATAAAATTTAAATCATTTCCTACCCGAGATGAAAAACGTTCAGAACTTTCATGTTCAGCAGATAATTGTAATGGATTCACTTTACCATATCGATCCTGATTTGAATTAAATTTCCGGCTTTGTGCCTGCGTCAATAAACTAGGGACTGGATACTGATATTCCTTGTTAGAAACAGAAAAGGTTTTACCAGTGTCAAACATTTTGTTATTGTTGAAATTTATCTGTGGCTGATCGTTTCCGTAGCCTAAGGATGGTTCCTGCTCAATTTGTAAGCCAGACGTATCTGCCATTGTGTCCTGAGAGCCACTGGAAAATGGATACACAGGGTTTCCATTCTTTTCTAATAGCGATTCGTATTTCGGTCCATAATTGAAATCGTTATCATTTTGAATTTCAATGGATTGGCCCAGAGAGTTGCTTTGAGAAATAGGAACGTAATTTTGTAGGCTGTTCACTGTCTTATAAACACCATCTTCAGACCTTCTATCCTTTATATTCTTGTAACGATCTTTTGGAATAGAGTAAAGATAATGAATATAAGAATTGCTAGGACTTTCTTGACTATAAATAGAACTACCATTAAGGACTTGTCGTGTTAAGCGGGATCTACTATTCTTGGATGTATCATCATCTTTTGATTCTATTTTATTCACAGGTGGGTCATTCAAAATATCACCCTCGCTATAATATTCTGAATATTCGACGCCTTGGTCGCCTGGACTCTTTTTTCTGGGGTCTCTCGTCGTGGTTTTCATCAGTTTAGCAATCATACTTTCTCTCTCCGATATATGACTGACTTTCTTTTTGGCTTTCTTCTTAGACTTTAGCCTTGCTACTTTCATCAAGTGAGGATTGAAAGTTGGCAGCTCCTGGACGGAATAATCCATATAATCTTCACTGGCTAGATCAATGGCTCGTCTAATTTCTTTTTTCTCCGAATTTCCCTCTGACAGATTATCCTCCTTATTTCCATTAATTCCATTAGGATCAGAGAGTGACAATTTTCTTCGTGCACCTTCTACCAGATTTATATGTCCTCTACGTAGCTTAGAAAATTCTTTCTATATTAATTCAAGTTTTAAAGAACACGTCATATTTAAGCTAACCAACTTTACAATATTCAACGTAAATCCACGTAAACTACAACGACAAAGTCCTTTTAAACACACTTTCTAGCATACCTACCTTTGATGTGGGTTTACGTTTTATCACATGAGCATGCTGTATTCTATCTCTAGCAGGATGATCCTTGTGCCTCTTACGCTTTTTCTTCCTGGGTCTGCTGCACGATTTACAGATTTCCTTAGATGTCTTCGGGGACGAAGAGTAACTATCCGCTGTGGAAGACACATAAACCTGCTGTCGTCCACCGTCTTTTGTCCTGACATCAGTGAGTCTCTTGAACGTGTCCTGCATCTTCGACGACTGCAGGGCGTCCTTTGCTAATTTATGAGCCAAGACCTGAGTCGGGGAAAGCTTGGGATTGGAGACGATCGCCTTCACAAAGATGGTCCTACCATGGCGTTTCCCTGAAGAAGACGAGGAAGAGGGTAGCCGCTTCGTTCTCGCTAAACGAGTTTGCGAATCATCAACCAAAAGAGAAGAGTCCTGATAGCCATCTTCAAAAGTGTCTCCGTTTTTCAAGCCGGACGAGATAGCTGGATCCAAACACATAGCGACAGATGAATTCACCGTGACGTTCCTAGACCGTTTGACTTCAGCTTCAATGCGAATCACGGTAATCAGAAGCGAGATGATTACGTGGAATCTAGTCAATAAAAAATGACGTAGGTGTCAAAACTGTCCGAGGAACTCTTGACTCGTGTGAAATACTTTTGGCAAAATTTCTGTATGAAGTACTGGCTAAATACCTGTATGAACTCAGCTGCATTCCTCTACGAGGTGGCTCGACCAGTTAATCAGTCTGGAGGCCATGAGTCTTTCAAAACCTAAGAGAAGAAACGACTCTGGAGCCTCGAGAGCGAAAAGAAGTCAAAATGAAATTTTACCTAAACTATTTTTTATCCGCAGTTTCTGGTCGCCTCGTATGAGAAGTCGTAACGTCCTTGGCAAAAATTATAGAGGCACCTACGTTAAACTTTAATTAACCAATATCTGTCATATTCATTTTTAAAAAATATATCAAAGCATCCGCGTCACCCGATACTCTTTTATTTATTCAAGTATTTTTTTCTATGCCTAAGCTATTGTCGCTCGATCATGTCTTACGTGCGATAACTTATAAATAGATATTTTGATTCATTTGATTGATATCGTAACTGATGGAAGACACTGCTCGATTTATCGCAAACGGCGTGTACTACCTATGTATGCAGTTCACGTAGCTGAAGTGCGATCAAAGCGTCTTGGCCATTCGCCAAGAACACGCGTCGGCCTCAATTAGTCGGATATTGCAGTTAAATATTCTACACGCGAATAAGGTGCATTAATAACACGGAAATGAGTATCATACTACTCGTAACACAAGACCACCCTTTCACGCGTTACCGTCATTACATAAAAGCGCACGCGTTGATTCAAGGAAATAGTAACAAGTTCGCAACTTCCCAGGGAAAGTCTGAAAATATACACAGTCGGCCAAGTCTCGCTGCCGATTAGATATTCTCGAGAAGGAACTATGGTCTAGGAGATATAATACGGGGATTTGTGTACAAAAGTAGTCGCGCAACTACCGAACAATTTAAAAAAATAATAAAAAATATTTCAATGAATACAGCCAATTTCGAAATAGCCTAGGTCAATTTATTTGTCGAATACTTCATTTATCTGTACTCACTGATATTCATATTCTTTCTGTGTTAGAGCCAATGTAAATGAAGAAATTTAATCGTTTCAAAACTTAACTAGATCATTTTATTACAATGAAATATTCTTCTAACACCGTACGAACTGCACTAATCGAACTGTCAGTCAGATGTCTGAGCTCGACTTGACAAGAAGGACAAGGAATAGTCAAACTACTTGAATGCCTTAGAACTAACATACAGACCGCCCGCACAGAAAACGAACCAAACGGACCCAGAAGTCGTCGCGAACGCAAATAGATTCTCGATCATCTGCTGAAGTACGATTGGCGCCTCGTGTACGTACAGGGCAGCAAGTAGACTTTGAATCCAACTAGCTCTAAAGATTGCATTCAAACGCATGTATCATCATGGTCAGTCATTCGTATTTCAACAATGACTTTAGGAAATCAAATGACCTCCTGTCGAGTCTGCCTATCCAAGATGAAGTGGATAAAGTGGATGCGCGTTGTGCCAAATTTGTGCAATCGTGTAAAGGATCAACGTAGTAGAAATAGAATGCATAGTGCATACCATTGAGTCTGACGTAATGAAATGATCATGAAATGGAAAGAAAAAAAATTACATTTCAATTAGCTAATATATAACACTGTAATTAGTGGTTCAACAACAGTCGTGAAAATTAAATATTAGTTGAGTCAAACTATTGAACCAAGTTTTTGAATATATAGATATTTTTTACTCAACAGCATGACAGCGTTACAGCATGATAGATATAGGATCACTTATAGATCCCAACCACCTTAAGTGTTGTAGTACCGAATTATAAGAAGTTTGATGCCGGTGCACGTTGAGCGAGGAAGAGACGGAGGGCGTCGCGACGCCTTGCGCCTGGCATTGGTGGCAGTCTCGAGATAGCCTCCGGCTGGCTTCTTACCACCTCAATTTATTCGGGTATACTCTGTTCAAAGTGACGAAACAGCGGGACACTTTAATTTGAATTTCGAAATTCACGCACTTCTCTTGACTCCCTTAACTGTTTACTTCGCGTCGACATTTTCTTATTTGTTAATCGGTTTTTTCGCAGAGGTGAGTTTTGCTGTATAACCAGCACGTCATGCTTCTAATTTTATGCGAGTGTTGTGCAAGTGTCGAATGAGTAAGACGGCATTCGAAATTCATGCGAAGGAATCACTTGTATACGATTATCTTTTCTGTTGATATTATAACAGAATTCTTTTTTCTCTAATATCACAAATTTTACTCGACGTACATTCCGTGCAGTAATTTCGTACGGACACATTACGTATCCGATGAATGATCAGATACAAATTAAAGTTTCAGTGCGTCGAACTTATCAAGTTGCATTGCATAGGATAATGCACCTGGGTCAAGTTGTACGGTGATCTTTAGTGTTAATTAATTGAAAATTGATACTAGTACCTGTGTGACGTGAAAGGGAAAAAGTGTTGGATATGTAGCGTGTTTTTTTTGTTAAATAACGAAAATATTTTCAGTGACAAAACAATCTATCAATATTGCTTTCTTGACATTTACAGTAGAGAAGAATATCTAAAATACGATTTATTAAAACCAGTTGAAACCTCTTTAATTTTTAATTTGTTAAGCTAAGTAAATTCATTGGTAGAATATTAATATAACAATCATTATTAAATAAATTTGTATTCTATTCAGATATGTATACAGTGGTACAAAAATTTCTTCAAACGTCATCCATAAGTTAACCAGTGAATGAAATAACGATCAATTCGATTACCGTGATTGATAAAAAATAATGCATAGTTTACCAATTATACAAAACAGTGTAATTAATATTATCGTATAAAAAGTCTCGTTGTATCACATTCACTGTTGATCATCTTGATCAGTTAGCATAATCTCATTTTATACTAAGCGTATCGAAATACTAAAAGTGCAACTGATACCGTAAACTACTGTTATCATAGTTGCCTACGTTATTCAAAAACAACTATAGTATCCTTAACTATGTCGAAAATGTATATACAGTTAATTCCTTATAAATTCGATATCCTTAAACGAATTTGCATGAAACATAGGTCGAAATGAAATTCTATCTAGCGTGTTCAAGGCGCCTCGTAAAATAGCTAGGCTATTTTCCTGGCACAGTTGTGAAAGTCAAGTATCTAGTGAATCAAACTGACATCCTACTCGACGAAGGTCAAATTTTTTGGTTTAAGGTAAACGTAGAAAAAAGACATCGTGCCTACAATGTATCTTAAATAGAACATGATGTTCTTGGATATATTAATTTCATAGCAGGTGGTACGACCATTATTCAATTAAAACAGAAGAACTGTTATCTACAGCCATATTAAAAAAAAAATTAAAAAAGAGCACAATATTTTGAGAAAATTTACGAGCAGTCAAAATCTTATATAGCCGTTAGGCACAGGGAAAAATTACGAAAAAGTCAAAAGTTTCGTAACTTTATTCTTGTTGGAAGTTCGATCGGCTTGTGAAAATAAATATTCGTTACTTTTTTATGGCCTGCATTCGTCCTATGCTGTAATACGGTTCCGCGCGCAAAGCGGTTTATTTACATTCGATATATTTTACCAGTGCTCGATCGGATTCTGTAGGACCAAAAATCGACAACGGAAGTGACCCAATTAACGGTGAAATACAAGAAAATGCGGCCAACCGCGCAGAGGTGCCCGCCAGCCAATCCTCAAATGAGTGTCGTCCCGCGTTTTCGAAATAGATACTGCCAAACTGCTGCTAAAGGTTGATCCACCAATACGGATTATCCGTAGATGATTCCGCGGGTGATGTTAAATAATTCCAATCCTTTGATCAAAGCATCGAACCAACATGGATATCGCGTTGTAAAACGAGAACCAATAATATAATATTTAGTGATCCTATAACGGATGGTGTAAAGTTTGACTGCCGCATAAGTGCATTTGCAACTAAACTTGAGAAAACGTACTTTCTTTTTTTTTAATTAAAAATTTATTTTTACGAAAAAATTTCAAAAGTGTAACATACGTGTAAATTCCATATTGCACTGACGCATGATAGTAAGCTTTCTGTCTTTTTTTTTTATTTACATAAATCTCGTTTGACAGTTGAACTTGATTTTTGAATGACAGGTAACAAATTTTTTAAATAGATTTTAGTCGGTATCTTCTCACCAAACGTGTTACTTCCCGACTGTAGAATTTCGAGCTGTTAGCATCAAAAGATGAACCAGAGAGAATCCCAGAGCTTCGCCGTTTGCGCAACTAACGAGAGGTGGCATCACCGCCGCGATATATCGATACTACTTTACCCGCAATAATATACGAGTTCTTGTATATTATATAAAACATCAAAATTTTCAAGAATAAGATAAAGTGCAGAATAAATTTAAGAAGCAAATTAATATTTATAGATTCAAGTTACAGTATATCATTAAAACCAGTAGACGACTCCCTTATTTCCATTCACGAGATAATCTATCTATTTAGAACAGTAGTAAAATAAAAATAATCTATAATAATTAAAAATTCTGCACTTGCACTTTATTTCAGTATAATGACGTAGCAGTTCAACAATAATGGCTTTCAACGGATCATTCACAAGATCCTCGTCCAAAAAGAAAAAAGGTAAATATTTGCATTGATTATTCGAATGAAAAAAAAAAATAATAAAATAATTTCATTTACTTAAAAAAAAATTTATTTTTCTTTTAACTAGAATTCGCAGCTGAACTCAGTAAGCTGCTCGTGAGTAGAAGTACGAAAATCGAAGAAAGTATCTCAACCCAAATAACTCAAACTTCAATCGAGGTGAGTCAAAGAATCTAAAAAAAAGAAAAGAACGAGAACTATTTTTCTTATATCCTCTAACGATTGCGTAATCGCACGATAAAGACACCGATTATGTCTACAACAATCTTCCGCGTCACGAGAGACAAAGGAAGTGAGACGAAAAGCATTGAAAGATGCAATAAAATTTTGAATAAAAATTCAAATGAAATTTTCGTCGCTGACCAAAACACGTGACATTCGTCCTTTTGAATTCGAAAGCTTCCCGGTAGCCACTGACTAATCGACGTACTAGCGTATAACAAGACGTACCTTTCCAAACACGTTACATCACGATACTACTATCTAAATTAAAACTAAAACCAACGCGTACCACGAAGGTAGAATCTGGTTCGATGCCAAAGCCTCAAGTCAACCAAGAACTCACCGCCATTCCAAATACTCCCGCAATGCACGCTCACGGCGCTCATTCTTGTCTACCTCGATCTCCTCCTTTTACCACCGACTATTAAATGAAGCCCCTTACTAAGCTTCCGGTTTCAACCGTAGTCAAGATGTATTAGTTTTCATGCACCCACGTCGCTGACATTTGCATATTATCGGAGTAGTAACGTACAGCACTGCCCAATCTGTTCTAATAATTTCTAAACCGTCTAATGAGTCCAGTAAAGACTAACAAAGCATTTTCAAAAAAATATCGAAAGACCGAAAAGTTTACAAAAATTTCATCAATCCTTATTTCATCCATATTATTTAAAGTCTATACGCACTATAGAGTATATAAGATAAAATCGTTTATAAATCTAAACTGTATCCAATCAATATTTTCATATATCATCGTCATACGTATTGCCATATTACTTTCATGCTTAAAGTTTCCAGACAAGCACTTTTACGTAAATATGTACCCTGTGCAATTTTTTTCTCGAGATCCGAAACTTACGTGTTAACGATACTAGATCGTATATCGAAAATGTGACTCAGGCGTGACGATGAGAGATTAAGACTCGGCAGGAGAACTGTAGACTTTGGCAGTTCGTCAAAATCTCGTAGACGTGCCAATAGCCCGTTCGTACTCTTAGCGAGTATGAAGCTAATAGCTCGGTAAATCAGTGAAGACACGCCACGCGCAAACGTAATCGCGTTTTAAGAGTCTATCGAAAAAGGCCCAATAAATTCGTATAAAATCTTTTTGGTCTTGTAGAAAAGATTTGGAATGGATTATTGTAGCTATTACTTAAAAAATAAATATGTATCATGACAATTTTTTAAATACATTTTCATACGACAGAAACTTCATTGTTGCGACTCTCAGCCTCTCAAGTGTTAACAGACTGAACCAACTGCATTTACTGTTTACTATCTTCATTGCCAACTTCACGTCTTCTGCACGTTTAACTGCCAATCTGATCTACGATAACCATCTGTATAACAATTTGTACTCAAACAGATCAGTGGCTGAGACAAGCTCCATTATTTATTCTGCTGCGAATGATTCAATTTAACTACATAGAATTTATATGGATTCAAATACATCGTACACAGTCAACCGTACGTTTCGGTATGACAATTTGTGAGGTTATAGTGGTACCTCAAGCAATTCTCACGAGCAGACTAATATATCTGTATATCAAGTCTTTGTTCTTTCTAGAAATGTACACGTTAAATTTATCCAGAGTTCTTGTTACGTGAATTTTTTTGGGCAACGTCCAGACGACAAATTTCAAAACGATTACTGGGGAATATTTTACTTTGTCGGAAAAAAATATTTTATTTGACAAAAAAAAAAGTGGCACTGAATCACGTTGATCAGATGAAATTATTTCAATCGTCTTCCTTGCATACGTCGAAGATAAATCTAAAATTGTTTATACTATACCTCAATCTTCTCTGGGCTTTTACATTGGCGAACGCTAATCATACTACTTGATGTATTCGATGTGTTGATATTTTTCTGTAAAGCCAATTCAATTAAATGTCCATATAACGTACCGTTTCACCGACTGTACTCTGCTCTAAAGATGTATTGGAGAAGTAAGAAGGGTAGCTATTTCTGTTCGAGAGGAGTGAGACTCGCCACGCAAACGGCTCTTAGCCACTTCGTATACCTAGTAGTCTGGCGTTCGCCGCGTATCGTAATACACTTTTCGAAGCCACATGCGAGACCAATAGGATGTAATAACGACGTATGAAACCGGCGTTTCGGGTACTTTCCAATAACTTGTCAGCATAGTGTTTACTGAGAGCAAGATAAGTCACTCGGGAATAATGAGAATAAAGTATTGACGAATAAAGGAAATTCATTAGATACGCGGAACGTACGGGACGCAACGAAGACTTTTCGAACGTAAAGAAAATATTATAACGAAATTTTAAACGACTGTATACAAAGTGGGTCCATTAATATTGATCTCAACGACTTCAACGTCAATGGAATTATAATCGTAATCCTTACGCCGCTTTATTAGCTTTTTCGTGCTTCGTTGCTCCTCAAGTGGCTTCCTTGATTTATTACGGCAAAATAAAATTGAGGTGAAAGTTCTTTTTGGTGAAAAGTGAAAATTAGAGTTATATATATACAAGCGTGTATGTATATATTATAGATGGTTATGGTTTTTTGAAAATTTTTCAAAATTTATTGCCTTATTCGCGTTGTAACGAATCGGATATTTATTGCAAAGCAGTGAAGTGTATCCTTAACTGTTAGTGAAATCAGAGAAGCTAACAAAGAGAATATTTTAATCTCTATCTGTGAGAGGACGAATGCTTTTTTGCAAAGTGTATTGCTGGCATAATGTTTGACTGGCATATAGGATTTCGATCGAAGAGTGTTTAATTTTGTATCTTTGTAAAATCAAAAAGTATCAACTACGATAAAAGTGACAGTTTTGTTTTATTGCGGGCAATCAAATAAATTGAAATCTTTAGTGATCCACGTGAAGACCCGACTATAATTCAAAGTCGAGCACCTGGCTCGATTCACCTGTCAAACTGTTCGACGATAAAACTGTGATACTTGGAAGAAGTACAACTAAAAATTTGTCAAGTTCAAATTTTTTAGATCGACAAAGAAGATATAACGCGTTAAAGAGATAGAGAGTATACCATCGAAAATTCTTTCACGTGTCGAAAGTTTGTACATTGGCTCGTTACCAGCGCCCACAGTTAAGACTTTCGGTGGAATTTCTATGGCATCCCGGAAGTAAAAATAACCGTTTGACTTGATTTATTTAAAAACTGAATCGAATTTCAAATGTCGTAAAAGGAAAAAAAAAACAAGAAATATTTCAAACGAAATCCACATTCGCACTTAAGCCAGAATTGTACCTTGTCTACTAAAGCATTAGTAGATTTAATTAAAAAAGACAAAGATTGGATTGAAGTTATTAAAAGTCAAACTGCTAAAACATCATGGCGCATGATGCAGCTTTTAGAGATACTACCGGCACGGATAACGGCAAAACGTGTACTAAATCGATTCAAGAGAAAACAATATTCTGGATGCGTTCGATTAGCGCTTTAGTCGGAGTCTGAAAAAGGAATCGTCAAGCGTAGCTTATTAATAGAGCGAGACCTGTGACAGGAAGGTGAATGACTAGTATTAAACTTAGACCAAGCGAAAGAGTCACTAACGAGTTGTTGAATATTCGAGTTCCCGTAGGACAGCAGTTTCTGACTGATGTTGAGTGATTAGAAAGGTAACAGTGGGGTGCAAAGGATAATGTCCTACTGCAGGATCACGGGGAGGAGCAGGGGCCTCCCCAAGCCTAATTACTTTCCATTACTGCCACCCATAAGTCCCGCAGACGCAAAACGTTTTTGTCGAATCACAGGAAAGTCATATGGTCTGCCGACACATCACTACATTCCTGTACTCCTTGGGGTCCATTCTCATGACAAGTCCAAGTGCAAGATCACCAACGCTTCGGGATTGGGCCCACACCATTACACCGCGGGACTTATTCTGGGCGAGAAGAAGAAGCACGTGGTGCTCAAGGATTACAGATACGTGTTTCCGGTTCTCGATGGCGATGGCGACCAACAAAAGGCACTGCGCGACTTGTTGGAGACCAAGCAAACCTCATCGGAAGAGGAAGATTTGAGATTCGTCTATACCGTGGAAGAGCGTAGATGCAGTCTTGTATTTCCGGCACGTCTCGAAGCCGCCGTAAGAGATGGTGACGTGAGAGACGTTATGTTATCGAGAGACTGTGACACAGTTTTACTTCGATTGAAGCAGGGCAAGAATGTCTCGGTAGATTTTCGTGATTTGGAAGACTACGAGAATCTATATGATGGGCTTGGACCGCGCGAAGATGTCCTCAAGGAACGTCAGAGGCTTGAGACTGAGGCTAGAAAGAGAAAGAAGAAAAGACAAGCTGGACTTAATTATGCGAAGAAAATATTTGAAGACAAAGAGAAGGCAGCTGACGAAGAGGAGTCTAAGAGAATGAAACAAGTGAAGCTTCAAAGCGTTAAGGAGGAGTATAAAGATGAGAAGCAAGATTGGAAGCATGTTGATCTCGATCATGCCAGATCACGGGGGTGTGACCTGGTAGTGTCTTCCAGCGATTGGCACGATCTTGTTAAGCCATTAGGGGAAACATGGGATTGGGACACGTTCAAGAACGAAGCTACTAAGCCTGTTGGGGCACCTATAGTCGACCGGATGCCACGACCTATTAAAGCTCAGGCTCAGCTGGTAGATCTGGATGCCACTGTATCAGGAGCGATTAATACACCAATTTCTGAAGAAACTGGTGGGCTCGAAGCGATCCCACTGGTAGAACCATTTACGCCGTTGAACGTGCAACCGGATGCAGCACTTCAGATCGCTATAAAAGACATTCCACCTCAAGAACTTGAAAGTACGTCTAACGTGAACGCCAAATTCCTGGCTGCTGGTAAACAGGCTGTAGAAACGTTACCTAGGATAGAGGAGATACCTGAACTGGTGAAGAACATTGATAGAGGCGTTAAGACTGAAATGCACAATGTTAAAGGTCTGAAACTTGATATCAAGTCTGCACAAAGATTCCTGTCTGGTCAGACTGTTGAAACGCCGACTGGACCGGTCTTTGTACCCGGACAAACTTTGGAAACACCTAGCGGACCGACTTTTGTTCCTGGTTTTACTGTACATACTCCGCAAGGTCCTTTATTGATTCCGGGACAGATTGTTATGACTGAGGAAGATAGTGGTAAGCAGACTCCTGTCTTTGTTGCTGGACAGACTTTGCTTACTCCCAGTGGTTCGCAGTTTGTGCAGGGTCAGACTATGCATACTAGCGAAGGAGTTAAATTCGTTCCGGGTCAAACGGTTTTGACTGAGGAAGGGCCAAAGTTCGTAGCTGGACAAGTCGTTGATAAGGATACATTTGTTCCGGGACAGACTGTAATCACTGCTGATGGAGCGCAATTCATGCCAGGACAAACTATTACTGATGAGCATGGTGAACAAGTATTTATACCTGGACAGAGTGTTCAAGTGGATGATGGCTGGGAATTCGTACCTGGACAGTGTGTCAGGTCGCCAACGGGCTCCCCTAAATTTGTACCTGGACAAACTATGCTCACTTCGGAAGGACCTCAATTTGTACCTGGTCAAAATGTCATCACGAACTCTGGAGAAACCCATTTCGTACCTGGTATCACAATGGAATCAGAAGAAGGCATGAAATTTGTTCCTGGTACAACAGTCAAAATGAAAAACGGTACTAAATTTGTGGAAGGTCAAATAATGAAAACACCGGAAGGACACAAATTTATTCCTGGTATTACGAATATTGGACCGCAAGGATTTGAGTTTGCTGCAGCAAGAAACATCGACGAGGTCGTCTTCCTGGAAGCTGGGCCTGTTGGAATTCCGGTGGATCCAAAAACAGCCAGCGCAGTGTCTCCGCTGCAACAGCAAGAGATATTTGGCCATATAGTTCAAACCGAAAAAGGCGTTGAATTTGTCCCGCAAACAATAAAAAAGGAACCACAGGGAAAGAGAATAGTTCCTGGACAGCTAGTAAATGGCGGAAAAGATGGTCCAAGATTCGTACCTGGCATAATGACGGATGACGGTTTTCTTCCTGGTCAAATAGTCATGACAGAGAAAGGAGAACAATTTGTTCCTGGTCAAGTAGTTGAAACTAAAGATGGTCCAAAATTCGTACCTGGTCAAGTGGTAGATACAAAAACTGGACCAAAGTTCGTACCTGGTCAGACAGTAGAGACAGCAGATGGACCGCGATTTGTACCTGGACAAATCGTGGAGACAAAAGTAGGTCCAACCTTTATACCAGGTCAAGTGATATCTACAGAGGACGAAGGTTCACGATTTGTTCCCGGACAAGTAGTGGATACTCCAGAAGGTCCAAGATTTGTACCAGGTCGTGTAGTCGAATCCGGTGAATTAGGTGTGACCTTCGTACCAGGTCAGATTGTGCAAACCGAAGAGGGTCCTCGTTTCGTGGCGCCTGATTTAATGGATACTCCAGAAGGTGGATTGGAATTTTCTGTCCAAGGCTTTGAAGTTACTCCTGAAGAACTTAAATTGCTGAGACCTCAAAATTTGAACTACAATACGCTGGTAACTCAACATCACGGTGAGACAAGTATAGATGCCAGAATGCTTCGACAGTTGTCTGAAGCTGGAATGTCAGTTGGTAGACAAGTTCCTGCTGATTTACCATCAGTAGATTTCGATGTCGATCCAACAGCAATTTCCTTAGAACACGCCTTAGTGGTTGCTGAAAAATTAGGTCTCCATGGCAACGCAGCAGTCAGAATGGCTCAAATAGTCTCAACAGTGGCCCAATTTGCCAAGAACATAGTCCAGCAACAGAATTCTGGAAAGATTACTAACGGCAAAAAAACACCAGCAGGAGTAACGCCGATGATGAATGGTGACCATGGTAAACAAAATAATGAAAGCGATCAGGAATGGCTGCGCGACGCTATCAAAGCAGCAATAACTGCTGCAGTCATATCCATAAACAGTAATTTAACACTAGACGAAGAAAAACAGCAGGAAATAGTTTTTTCATCCATCAGCGAAGCTTTCAATGTTTTACTCAGACAAAAATCAGCGAATATTGATAACGCTGTGGATGAAGTCTATCAAACCCTTCTGATACCCCAAAACAGAAATGCACTATGTTGCGGAGCGATACTGGACTTACTGGAGTCTAGCAGCAACAAAGTAGACATTCTAAAATCCACCGTAGGAAGTCAAGTTTTGAAAGATGAAGTAGTCCTAGAAAGACTATCCGCTGTTCTAGAAGAAGAGCACGGCAGTGATATCGTAGGATCAGCATTCAGAACAGTATCCAGAGGAAATCCAGAGCTGGTATCGCTCGTCTTAAAGAAAGTCTCCGAAGAAGTTGCTGGTGTAGTGACCGAAAAGGATGCTGCAGAAACTGTACACAAGGCTATCGTCCATGCGGTACGAGAATCGAGTGAAATTCGTGTACGTGAATTATTGAATGAAGAAGGTCCGAACGTTCGTGAGATGTTACTACAGGCTGTAGGATTAGCTAGAGCCCTGGGGATGTCATCCACGGCTACGAGCCTTCTGGCTGTGATCAGCGATGAGAAATCAACCCAAGCCTTGGCTTCCGATAAGGTCACCCTTGACATTCTTAAAAGGTTAACTGTCATGAGACAACTGGCTGACGAAAGACCTCAATTTATGGGAGCACTCAGAGAACTCTGTAGCGATCCTGAACTGGCCAGGTCCGACCCAAGACTAAGGGCCCTAGTGCGCGAAAGTGCTGCACTAATGATAGTCCCCGAAGATGCTCCTCTGCAATCCTCAGTGGAGGTCCCTACGTCCTTGCTACATGCGGAGAACAGTTTGGCCATCGAAGAATTCTTACTGAAGAGAAGTCACAAACGTTCAGCTATATTTATGATCTTAAAACAGGGTATGCAGGCCGTCGTGCCTAGAGAAGCATCCAGGGCGGTTCTGACTGGACAAGTTGCTTATACTGTCCTGGATGAAGATGGGATCAGTCACTTTGAACCTCTGCATGTCTTCTCAGCGTTGAGACTAAACAGACCAGCTGCTCATAGATTCTCCATGTACCGATGTCCAGTTGCTCGTGAAGAAGACGTCGATATGGAAATGCTATCTACGACGACTGGCACCATTTCCGTGAACTCAGCTAGTAGTCTTGAAGGACTAGCCAATGGGCACGGAATTAAACAAGAAAGCAGTGGTGTTACCTTATCCAGATCGGACCGATCCGGCGGATATTCAGCCAGTCGAGAAAATACACCAAGCTTTCGTAGACTGAGCAGTCTCTACCAGGAAAACAGTTGCGAACGGGTAATGATTTTTGACAATTATTTCTGTGGCGTTAATGAGTTATCAGGAAGTCATTAGCGAACTTCGTTTGATCTTGTGTTGACAGTTATATGGATATGGATCAGTAAGGTCACCATGATGAATGAAGTTAATTTTTAAAATAATCTGCCAATTTTATCAACTAGATAACTTTTCAAAAACAATTTTTTTTTGAACGTAGAAATCTACGTTGTTGCTCTGAAAAGTTATAATTGAATTCTTATTTAAATTTATTTCCCAGGTACCTGAACTTAGACTAGTCACAAATAGGTCACCTATAATGCTATAAATGAACCCTAATACATATCTCTTCTGCCAAGATCGGAAATATCATTCTAGGTTAATTGCCCTAATGGTCTGAAGGTCGCAATGAATCTTTGGATAACACGACCAGTAGTGACAATCCTTTTGATTACGACCATTGAAGCGTCATTGCCCTACTCACCTTAAGGATCATTTTAATATTGCCAACAGGTCTAATATAATTATTAATACAAACCATTTTTTAACGCTTTGTACGCAACTTCAGGTATTACACCAGAATCAATATTTTGAATACCATAAGATTGGTACTTGATCACCTCAGGCTGATAAATCCATAAGATAACATGAAAAAATAATACTTGAGAAAATAGTATATATTTTAACGTCATTTTTCAAACATCCCACTCGCGCTCTTGAGGGTCTGCCAAGGTTTTCTACGTATAATAATTGTCGGACAGAAAAGACAAAGGACAAAGGCACAGAAGCGCCGAATATCTTGGCGTCTGCGAACTGTAAAAATAGCATGTAAATTAAATCCTTCGGTCTGTTTCAGGCAACCACGGAACAATATGTCGTTATCAAGGATCACGAGGCGGAAGATGAGGAAGGAATATCCGTAAATGCCGGTGAAGTCGTCGAGGCAATCGACTATGCGGAATCGATGAAGTAAGTAAAATTTTTGCATCTTTCGCTTCATTTGTATTTCTCAATAATAACAATGTGAGCATTATATTATAAACTAATAAACATCATGGGATCGTTGACTTGTCGTGAGAGCATATCAAGCTATTTCTGTTGTTGCTATTTCTGCCCGGCTAAAAATACAACTATAACACATCTAATGATAACAGACAGCCCATCACGACTACAAGATAATTGATGAACTTCTGACGATCACTGTTAGTCCCTAATATCTATACAGGAGTAAAATCTGTAAGAAATTTTAGTGATATTTCGAAAATTTAAAAAAAATCCCTTTTTGAAACTATAATAAAAATTTGAGTGAAAGATTAAGAAAAATGTATATTTTGCTCTTCTGCGAATCTTCAAGATAATTAAGGTGAAGTAAGAAGAGTATAAAGTGCGCTCAAAGCGTCGCGACGCACTTTTATAGAAATTTAATTCGAAAAGTTTACGCTCATTAAAGCGAAGGGATGACGAAGAAGCAGGTGCACTTTAATCTTACGTGAAACGACGTGTAACGTTGTAATACGTTAAATAGAAGACAGTTTGTCTTGCGTCGAAGGAAAACTCGGGGCACAGCAAGATGAAGAAAATATATTCGAAAAAGTATAATTAGTCAATCAGGATGGTAAACCGGGTAAGATCGTTGCCCTGGGCATCGCTCTCCTCATTGCTTATTTTCATAGTTATATTTTTACCCCCGGAGCAGCGTTTCACTGGCTCCTTTTTCTTTTCTTTCTCTTCTCCCTTTTCTCAACGACAGCTAATATGCATCCACGAGATACGTGGGAGGTGACTTTTACATGGCAAAATGGATTGCGAAGACTGGAGATGCTTACAGAAGGAGGAAAAAAATACTGAAACAACATTTTATTGCTCTCGAAGAATTTGGTGTGAACTGCTTCTTCAAATGTGGATACAAGGCTATACTATATTTTACAGTGCTTTCGTCCAAAGTGCACAAACAATGAAAAGTTAAATATTGAATGAATATTGAAAATGAGAAATAAAAAATTGCTTTTCGCTATTAATCCAGAATATAATTGATGCTTCTATGCATATATCAACAAAGCATGTGTGATAAATTGATAATAAATAAACAATAAAGACTAAACATTCTAATAATAAATGCTTCCGGCTGTCAAACTACCAGCAATATAGTATTTCTTCATTGCTTTTAAAAGATTCGACGTTCTTATAACCAATGAAAATCTACCGATCGAAACAGTTAATTTTTATGAAAATACAAAAATGAGGAATAATATTTTTAAACCAACTGTCAAATCGTAATCTAAATTTGTCAGTGACGTTATATTTGCATACAGTACAGTATATCGTACTGACCAACAAATATTGGACTCTCACTTGACTTCAGTAGTATTGCTTAATGTACGCTGTAGCCGCAGCGCCACGTGTATTTCGTTCGCGAATAATGAACCGTAACATAACGCACGTCGCGTACGTTACACAGTTTATACATATATTTTTACGCTCGCGGTCTTCTCATCTACATTACGACGACTGAATTTCATGGTGCATCGCGGTGATTCTTTGCTCCTGTCACAGCAAACTATTCCAGTAAATCTATTCTGGCTGTGACGCTGCTATGATGTTCGGGCCGATTGACAAAAGTCCCACATACATACGAGATGAACTACTGTATTCTCAAAAGACTACGACTATGAATTGCAGATAGGATACATTGCGTATACAGTTTAAATGTGAATTTAAAAGTCGTATAAAGTTTTCGCTTTGTGATGCATATTTCGCTTTGAAAAATTTCTATGAAACTTACTAATACAGTACCTGCAAAAATGTCTTGCTTGCTTGATGATGGCTGCCCAAGAAGAATTATATGTATGAGCATGACAACAACTGTTTACGTCGTTTATGGATTGTCTGAGCAAGATCGGAGAGAAGGGAAAAAAAGAGAAAGAGACTTCTCTACGGGAGAACTTGGAATGTTGTAGGAAGGCAAAGACGGATCCTGAATTAGACGTCGGTGAGGTCGGGGACCGACTGGACAATTCTGCCGCCAGGCACAAGTTGTCCGTCCGACCTCGAAGAAATCATGCTGATTCCAGGACACGAAATATTTCCAGATCGAGTTCCGGCATCCGTGCTCACAGGTACGTTAATCGTCGTAAGAAGCTTCAAACGTGGGAAGTATTGAAGCATTGTGTCGAATGAAGAATATTCAAGTGTTCGTAATAGGAAGTCTTAGAAGCTTAATAATTAATATGAACGCATCCTAGAGAAACTGGACACTGAACTACAGCTTGGAAAATATTCGAAAACTAACCTTTCATATTATATGAAGCATGTATAATAAGTAATGAAGAATGCCTATGCCATTTTCAAAGGCAACGACCCCGTCACGTCTTTACAGCCGGGCATAAAGTCAATTTATATCAAGCGTCTTCGAACTTCTCAAGCTCCATGCTGTTGCCGGATCTTTCAATCTGAATTTATTCTGTTTAAGAATCCAGAATAACTACGGTGTATAATTGTTATATTAAAAAAAAAATTTCTTACAAATAATTTACCGTCGTAAGACAATTTTTATAAATACCGTTAACATCGTGCTTAAATAACCACTGATCTTGCGTTAGTACCAACTGGAAATTCGTCATTACCAGGAGTTGTGGGTATAGCAAAAAAAAATTATTCTGATTCTCGTTCTCCTACTTACAGTGAATAAAAGCCCTCGCGAAAATTTATCGTGACGCTAATGAGAAGTAAATTTTTATAACGTGTCGTAATCATTATCATTGTACCTATATCTGCGCGTAGCAGTATAGCTAACCAAATGATAAAGCAAAGTGACGTTGAAAAAATGTACTAAATTCTAAAAAAAAATGTCCTGATTCTCGCACGCGTCTATGCCCTATAAATCTTTGAAGTTTTCCACGAAGAATCAAAAGGCTGCCGTTTCTTTTAATTCCAAAGCCGTGGCACCTCATCAAAGAAAATAATAATTCTAATAATAACGTCTTCGTACAAATTCTTTTTAACGAATATACAGAGCTTCTATCTGCTTTCGGAGCAAATGATTCTAAACCTGTAGCATAAATACATCAAGATAAAGGTGAGGTTCAAAGCTTAACGCATAGCGCAAACATGATTTTGGCAATGACGACGTTCAATGAGCTGCAAACCATTTAATAGGAACGTCGAGGTGTTGCTTGGACAGAGTCCATGGAAATGCATCGGTAAACATGCCAAGATCCGATTAGAATCTTAAAAGACAGTGAGAAATGAGTATTACAAAAATAAGCATAATAGGATTTGCATAATACAAATGCAGATCTAATCTCGTATAATCAATCGTGCAAATCACCCAGGAAATTGAAACCCTGATTATAACAGAAGTTTGCAAGCATTTGAATTCCTCTGGGAAGCAATGTATACGGAGTTTATAGAAAACATCACACGCCATGCTTGGTTACCAGAAATATTTCAGGCATTAACCCAAAAACTTGAACGTATCGTTATAGGGTTACTTCTACTGTTTGTCTATACTTATAAAATTACTTTGCGTAGTGCAAAGCGTTGCGAATTTTAACGATCCCAAATATAAAACGGTGACGTATTTAAATAAATATACACAACTTAAAATAGATCCTCTCATACAATTATAATTCGTACGTGCACGTGATATGCTAATTCGAGACGATACTTGCAACGTTAAATAGTCGATTGTGCAAATACACGTAGATGGTTAAAATTGTTGTTTGGAACTATACCCACTAACTTTTCCTAGAACTATATTATATAGATAGATCCAGCGTGGGTGATATACGGTTATATCAGGACCAATGACTAATCCGAGCACGTTGCTTACGTCGGACTCCTGGTCCATTCAATAAACGCAAAATACTTTGCTTATAATTATGATAACCAGTATAGATACTAGGTCTGTAAAATTGTAAAATTTAATAAAAATTTTTAATTATTTTATTTATATTCTCAGGGTGTACGTTCGTACAGCTGAAGGTAAAGAAGGATGGGTGCCTGCAAGTGTGGTTAAGCAAAATACAGTCAGCGAAGAAAGTTCGACACTTACGAGTCATCATCGTCCTGAGGATTCTCATTATCGTAGAGAGTACGTATTTGAGTGTTATTATTTTATTAAAAAAAAAGAAGAGAATTTATCCATGTAAAATATTATACATTAATTACATCGTCTTTGCAGGGCTGTGATAAAAGAGCTGGTAGAGACCGAAGAGGAATTCGGTAGAGACATTCAACAGGTTGTTGAGCGATATTTGAAGCCATTGGATCAACAAGGTGTTCCTCGTGTTGTTCGCGATAACAAGGAAATCATCTTCACGAACCTTAAACAAATAGCTGATTTTCACAACACGTATGTATCCACATTGAGCCAGTGTATGATTTCTGGTTTGTTCGTTCAATGCGACATTTTTCAAGTAATTACTGAACAGTGGGCAAACACAGTGATACATGGTTCTGAAAAGACAACTACACCTGACAAGTGCTAGTTTACACGTCATATGGAAGACTTGGTATAAATAACGTCCAATTATAGATACAAAATGAACACTGAACAAATTATCATACTACATGCCATACAAGCTGAAATTTTGTATACATAAAATATGTGCCTTATGCATTAGACAGTTTTAAACATGCATATACTTACATATACATAAATATTTGACACACACGACTATCTGGTCAGTATCAATTTTTGTCCAATTTAGCGGTCAAAATCTAAGAAGTAAGTTCAAAAAATTTCAGGTTTTTTTTACGTGTTCGTGTGCTTTTTCGTATAATAACTTTATTATTGCTCCCTTAATGAATTTTCATACATTGTAACAAGTTGGTCTTATTATACCCTCTGCATTGTGTAATTAAGATAATTATTTAGCAACCTAGAGAATTAGATCATTAAAATAGTATCATCTTCCTTTCGATGTTTTTTTTTATCAAATCATCTTAAGTCATTGCACATCTCGTACCACATTTCAGTTTGTTGGTAACCATCCCAGCATTTTGGTATTTTAACCATTCCTCCGTTTAGATTAGCCCATCATTTCGACATTAATTGAATCGTCGCACTCGATGAACTATCCAAGATTGTCCTTAGTTCATAAGAATTGAATGTGTTTGGCATGTCATTAATTCCGGCCTTACTTAGATCGTTCGGCAGGGTGTTGATCGAGGGTGTCAAGTACTATGCAGATCAGCCACGTATGTTGGGCAAAACTTTCTTGAGACTGGTGAGTGCGTGAGAATGGTTATTATGAATGGAATTACTATGATCTTATAATAAACAAGTAACAAAATTTTAATTATTACAGGAAAGGGACTTTGACAAACACGTGGCTTACTGCAGGGACGAGCCTGCCGCTCAGGAATTCCTTCAGACGAATGATGAAGTCCGAGAATACTTTGAGGTTAGTTAACTGTTTGTAAAACGAAAATTAGTAAGTTTTACTATAGAATATAGCGAAATAAACTTCGAAAATATTATTTAAAACTTTAATTACAATCGTTCACGTGAATGATAGAGGGTACAGTACGGCTTGAGAATAATTATTCATAGATTTCAGTTCACATTAAAAGGTACACTCAATGCAGCACGTTTACGTCTGGCTAAAATAAAACCATAAGTGGAAAGTCGAAAAACCAACGAAAAGGGCTCACTTGACCCATTGGGGTACACTGAGTACAAGAAACAGTAATAGGGTCAAGAACTCCTGGTTGTTGCGCAGGTAGTTGAAGTGTTTGTTGATGTCCTTGAAAATTTGGTCGCATATATGAGCCCCAGTTGGCAGGTCGATATAGTGTTTGATATGCTGGTTTATATCCTGGTCTATATCCCGGTTTATATCCCGGTTTATATCCTGGTCTATATCCTGGTCTATATCCTGGTCTATATCCTGGTCTATATCCTGGTCTATATCCCGGTTTATATCCTGGTCTATATCCTGGTCTATGTCCCGGTCTATATCCAGGTAGACCCGATGATCGATGATTTTCTGGACTGCTAGGATGATATGCACGAAATGGATCATCACTTGTTTTGCTTCGAAATTTACCATATGAAGGAGGTGGCATCAATCTGAATGACATTTCAGAAACGTTATCTGAAAAATCACCAGATCCATCAACATCATCATTAGACACTGATCGTGATAATGGCGACTTCGCATTCAAGGGATCAGGATACGGAGTAGGAATCTTTTTGTTTTCGATCGTCATGTTCATGGAAAGATTCTGGTCATTGGTACTCTTATTGATTGTCTCATTTGCAGTTACATTATTGTATCTATTAGGCGTTTTTTTATATTTGACTTTGAGATCTTTATAAAGTAATACTTTCTCTTTGGAATTCAATTTATTTAGATGCTTAATTCGCTGATGATCAGTTGCTGAGGAATTTTTATGATGTCCCTTAGTTCCATTTTTTGTATTATTCAATGATACTGGTTTATCATTACGTGTTGATAATTTTTTCTGATGCGAAGTGACTCCTTTATTTTTCGCACGTAACGAATAAGAAGTATCATCACTGTCACGTGGTGCACTCGCGATAACGTCACTGGACTTTTTGAATCGATTTTCTTGCCCATCCGTTGTAACTGATAATCTTAAATCACCCAAATTCTCATTTCTGATAGTAACCGGTGCATGTTTTTCAATAGTTGTTCTTTTTGACTGGGATGTCTCCGACAATTGAGAATAACTCCGATGAGCATAGCAATTCTTAAAAAAAATAACAACTGATCACACGACACTTTTTTTATTTTTTGTCTCTTTCTTTCAGCAGATTGCAAATTACTTAAACTTACCAACAATAAGATCCAGAGCACATAGAGAGCGTATTGAAACATCATTCGAATATGAGAAATAATTCATTCTCATGACGGTTTTATAGAACGCCCAACCTTTATATTGTTTGTTTTCTAACTGATCGATCACAATGAATGACAATGTTCTACTAGAAGCGATTGTGAAACTCATTTATCAGGCAACTACTTGTCAATTATTTCTTTTATATGGTTATCGCGCATACTTGCTCTTCGTATGCTGTGTTAAAAAATAATTTAACGTTAGTTCCACGATTTTATATCCTGTTCAAAATAATTAGAGCATTTCGCGAAAAGACTAAAAAGAGATTTCAGGTAACGTCGGTATTTTCAATCTTCTAATAGTCATAGAGGGATAATTCAGGTTTCTGTTTTACCTTACAAAATTCCGATACATACTTAGTCTATATAAATTCAAAATAATATGCAAGCTATGCAAATCCATGCTATATATTCCATTTTCAAAACACTTACTGACTAATGGACACTTTAGTGCTCTGTCCGAGAAACTGATTTATGATTCAAAGGAGAAGTTTATGACTACTAAATACTCATCATTTTACAGTAGATGACTATTCGCCCAATAAAATTAATATCTTGCATTCGTCCAAACATCAAATCTGCAAATCTATAATACTCATTAAAATAACGAAAAAGAATATTATACGCACAAGTAATTCTTAGATTTCGTGACAGCTCAGAGATTTTAAAGTTCAAGCGGATTCGCGGGTCACACAGAAAATCATGGCGATTGGTGAAAATCCGCAATTACATAACGACAGGGCCAAACGGGCTTCCGTCCAGCCCCCAAAATAGCTGAGTTTATTTTTAACAGAGTAACATCTTGCATCTTACTTGCTCCCAGCCTCTACCGCGACTTCACGCAATATTAAAAGAAAAAATGCCATTACTATCACCTAGTGACGTAGCTCGTGACGCAGCTATCGTTTGTCGACTAGAGGTTTTTCTTACTAGACTTAGAAAAACACTCCAAGTAGCCAAAAGCAAAACAAACTAGTATGAGGTATATATTTTGAAGAAGATGCTGGAGGCATATAATTATCCGCAAGAATACACATATGAGCTATCTCTAAAAACAGAGATTATCTAACTGCTGGAGCGTGTAGTTAAATGTGGATCGGATCAGGCGATGCGAATTTAGATTTTGCCAACTGTGATCGAAAGGCATGAAATTTCATCATGGATTTAAGAGATTCTTCGTATAACCTGTAATTGGCTGATAGGTACCCATTCAGAAAATTTCGAGCGAGCAGAGCGGTGATGTCATTCGTGACGTTTTGATACGTCAAAGCACTTTTCTTGGCTATTATACAAACGCGTTGTAAGAGTCCACGCAAGTTCCCTGACTATTCTTCATTGTGAATTAATGGACGGAGCTTTCTTGTATTTTAAGAAAACTCTCATCATTTCTCTCCATAAAATAGACTCTGACTAATCCATACAAATTTTCATATTCATTCCTTATCATTTCCTTATAAGAAACACGCCAAAGAGATTTCATAATTTTTTCCAAAAAAAAGCATTCCATTACTCATACACGAGAATTCCAGCAGTATTATTATAAATTTGTAAAATCCACCATAAATAAATATACTAATCACAGCAGGAGATTGAGGCAGGTCAGTCGTGAACTTTATATTGTACCAAAAATAATTCCTTATTCAACATGTGGTTCTACGTTGACTCCCTTCTTCAGCCCTTTGTTATTCTCGTATCGCATACGAGGGGATGACTCCTCTCAACCGTGTCCTTTCTAAGCCTTGAGTAAAAACATCGACCTGCTAATATTTCTCCATAAGGAAAATACCAAAAGACTTTAGCAACAGTTTCGACTCTCATGTTTGTATTTGTACGTGGTCAGTCTTTGCGTCTCCGGCTAAGTATAGCCCTAGCCGTATTGGTCTCAGAGGTGCTGAGTGGTAGCGCGGGGGCTTCGGTAACCACTGACTATGGATCCCGAAGAGAAGATCAACTGGTCCAGTCTGTGACCAGCAACGTAGCCTTTCCAAACCACCTTCCGAAGCCGACGTAGTGTTAGGTCCCTTAGCCCTTACTGAGGTGTGTTCGTGTACCCTTCGTGTAAAATTTTATTATTTTTCATTCTTAGGTTGCCTCCCCTCCCCTCCCCTCCTTTTCAAACCGACCCTTAGGTCAGCTCTCATTCTGTAGTGGCTATCAAACATGACCAACAACCCTGCTGATTCAAGTGTCACGATGCTTCGCTACGTCGTCGCGCTGATAAATGCTGACGACGATGAGTTTTACTCCTATGTCAGATGTGGACGCGCCAAAAATACATGTGATTCGCCAAACCGCTACTGGTGTCGTATTACCGGAACGGACGTTGCTTCTTCTTTTGGAATATCCAGGATATCGTGTGTGACAGGACCAATCGTTGTTGAGTGCGCCCTTACGGGATTTTGAGGAATAACGAGTGTCCAGTAGAATAGGTGGAGGTAGAGGGGAAGATCAGAGAACCGAGTAAAGGGAAGAATGGGTCGGATACGAGAATCGTGAAGAAATGACGTAACGAGTTGGAAATGATTATTAGAAAATGTCGATTTTTTGTAGTAAATTTGAATTTGATTATCGATAAAGTTTATGTGGATTGAAGATTTCATCTTTAACTCATAAGTTCTTATATATTTTAGTAACCGATGACTTTTAATGTGAAAATCATACTGCTTAAGGCTTTTCGAGGTCTCAGCCAAGATCATCGTCAGGCGTTGATAACATATAAAATTACTTCTTATAGCTTCGATCGCGCAATCTATCCTATTAATATTTCGAGTATTCCCTAGTGCCTGTTTTATCGATGGATTTTTATAAGAGAATGATCTTTTCTTCGTGCAGGAGCTGAGCCAGACTCTCGGAGACGACAAGAGCGTTTCGGAGCACCTGAAGCTTCCGATACAACGCATCAACGACTACCAGCTCCTTCTGAAGGTAAAATCTGTTTTAATATTTTTATACGATTAAATACAGAGTTATTGAGGTTAATCGTATCAGCTAAAGTTATTCTCTTCATTTGTCAGTTTGGTTAGAACCAACTTCAATTATGCACTCGTACTGAAGAATTCTGTGTACGGTTTCCTTAAGACGTTTCAATGTCCCATAAGATAATTCCAGCGTAAAAGTTGCTTATGAAAAAAAAAGGTAAAATTATCGGAAAATTTTGGAAAATATTCATAGATGTCTTAAAGCCTTAGGTACATTTTAGTCATGTTTGAAGTACATATAATTTGGCACAATGCCACAATGTGGTCATAAACAATATATTATCCAGTATTTCAAGTATTACTCAATACTATTTAATTACCTATACAAAAGACATATTTTGCAACTGTTATTCGGCTGGTTGGAATTTGTCCAAATTGCAAACCTCGTTCGGAACAGCAAGAAAACTATCGTGTTACTTCGGACAGTCATTTTCACGTGAAATGCGTATTCCCACTGAAAATTTTACGAAAATCAAACTTTATGGTCTATGTTTACGTAAATTGAATTATGATAAGCGGTCATTAAAGTGACATCAAATAGACCCGAGTAAAAGTACTATTTGGCGTAAGTGTACGATGAATTTGGCGGCAGCCACTTAGGAATTTGAAAATCATCCGAAGGCTATACTATAATCTTGAAGAGCAAGTATTTATGAGTTCTTTTTTTATCGCAGTCGCAAGTCTCTCCACCTCACTAAGCTTGCCGTTCGTAAATTCAAGCCGGATTTCGAGAGGCCCCGACAGAAATATGCTCTAACAAGTTTTTACAGAATTGCGGCGCCTGTATAAAAAAGAAACGACACATCACTTTCAATTTACATATGAAAAGCTTTCATGCACAGAATTTCGAATCTGCACGTAGTAAATAGCTCGTTGATAATTTCTTGGTATCATCGACAGTGACTTTTTAAAAAATGCGTACAATCCAATTTTTGACCAACTGAAATATTTCGCTTTGATTATTAGTTAATCTTGAAAGATAGCGGAAGATGGGTCGCGTCTGACCTATATTTCTGTTTAGATTTTATTGCGACCAACAGAAATAGCATGGCGTCCGAGTGCTCTCCGGCTTGCCTTGAAAACAAATCTATGTCAAGTAATTAAGATCGAAGTGATAGGACAGACTAGTGATACAGCGAAAGCGCGAATAAACTTTGTAACAGAAGGTTTAAAAGATAATTCATAAGCATAACAGACCATAATATTCATGGAACAGCCTGAAACACCTGTTTATAAGAAAAGCGAAGGCAGCATTAAACAAAAACAATGTTTACAATAATTAATCATTCTGTTAATGTAAACTTCACGCTACCTCGAGCATGTTAAACCAACATTGATATTACAAAAAAAAATGTACTATAGCGATTGCAAAGTCAAATTTTTTATGTGAAATAAAAAAATCTTAAACTTTTTCAAGCTTCAGTAAAAAAATGAATTGGTTTTGTATGTCATAAGAATGCGTGACAATTCTATCATCGCTAAAGTTGCTATGTTAATATTCGCTATGTATTTCTCAAAATAGAAAAGAATAATATTTTATTCAGAGCCGTCATTGTAAACAAGAAACTTTTCATCACCTCCGTTTATACTTTAATGAGACGAATCAACCTTCTGCTCCTTCGGGTTGATGCAGAGTGCATTTTAAGACTTATTAATATTTCCGGTACATTGCACGATGCAATGATAAAGATACTGCTGGATGTCCTGCGATGATTGTGGTTGTGAGTCTGCGACATATACGTTTATGCTGGTGTGAGACCCAGTGGGCGCGGTACGGATTTAGCATGCTAAAAACAGGTCATCTTCGTGGCACCTTATCCTGTCCGGCGGTTCTCGAATGCCACAGAAAAACTGTGAATCTTCGCCAGCGAATTCATGAATTCGTGAATTTACCAATAATTAGATACTTGATACGTTTAAGTACGTGGAGAACTGACAACTCCCACGAAGCACCTTGTAAACTGGAATTTTCATGTATCCGACTAAATTTTGATTCAAATCTAAATTTTTTATTTGTGATATGAAATTTGATTATATACGTATTAATGTTATCATCGTTTTCAGGAGCTGGTGAAGTATTCGACCCGACTAGGCGAAAACTGCGACGACCTCCAGAAGGCTCTGGAGTTGATGCTAGGAATCCCCCACAGAGCAACCGACAATAAGTTCATAAGTAACATCGAGGGATATAAAGGAAATATACATAAGCTTGGACGACTTCTCACGCATGTTAGTATTTTTTATATTTTGGAGATTTTACATTGGCTGTGATAAATTACGTGAAATTTTAACTCTTGTTACAGGAATGGTTTACCGTCACTGATAAAGACGGCAAAAACAAGGAAAGATACTTATTCCTGTTCAAGGCAAGAATTCTTGTTTGTAAGGTCAGACGGATCTCTGAAGACAGATCGGTCTTCGTTCTAAAAGACATTATTCGAGTATGTATTGTTAAGAGTCATAAATTTTATTTAGTTTTTTAGTTAACATTGAGGGCAGACTGAAAAGTCTTACTGATACTTTAAAGATTGTGTTAATGTATTGTGTTAATGTATTTAGCTGCCGGAGGTAGAAGTAAAGGATCACCCAGAGGATCTTCGGACGTTTGAATTGCATCATCCAGGTGTTTCGGGTTATCCAATAACTTTGTCAGCTCATAAGGATCCCGTGAAAGCGTACTGGCTAAAGGAAATTCGACAGTACGCGAGCGACCTAGTGGCACTAGCCGAACACGCAGCGGACGATTTACAATTAACGGAAGTTCCAGAACTTAAGGAAGAATCTAAAGTTCAAGATAGACCGCAACCAGTAAAAATAGAAGAACCTAAACCGGTAGCAGCAAAGGTTGAGACTGTTAAACCGGAGCCACAAAAGGTAGAACCGGTAAAGGCAGAACCACCGAAAGTTGAACCTCCTGAGCTAGAACAGCCAAAGCCAGAACCACCAAAGATAGAACCAGCAAAACCAGAACCAACAAAGGTACAACCACAAAAGATAGAACCAACAAAACCAGAAACACCAAAGGTAGAGTCACCAAAACTAGACGCACCAAAGGTAGAACAAGCAAAACCAGAACCAATAAAGGTACAACCGCAAAAGATAGAACCAACAAAAGCAGAAACACCAAAGGTAGAGTCACCAAAACTAGACGCACCAAAGGTAGAACAAGCAAAACCAGAACCAATAAAGGTACAACCACAAAAGATAGAACCAACAAAAGCAGAAGCGACAAAAGTAGAACCATTAAAATCAGAAGTACCGAAGGTAGAGCCCCCAAAACCAAAAGCACTAAAAGTAGAAGCAGCAAAATCAGAAACACCAGAGGTAGAGCCATCAAAGACAGTTGTAGCTGCAAAGACAGAGGAGCCTAAAGTAGCTGAGAAGAGAAAAGAGGAAATAAAAACGGTAGAAGTATCGGAAGCAAAAAAAGTCAAAGTTGGCGAAGAAGACGCCGAGATGTCGGGCCGTTATTCGTCGAGTCGATACAGCTCTTCCTCTTCGCGAGTCGTAGAGGGTAAGTATCGGCGTACCATTTTTTTAAATACATTCATAATCCATACTTGATCATTTATAAATCCATCATCCGGCCTTTCTACATTCACCTATTAGTCTCGGCTGTTTTAAATGTTGTCACGTCGATGTTGAGCGCTACTTATAGTTAAACCTAGATTTCAAGAGACGCAATGTCGCTTTCATCGTGATCAAAATTGTTAAATATTTTAGCTGACTAGTAGTAGAGCTTATGCTTTATATTCACTAACTCCTGTAGAGTACTCATCAGTGTCAAGCAGTCGTAATGGCATCTCCTCCCATGTGGAGTCATCGGCTGCATCAGCAGCCGCTTCAAGGACCTCTTCATCAACCTGCGGTACTGAACGAATCTCCGAAAGCCAATCCTCTTACACTACTGCTATTGGTGGTTCTGATTCAATTACCGACACGAGGACGGCAAAACTCGCATTAACAACTAACGAAACCGGAAAACCTGTGTTCTCCAAGACGATCGAGGGTTGTAACGTGGAACGTAAGTGGAAATCATATTATTTTCTACACTGCGTAAATTAGTACCGTGAGTCTATCCAATAGTATTAAAACAAATGAATGATATAAATTGTCTCAGAATTATCAAGTCATTACTCGGAAAATACTTGCATTTTGGAAAGAACTCACTGTACGGTTACTGATGGTTAATATATTTATTTTGATGGTCTTAAGTATTAAGAACTGAATTTATATACAATAAATATCGATAATATATTACTATAATTTTTTTTGGTTCATAATCATTTAAGTAATTTTATGACAGGGTCTTTAAAAACACAGTCGTGAACAACTAGATTCAATGGTACATCAACATCACGTAATACATTTTTATTGTTCTAGCAATTCGAGCAAAAAAGGCTTTGATACACGTAATAGGTAAAGTGATCGTAGCGTGACTCACCCTGCCATCTTCTACGCCTTTTTCTGTACTTTACTTTAAATAGCAGCGTACCGAGTTTTCACTGTCTCTTGTAGCAGCAGAATTTCAAATGCTTTTAGACGTCTCATTCGTATTTTGATTGTCGGTTAAAACTGCTTCCATGCTTATTACTAGATGTCTACTATCTCTGTCTCTCTCATTATACAAAGTTATTCAGTTCATACGTGTTTATCAGATTTGACAGCTGTCATGCAATCGTTTGGATTAAACGTCTCTTCATAATAATAAGCTGCTGTCAAAAGTAAATTTTTTCAGTAGTCGAATGATGCTTAATTAAGACAATTCTGTGACAGTTGTCGAATTCAACTGGTGCGTTGGAACTGGATAGTCTTACGTATACGCACTCATACAAACATATACATACTGGCGACGATTTTTTAACAAATTTTTGAAAATCACAACACTCACGTACTAAAAATGAGATTTTTTAATTTTTAATTTTTTAATATTTTTTTACACTATTTTTTCGTACTTTTGAAAGAATTTCAAGCAATTATTTTAACACACACGTACACAATTCTTCGAATGGAACCCCCACCTCAGCATTTTTAGCCCACCTAGAAGTGTATCCACTTGATCAGTCTGGAAAAAATACTTAAAAATATATGTATATTACACATAATATGCTTCGTTGTTAACACATCATGACGATGTATATTTCAAAGTCAATGACGAACGTTAAATTCATGTAAATTCTTCCTTGTTGCTGGATCTTTGGGAGAAAATAATACATGACACACCGAATAGCAAGCAAATAAGTTTTATACAGTATTTCGACGATAAAATTAACAAAACTTTGGAATATATGTTGTATGGAATCAGAGCCATGTAATTCCAGAAGACTTTAAATATTCGATTTTGCGAATACGATAACAATGATATTTATAACATACAATTTGTGTAAAATGTGTGACATTTTAAAACACAAAAAACGTTCAAACCAAAAATTTGGACTCTCTCTTTCCCAAAACTTTATAAATATATTTTGTTAGAATTGTCATTTAGCGTATCGACATAACTTATGAAAGTCCATGAAACCACGATAGTGTTTCCTCGCTTTAGGAGGAGCAGTGTCGATTATCTAATTGACATATCATTTCATTTATGCTCAAAAATATATTGTTTAATTTACATAAATTAATTTATTTCCCACAGCCGGAGAAAATGCAACCTTCGAATGCTCTTTGAAATCCGTCGACTCGTCCACTAACATGCAATGGCTGAAGGATAACAAACCCTTAGACGACAAATTAGCGGACAGAGTAATAACGAGCAGCGATGAAAACTCATTCAAACTTCAAATTCAAAATGTTCTGGAATCTGATTCTGGTATTTATATTGCAAGAGCCGTAAATGGTGATGGTCAAGCAACTTGCACTGCGCAACTAATTGTGCAGGAACGTAAGTAGTTTATAAATGGTATTATGAATTAAGAAAATAATTGCAAAAAAATATTTTTTAATTCACAAATTGTAACAGTAACAGCCGAGGAACGAAAAGCCAGGGCTGAGGCCAACTCTCCCATTTTCCTGGTCCGTCTCAAGGACACAGAACTCCTGGAAAATACTTACCTACGTTTCATGATCAAGGTCAAGGGAGATCCAAACCCTGAATTAAAATTGTACGTATATAAATAAGCTCTTACCTTGCAGCTGTAAAACTGTATTATGAAATAAGTTATTCTTATGCTTAGCTACAAGGACAATGTCCTTATCGACTCGAAGAACGAACGCATTAAGATCGTCACCGACAAAGCTGAAAAAGGCTTTTACGAGCTGGTTATAGCTGACGTGCATAACTGCGACGCTGGGAAATATTCATGCACGGCTATGAATAGGTTCGGTGAAGCCTCCTGTGAAGCCACGGTGACGGTCACCGACGAGAAGAGCGTCTTCGCCGGACTTCCGGAAGGTCTTTTGGAACCCGGCGAAGAGCCCCAATTCATGTGGCTCAGAGACGGACAGCCTTTTGATCCCGAAGAGAGGTTCAAGGTGCTGTTCAAAGACAGCGAGGACACCTTGGCTCTGGTCTTCCAACATGTTAAACCGGAAGATGCTGGATTGTACACATGCGTCGCGCAGACCAGTACCGGAAATATAAGTTGCAGTGCTGAGTTGACTGTTCAAGGTTCTGTAAACCAATTAATGAAGGAGCCAATCAAGCCTAGTCTACAAACAGAGTTCAAACAAGCGGAAGTCAGTGCCGGTGGATCGGCAATGCTCGATCTTCAAGTTAAGGGATTCCCGAAACCGGATATCAAATGGTCCAAGGATGGACAGGAAATCGTAGCTGGTGGACGGATCAAGTACCTGTGGGAAGACGAAGAGTCTTTATCTTTGGTTATCAAAAATGTTACTGCTCAGGATGCCGGTACTTACACGATCAAGGCTAAGAACGAATTAGGTGAGGACAGTACCCAAATAGAATTAATCGTTAAATCCGCGCCAAAGATCACTAAGAAGGTATCCGACATCACGGCCAGTGTGGAGGAAACAATCAAGACCTCGATACAGGTGCAAGGTTCGCCTACTCCAGACGTCAAGTTCTACAAAGATGGTCAACTGATCACAGAGTCAGAGAGAATCAAGATCACAAAGGAAGAGAACGACACTTATAATATGGTTATCAAGAGTGCCAAGATCGAGGACTCTGGATCGTACTCGATCGTTGCCAAAAACGAGATCAGTCAGACCTCGGAACACTGGAACGTAAACGTTACATGTGCTCCTAGGATCACAAAGAAGTTGGGTGAACCTAAAGTGATCAACGAAGGTGATAGCCTCACTTTAGTCATTGAGGTCGACGCTGATCCTGAACCAACTGTCACGTGGTTTAAGGATACCGAAGTAATCGTAGAAGATGATCATATCAAGATCGTTCAGGACGGTCAAAAATATATGCTGAAGATCACCGGAGCCGTTAGTACTGATGCCTCAACCTATAAAGCAGAAGTGAAGAACAAGTATGGCACCAGTGTGGACGAGACAAAGGTCAAGGTTCGCAGTGCTCCACGTTTCAAAACCAAACTAAAAGACATAACTGCTAATGAAGGCGAATTGAACATTGAATTCCTAGTAGAAATTGAAGGATTTCCGACACCCAATGTTCAGTGGTTCCTGGGGGATGTGGAGATAACAGAAACTCGCAAAGAATATACGCGCATTGAAGAGGGCGATAATTACAAACTAATAATTAAAGAAGTTAAAACTGAATTATCTGGAAAATATACTTGTAAGGTGAAAAATGAATTTGGTGAGAGTGAAAGTAGTTCCTCGTTTACGGTAAACTCGAAGCCCAAGATCGTGAAGAAGCTGACGGACCAAAAAGTCAAGGAGGGCGAAACGCTCCAGTTGAAGGTTGAAATATCTGGCACACCGGAACCGCAAGTAAAATGGTTCAAGGATGGACAGGAGGTGTCAGCTGACGCTAAAATCAAGATCACCAGGGATACTCAACGTAGGGAAAGCTACGACCTTACCCTTAATCTTGTCAAAGGATCTGATGGTGGTGTGTATGAGGTTCGTGCCGAGAACGAGATGGGTTCCGTGAGCAGCAAGAGCAAGGTCACCGTACTCAGTAAGAATAATTTACATCTTATCAAAGATTTACCTTATCTATCCGGGTCTGTATGATCCACTGGTAATTGACGTTTAACGGTATAAATATAATAAGTTTTCCTGCAAAAAGCAAGACATTCCATATTACCTAACAAATATATGTCAAATACAAAAACTTAGCTGTAGCGCCAGTTTATAGTTTGAATACGGTGAACGACGTTTACCAGTGGAATCCATATCAGAAGGGCCTAACTTGCATAAGAATCTTTTTCCGGGAACCAACGATGGTAAAGCATCGTTTTTTAATCAGCGGCCAGTAAGTACAGAAGTAAAAGACGCCCTCTTTTTATTGCTTTCCATGAAGCCTAGACCCATCTCAAAGATTTACAGACAGTCGCCATGTATTTTCATTTAGACTGCTGGTGTTCACCAACTATTGAAATTCTTTTCCTGAAAGCTTCTATATCCTGACTTAAAGCTTCACATACACATATACATCAAAAATGGCAATGATACGTTTGATCAGTTTGATTTTTTTTTCTTTTTGTTTTACCACATTACAACATGTCTCACCTTTTTTCCTTTTTGCGTTGTTTACTGTGTGGCCTTTTTTATATACAAAAAATGTCATACACCTACGTTATCTTAATTATCATTAGTTTTGTCACCTGTCAGGTCTTATTTTATGTTATCCATTAATTTATGTTACTAGTTATACATGTATCTTACTTGATGTTACGTCATTAGTACATCCATCATGTTTTTCACATGGCCCACCCATATAGTAACTAGAATCCCATAGGTAGCATGTATAAAAGAAAACAAGCCCATTAGACGACTTGTACTTCCTCAGCAAAGACCGAAGAGATTGTCGAGGAAAAGAAAGAACTGAAGAAGGAAACAGCTGAAAGTGTAGAGATAGACGAGGATGAGATAGCACCGAAGAAGATGACCAAGATGGATGCAGGACCAGAGACCCAACACGCCGAAGAATCAGAATCCGAAGGTAAAGAGATCCTAAAAAACGATTCGGCAAGATCGAGAGTATTACGAATGCATGAAAACCATGAGCAGCTGGTACGTTCGTACAGAACGAGAGTGTAAATAGAAATGCGAAGGTGTATCAGTTGCAATCCGTGATTAAAATGAATAAAACCAAAAAACACAATGCTGTAAATAAAATAGCACACACGCGTGTGAATTAAGTGAAGGAACGGCAAAACGACCTGCATCCGCAAACTGATAAATGCAAAATAAATTTAACCCGATCATATCGGCAAACCGTAAATGAGAAAAATATTAAAATCAAATGGCTAACACACAGTAGAGTAGCGTAGAGGTAGTTTTAGCCGATGATTAATATACATTCAGGTCGGATCTCACTGGAGAAACAAAGCATCCAAATAACTCGAGGTGAAGGAGACACGATTACCATCTCCGTGGCTTCCACGACCACCCACGAAGCTGTGCTTTCAGGTAATAGCGTACGGATTGAACACACTAAGCATCATATACTTACTCACAAACAATAACACAGCATCCTGACATAATCCATAATTCAAATATCTGAAATGTCAAATAACAATATATAAATACAAAGATTACCAGAATATAATTATTCTTGTGAATTATGGAATCGTCATGATACGTATGATAAAAATATTTACACACAATATACATATACACAATCACTGTTACACTGCGCAAGCTCTGTCTAATAGCTAGTTAACCAGGACACGTGTTCTCTCCTGCGATGTACAGACGCTTCCTATTCTTCTACTTTTTAAATTTCTTCTACTATCACTTCCACTTCTTATTCCTGACTGTCCACGTGTATCGATCTACTGTGAATTTGATCGATCATTCTCTGTAGTAGCGTGTACCATGTCTTTTGAGGATTGCATTGCCTGTTAGATTATAGTAGTCAGGTTGTGTACTAGACTGGGATTGTGATAGGCAGACCCTTCACAGGTCCCGAGGAGAGGCACTCTATTAGCAAGATGACAACAACTAAGGTCGAATGCCAGGAGCTGAGCTCCGAAGGACCTCAGGTAGAAGAGATCGGCTCGTACAGTTACACGATACAAGACGATAACAGTCAGAGAACACAAAACGGTGTACTGATCGAGGAATTCTCTGAGGGTGAAGAAAATCGTGGAAGACTCACTGTCAATCGTGGGGTCTCCATCGTTTCCGTTTCCGATGACGAGTCCACTCTTAAAGGAATATCCCGTGACGTAAGCGCAGACGACATCAACAACGCTGATCTTTGGGAGGCGCAAAAACTTATCAATGGATCCTACGAAGAATCCTTCACTGCTAAGATCATTGAAGAACGAATAATGGACGACCTCAGGCCTCAGAGGGCTATGAGACTTACTGAGACCATCATCGAGGAACGCTCTATAGAGGAATCTCTTTCTGAGAAACAACCGGAAGTTAGTGAAGTCTCGCAGCCTCAGACACCTATTTCGGAGATGAGTAAGCTCTCGAGGCAAAGCTCAAAATTAGAACGATTAGACTCCAGCGAGCCGATCATACCGATCCAGAAAGAAGTATCGACGGAAAACGTACAGAAGGGGCTCAAAGAGGTGGACGAAGAAATTGATGATGAAATGGAGGCACTCTTGAATCGCGTTAGACAACAGCGCAGTGTCCTTGGTGATATTCTCAATAAGGAAGGCGAGAGAAGAAAATCAGGTAAGGTCAGGGAATAGGTACTGGTGGTAGTAGAAATCACCTTGGGGTATTAAAAAAATATTCAAACTATGACGAGGAAACGACGGTGGAGACTACTAAATGATTATGACGTTAATTGAACTTTAATAAATGTATATAATAATGTTGTACCTTTGTGAAACTGTTTGAGAGATATTGTCTCGCAACAATGTGCTATTCGTAAAAATCACGTATAACTGATTTTTTTAGCATTTTTTTAATGTAGTGGTTTCTTTTAATGTTATCAAATATCCTGTCATTACACTCTGACATAGCCGTTTCATCTGTCATCCATTTCGTCCTCCGCATGACGCGTGTAATAGGTGGCTTATGGGATTCTATGATTGTTCATCGCGTGATTTATACGTATAGAAAGAATTAGTAAGTTTAATTATAGTTTAAGGAATGGCAAGAGAATTTAATTATGTGCTTCATATCCTGATTCACTCATCTCCGTACGAAAGCTTTTGATCCGTGTCATGCATGGTGCTAAGCATTTTGAGAATCGCGAGTATTTATTGCATTGAATACTGTTTTTCATCGAGAAAGATGCCTCGCTTGCTTCTTTGACTCCATTGGTAGTATTTCAATGCGCTGAAAATGCAAATCAATGTGTATTGCAAAGCGCGGAGATATAGCATGAATTGCACATTATCACGCTTGTTATATAAAATAAAATGCGAATGGCTTGCATGTTACACGAAGTTGGTCAATCACCCTGGGATTTCATTCAATTTTGCAGAAAGGTAAGTAGCTGGCTAATGTTGTAGATAAAGAAAAACGGAATCAATGGGAAGACAAAGTGCAAGATCATCGAGCATATAGACTTGTTGATTTGATCTGTTGTAAATAGCATGTAAAAATGATTATCCTGCGCTTTTAATGAAGATCGTTAAGAAATTTGTCTGATTAACTGTACGAGCTTCTTTTTTTATAAAATTATGTAAATTGCTTTGATTTTCCATAAATAATCTTTTGTTCACTCAGCATCGCCAGAAATCTTGAGCTCCGATCTTGAAGATCGAATGATCTACGAGGCGCAGAGTACCACGTTCGAGATCAAAGCGACTGGTCAACCAAAACCTGAAGCCAAATGGTTTAAGGATGGAAAGCCGATTAAGAATACAGATCGTCTCAAGATCACTCACAATGGAGATTTCTTCCAGTTGGCTATTGCCAATGCTCAGGTCGATGACTCCGGTATTTACAAGTGCATCCTGAGCAACAAGCTGGGTCAGAAAGTTCTGGAGGCGAACCTGACTGTGGCTTCTGCTTCGGAGTACAGAAAACCAAGATTCGTCAAAGGTCTAGAGGGTGCCAACATCGTTAAGAATGAACCAGTCGAACTTAAGGCAGTCATCACTGCCGATCCTATTCCTCAGGTTGCTTGGTATGACTTTGAAAAAGTGTCTTTAGCTGAGTAAAATTAATCATTCGATTTCAATATTATTCTGCATTATAAAGGTATCACAATGGCGAGGAGATTCCTGCTGGCGACGCAAGAATCAAATTGAAGCTGGAAACTAAACCAATTGAAGATGGATTGAATGAATGTACTTTGACGCTTGCTATACCACAAAGTGACGTTGCTGATATTGGAGAATATACTCTTAAGGCGAAGAATAAGTGGGGCGAAGACGAAGCTAGTGTAAGTCATTAAAAAATATCTTGAGGCATATTTATATACATGAAGTTGTTAATTTTTATATAAATTTACAGGCCTGCTTGGATCTTTTGATACGGCCTGAGATTGAGGAATTTAAGGATATAAGTGCTGCACCACAAGAATTAACCCAATGGGAAGTTGTAATCAAAGCCAATCCAAAGCCGATCATTATGTGGGAAAAAGATGGAAAGAATCTTAAGAATGACAGTCGTTTTGAGTCAGTAGAGGATGCTAAGAACAACAAATACAAATTGATCATTAAAGACGTCAGACTGGATGACGTCGGTACTTACAAAATCACAGCGTCTAATACTGAGGGTGCAACCAGTGCTCAAGCTCAACTTAAAATACACTGTTAGTGACTTTTCTTTATTATTCATATATAAAACAGCCTCGGTAAATATCTAATTATTTATTTCCTTAATTTTAGCGGAAGCACCGACCTTTGTCAAGGGTTTGACTGACCAAACGGTAAAGGATAGAGAAGATGTTGAACTGAAAGTCCGTGTGAACGGACTTCCTAAACCTAATATCAAGTGGCTTAAAAATGGTGTGGAGATCACCAATTCCGAACACTACGTTATTGAGACCTTTGTAGAAGGCCAGGTCGTTAGCAGTCTTACTATAAAGAATTTCACATCTGATGATGTCGCTAAGATAACCTGCGTAGCTAGCAACGTGTCTGGCAAGGTTGAGACTTCCGGTAAATTAAACATGATACGTGCAGCGCCATCATTTAGTCGAGCACTACCCAGATCGGCTGATGTTGATGAGGGTGAACCACTGGAACTTAAAGCCAAACTGGATGGCAGTCCAATACCAAGTGTAAAATGGTTCAAGGATGGAGAAGAAATCAAACCTGATGGTCGTGTGAAGATAGAAGCTCTTCCCGATGGCACTGTTAAACTTGTCATCGATAAAGTCAAACCAACTGATTCTGGAGCTTACAAGCTCGTGGCTTCAAATCCAAATGGAGAAAATTCAGCGCTCTGCGCAGTAGCCGTTACACGTAAGTTTTTCAGTGCTAAAACGTCCATAAAGAATTACAGATAGGATATCTAATAACTGTAAAATGGTTTCATGATTTATTTCTACAGCCGAACCAAGAAGACCGTCTTTCTCAAAATCATTAGAAGACGCAAAGGCTGTCGTTGGTCAGCCGTTAAAACTGGAAGCTCAAGTAGTAGCTTTTCCAAATCCTCAAATCCAATGGTTCAAGGATGGTGTACCGATAAGACCCACTAAAGAAATAAACTTTGTCAACGAGCCAAATGGTTTGATTGGATTATCTATAGACAAGGTTCGTCCGGAAGATGCTGGTACCTATTCTCTGGTAGTGTCCAACAAACTTGGACAGACCACGGGTAAAGCAAAAGTCGAAGTAGAGGAGAAAGAACGTAGACCAGCTTTCCTGACGACTTTGCAGCCTTTGACGGTAGTTGAAGGATTCCCAGCTAAGATGGAAGTGAAAACCATTGGTAAACCAACGCCTGCAATTAAGTGGACGCACAATGGAGTAGAGGTTTGTAATAAAAAAAAAAGAAAATAAAAATATTTTGAATAACAATTAAATTGTGCATATATAGGTTGTGCCAGATGGCGAGCACGTAAAAATCGTTGATCAACCCGATGGAAATCACGCACTCATCATCGACAAGGTCAAACCAGAAGATGCTGGAGAATATGAGGTGGTTGCCACTAACTCTCAGGGAACATCAGCAAGCAAGGGCAATCTGGAAGTAGCTGGAAAAGGACAATCGGATGCACCACAAGAAAAAGCAGGCTTCTTAAGTCCAATGCGCGACGTATCCGTCGAAGAAGGTCAACCCTTGACTCTTAGTGCATCGTTCATTGGAAATCCTATTCCGGATGTCAGCTGGACAAAGGACGGTCAAGCGTTGGCACCGTCTGAGAGAATAATGATGACCTGCGACGGAAAGAAGGTCGGTCTAGAAATTAATCCAAGTGAACCAAATGATGCTGGAGTATATCGCTGCCGTTTGGTCAATCCTCTTGGCGAAGATACAACAAGTGCAAATGCAACCGTGAGAAAGGTCTTCCAACCTCCTAGTTTCACCCAGAAGTTCTCTGATCTTCAGCAACTTCCTACCTTTGACGCCAAATTCCCTGCTCGAATTAATGGTATACCTAGACCAGATGTCATTTGGTACTTTAACAACGAGCCTATTCTTGGCGATACAGACAAGTACAAGATCAAGAGAGACGGCGATGCTCATTGCCTGTACGTAAAAGATTGTACACCTGCTGATTCTGGACGATACAAGTGTAGAGCTGTTAATAAGGACGGCGAAGCTGAATGCGAGGCGAACTTGGACGTTGTTGATAAGATGTAAGGACTATATAAGTTTGGATTTTTTCGTGGTACGAATTCCAAATTATACAAGTTTCTCTAACACCACCAAAAATTTTTAGTGAGAAGAAACAAAAGGCCGAACCTCCGTCGTTCTTAAAGAGAATTGGAGACTGTGAAGTCTTCAAAGCGATGACTGCCAAATTTACTGCCTGCGTCACTGGTTACCCTGATCCAGAATTTGAATGGTTCCGCAATGGTGAAAAAATATGGCCCTCTGAACGCATTCGTATGGATAATGAGGGTAATGGATTACTTAGACTAATCATAGCAGGTGTGGATGAGGGTGATGTCGGAAAGTATAGTCTAAGAATATTCAACCCTCACGGAGAGGACACCTGTCATGCTGAGATGACTTATGACAGTAAGTATTATACTTTGCCACAATACAATAACGCACTTACGCTAATATATGTCAACTCTTATACAGCGTTTGAACCACGTGCCAAGAGACCATTAGCAGATCAGTATACAGACTTTGATAAATTCCGCAAGTCCGGATCTCCTCTGCCTTTAGCAGACAGACCGATAATCAGTCGTATGATGGATAGACACCTAACATTATCATGGAAACCATCAATTCCAATTGGGCCACGAGTTCCTGTCACGTACCAAGTAGAAATGTGCGAACTACCTGATGGTGATTGGTTCACAGCACGTTCCGGCATAAGAAGCTGCGTTTGCGATATCCGGAATCTGGAACCCTTCCGCGATTACAAATTCCGTATTCGCGTAGAGAATAAATATGGAATAAGCGATCCTTCTCCGTTCGCACAAACATACCGAGCTAAATTGGAACCAGACCCACCTAAATTCTTCCCCTATTTGCCACCCGGTATAGACTTCCGCCCTGAGACCAGTCCTTACTTCCCTAAGGACTTTGATATTGAGAGACCACCCCATGATGGTTACGCACAACCACCAAGATTCCTCAGACAAGAACATGATACGCAGTATGGTGTGAAAAATCATAATTGTAACTTATTCTGGTTTGTCTACGGCTACCCAAAACCGAAAATGACTTATTACTTTAATGACGAGTTAATCGAATCTGGAGGTCGTTATGATCAAAGCTATACGCGCAATGGACAGGCAACTCTATTCATCAATAGAATGCTGGATAGAGACGTTGGCATTTATGAAGCTGTTGCGAGAAACGAACATGGAGAGGCTAGACAAAGAGTGCGTTTGGAAATTGCTGAATATCCAACCTTCATTCAACGTCCTGATGAAACTGTCATCATGATTAGAAAATCTGGAAAAATTGAAGCTCGAGTCACTGGAGTGCCTTATCCAGAACTTAAATGGTACAAAGATTGGAAACCACTTGCTGCTTCCTCGAGAATTAAGGTTTGCAATTGTATTGATATCCGTAACGTAATTTTGTATTTACATTACTGTTCCAGATCTGTATTTAATACTTATATATTTTTTAGATTCAATTTATTGAACCCGATACGTCTATACTCACCATTAGCGATGCCATCTCCAAGGATGAGGGTCTTTATTCGCTGAGTGCTGGAAATGTGGCTGGTTCTGTCTCTAGCTCTGCTATGGTTCACATAGAAGAGAATGAGCAAGAATATGGTTATAGAACGTATACAAAGAAACGTGATATCAAAGCGCGTACTAAACCAATCAATGACCTGTATGACTTGGGAGATGAGTTAGGACGTGGAACACAAGGAGTCACTTATCATGCCGCGGAGAGATCAACTGGAAGAAATTATGCTGCTAAAGTTATGCACGGTCGTGGAGAACTTAGGCCATTTATGTACAATGAAATGGACATTATGAATAGTCTGAATCATCGAAAACTCCTGCGTCTGCACGATGCCTATGAGACTGACAGGTCTTTGACTCTTATTACTGAATTGTATCCTTTGCAATTTATTCTATAAACTCTTTAACGAGAATAGTCGATGTTTAACATAAACTAACACCGATTGAAGAACACCTGTAGATCCTTAACCATTTAAATTCAGAGCTGCTGGAGGTGAACTTGTAGACAACCTTACTAAACAGCCCCACTATACAGAAGGTGAAATTGCAGGGTACATAAGACAACTTCTATGGGGTTTAGATTACATGCATGGAAATAGCTATGCCCACCTTGGACTCACTGTAAATCTATTAAAGTTATTATAACTCTTCAATATTTTAATTCCGCAGTTATATAAAAAGATGAATACTTTTAGCTGGGCGATCTTCTAATTTCACATCCTGGCGGAGATGACTTGAAAATCGGTGACTTTGGCCTCGCCAGAAGGATTTCGTATGGCAAATTGATGAACTTGTTTTACGGAATGCCGGAATACGTGGCTCCGGAAGTGGCCAACAACGAGGGTGTTGGATGTGGCGCAGATATGTGGTCCGTTGGTATCATCACCTACATCCTCCTTTCGGGCATCTCTCCATTTAGAGGAATTAATGATCGCGAGACGTTAACCAGAATCAAAGAAGGAAAGTGGGAATTCGACGATCGCTGGTCAAATATCTCCAAAGACGCTAAAGACTTCATCAAAAATCTTCTGGTCTATCACGCCGACGGTAGAATGGACGTAAAGTCAGCCCTACGTCATCCATGGCTGAATTATGCAGACAAAACGTTCAACGAACCTTACAAGATACCATCAGAAAATTTGAACAATTATTACAAACTTTATCGGTAAGAATTTTGAAAGATTGCGCATATATTTAGAGCAGACGCAGCAAACCTATGTACCTTTGTAAATGATCATAATAAGGCTGGGGTAAAATGAATCGTGTCACGAGTAACAGAAATAGATGGTATAAATAACGTTGCTGGCAATTAGTTATTTCGAGCAGCTGCCACGTTAACGAGCCTCGTTAAAATCTTGGACAAGACTATCTACTTGACAACGTCAACGTCAAATCAAACTCAAAATGATTCTTAATGGGATTCTTGATATTATATGGGGCGCTCTTGGAATCCTGATATGTTGTTCATATGTTTCGTAAGCTGTTGATTATGTATATGAATTTTGAAAGTAATAATAATTTTTCTCTCTGCCTTTAGGGATTGGTACACCAATGCTTCATGTCGCACATGGTACCGCAGGCGCAGGTTAAGTGGAGCCTTCGAGCATCCTTCGAAGATGGTTTATCCACCAGGACAAAGATACACCCCGGAACCAAGCCCAGAGAGAAGTTTCAGCCCCAGGGCTAAGCCTACTCCAAAGTCTTGGGAAAATCGTGTACCCTCGAGAGAGCCAATCGACACGGAAATTGGTGTGATCAAGAACGAGAGCCAGTTAGTAATTTTAATTCATCTCGTTATGGAGAAAGAAATTACACATTTTGATAATAGAAACAGGTAACTAATTTCATCGAATCAACATTGTCCACAGTTATCAATATGGACCTGATACGTATCTTCTGCAACTTCGCGATACCGATTTTCCTGTACGTCTACGTGAATACATGAAGGTTGCTTATAATCGTGGACCAGGATATTCACGTACAATTACAGATGACAACAGTTATGATTGGAGGGTAAGTTATGATTTATTCGTGTAAAACGAGTCAAAATATATTACACTAATTCGGTTATTCTTTATAGACACCTATTATTCGCGAGCGTCGTCGATTTACTGACGTTATGGATGAAGAAATTGATGACGAACGCAAAGCCAGGATCAACAAGTACGGATCAGCTGATACTTACACGCTAAGACGTTTACGTCATGAATTGGGTACAAGATTGGATAGTTATGCCGAAGCTGAAGCTATCATGGAGACCAAAAAAGATGGACATTTACCGTTCTTCCGTGAAAAACCACAAATTTTGCCAATTGAGGAAGACAAATCAGCCCAGCTGGCCTGTCTTGCTGTAGGCAATCCCAAACCATCTATTCAGTGGTTCAAGAACGATCTGGTAATACAAGAAGGTAACCGAATCAAAGTTACTGAAGACGATGAAGGTAGATCTATTCTGCGCTTCAATCCTGCTAGACAACACGACGTGGGAATATACAAAGTCGTTGCCAGGAACAAAGTTGGACAAACTGTAGCTAGAACTAGAGTCTTACTAGCTACTGTACCCTCAGCTCCAGACTCACCTGAGGTATAAGAGAAGCAATAAATCTACGCTATTTAATTTAATAAGCATATAAATATTCTCTGAAAAGATCCAAGTAGACATAAATGTGTTACTTTTTTCATAACAGGTCACTGAAGTCTCAGATACTGAAGTACTATTACGTTGGAAGCAGCCAAAGGATGATGGCAATTCTCCAGTACTGTGCTACAATCTGCAATACAAGGAAGGCGATTCAATCGAATGGGTAGACGTTGCCAGTAACATAGATCATGAATTTTACGTAGTCAGAGATCTTAAACCAGACACCAGCTACAACTTCCGTCTAGCAGCCAGAAATCGTATAGGATGGAGCGAGAAAGGAATTCCAACGAAGCTGATTAAAACGAAGGATCAAGGTGCACAGAAGGTGCAAGTAACACGTGCAATGAAGCACCTTCAACAGTTAACAGAATCTGGACAAGAGATTGAAATCGAAGAAGCTAAATCTCATATAAATTATTCGCTCGAAGATACACCAATTGAATGGTCAACCGAGGGTCAACTAACCGACAAGTACAGCTTCATCTCAGAACTATCACGTGGTCAGTTCTCCGTCGTTGTCAAGGGTGTTGAGAAGTCCACGGACAGAGTGATCGTAGCCAAGATCCTAGAACTACGTCCAGAAATCGAAGAGCAGGTGAATAATGAATACGAGTCACTGAGGTCTCTAAGACACGAAAGAATAGCCGTCCTGGAGGCAGCTTACAAGATACCTGGATCATCGGTAGCAGTATTCATTCAAGAGAAGCTCCAGGGTGCCAACGTCCTAACCTATCTCTCAAGTAGACACGAGTATACAGAAAACTGCGTGGCTACTATCGTTACACAGATTTTAGATGCACTGCAGTACCTGCACTGGCGGGGCTTCTGCCACTTGGACATCCAACCAGACAACGTCGTCATGGCCTCCGTAAGATCTGTGCAAGTTAAATTGGTAGACTTGGGCTCAGCGCGCAAGGTAACCAAACTGGGTACCACTGTACCACAATTGGGACACCCTGAGTATAGGGCTCCTGAAGTGTTGAACGATGAACCAGCATATCCACAAACGGACATTTGGATGGTTGGGGTGTTGGCCTATGTGTTACTCTCGGGAATGTCACCCTTCCGTGGAAAAGATGCTGAGGAGACCAGACAAAATATTTCATTTGTTAGATACAGATTCGAATATCTTTACAAGGAATTAAGTCAGGAGGCTACAAGATTCCTTATGCATGTATTCAAGCGTACGCCTAGGTGCGTATGAGTTTTATATATGTGAGCTTAATCGTATTAGGATTTTTCTTATGTTAATATTTATTTTTACAGCAAAAGGCCTAGTGCTGAAGAATGCCATGAGAATAGGTGGCTATTACCGACGGAGTTTATGATAAAGAAACGTGAGAGAGCAATATTCCTTGGCAATAGACTCAAGGAATACAACGAAGAATATCATCAGAAGAAACAAAAATTGGCTTCGAACAGTGACAGTTTAGCAGAGGCTTTTGGCTCTGCGCGACAGCTAATCAGATCAAATAGCATACAAGATGAACTGTTCACCACCTTCTAACTTCTAAGATAAACTATGATTTTCCAAATACGTATTTATTTATTTAATTGTTTATAATTCACAGACAAGTCTAGTCAATCCCAAAGAGCTAAGGGACACAGATAAGAAAGTTGAGCTGAAAGTTGAGATTTTCCTTGTTTTTTCTTTTTGTTATTATTTATTTGTTATAACTTGTAATTACGGTCACCGTTATAATTGCCATGTAAACCCTATTCTATACGTAGATTCCGTACACGCAGACATTTTGATTTTTGGTCCGGGATACGTTTATGTGGTTATACCGCCCCATTAATTTTAAGATAAAGATGAAATATTATTTACGTTCTGAACAATCGAATTGCGAACGAAATTCTAATAAATTGTACAAAACTAGCAATCACGTACGAACTATATTATAAATTACTGACAAAATAAAAATCCTGTCATAAAAGACCTGTGTTGTAATATTTTTTTGAAACAAGTGAATTATATCTTAAAAGAATATCACTTTTCCATTAATTCTTTATATCCTTTAGCCCTAAAAAAATAGCGCTTCTTGGCTGACGTCAGTTTTATAGTTATAATCGATATGACATTGAAATTTAGAAGACTATTGTTAACAAGACATTTTTGGAAAATATAATTCATAGCAAACGATACTACAATTTAGTATTGACTTGTAATCATTTTCAAAAATATTCAGACAATATTGTCACAGATTATCGGTACAGAATTAAAGCATAAGACAAAAAAATAGTGAGAAAATTCGTAGTAGGGACAAATTTTTTGAACGGATATGACCCTGAAGGATTATATGGTAAAATTAAAAATAGGTATTAATTATTATTAGAACGCACGTTTTTATGATACCATAATTTATTCGTTCATTCGAACAGACCTAAAGTAAAGAGAACATAGGAAAAACTACCTTACAATATTATAAAGAAATGCATTACAAACACAACAGATTAAAAACGTATTCGAATTAACATTAACAGTTTTATCGCAGCTGTCGCGATAATTAGGATCAGTTTACTCACTAGCGATACATTATTATACACTATGATAAACAAAAATTGGTTATATCTTTATGTCAATAACTGCGCGGATTTGTGCACTGAATTATTCTCGCATTAATATGACATTGTGACTCAAGTCGTAATTTCTTACATCAAATTGGAAGGACACTGTGATCGGTAGCGTAGCTGAAGAAATTTTATTGAAAAGAACAATTTTTTTTTTAGTAAAGTAAAAGAAAATACATGTTTTCGCAACAAATTTATATCGATAAAAATGTCCGCTTGTCTTCGACAAGTAAGCATAAAATCTGCGAGAAATTATTGATTGTTCAGCCTATTCCTTGAAAACATCATCGCACGTGTCCCATATCGCATTGTCTTGCGTCACGGATAAATCGTAGAAAATATAAAAGCTATCGACGCTTTATACGAAAAAGAAATACTCTCAGTCTGATATATAGGCACAATTATTGTTGATTACTTTTTAACGCACACCTTCAGGATTTTTCTTTGACTGAAGAAACCTTTTTCATATATTCAGGTCTTAGAATCAGCTGGTGATAATATATCATTGTATGTAGCGACATATCACATCAATATATTATAAAATCGCTGAAGCATTATTATGTCGGTTCTCAAATGAGCAAGATGTTTATTTTTTTGTTTCAGTACATATTTCTCCACTTGGAAGTTTCCTTAAAAAATTCTGAGGATTTTCTTCTTCAACATCAACTAACACCACATTTTCAAATATAAAGCGTGCTAGCGAGTAAGATAGACAATGGCGAATGACAGGCTATAAGAATTATTATTCATCAAATATCATAAAAAGGTAGGATTCTCTTTACGCGGGTTTAGGAAACTTGTCTTTACCAGAAGCTTTTAGTTTCTGATGATACATTAAATAAGCGGACACCTGCTGGCGACGATTCCGATTCAACATTCGCTCTCTGAATAATGATGCCGCAACTTTTTTCTGATTTTTCTTAATCTTCTCAAGGCTGGCAACTTGAAATTGTGTTGTGCCACCGGATGAGCTTAATGGAATAAAAATGTCTTTCGTCTTTATGTGGCAACTTGATGGTTTACTAGGGCTGAACATTGATCTTGACGGCAATATTTTTTCTTCTTTCTTCAAGATCTTCCTTCTCTTTTGTGGCCTTGTTGGAACATCTGATATGTTTTCAATTACATCATCTGGAAGTCTCTTTAGATTCTGTTTAGCTGGGTAGACTTTTTCCACTTTTTCTAATTCTTCAACTTTCATATGTTGATCGTGTTCAACCTTTTTGTTGTGCTTCACATTCTTCTTCTTCTTAGCTTCTTTTCCAGCTTTTACGCTTTCAGCAACATTCTTCATTTCTAATACTGCTGCTTGACGAGCTTTCGCAAATCCTATGCTTTCTGGTGCATCGCTGGCATCGGATGAAGAATCGACAGCTGAATCTTTCTTCTGGATTTCTATCTCTTGAGATTTTAGGACTTGTCTTTGTTTTTTGGTTCGCTTTTTTGACGTGGATTCCTCGACAACTATTTTATCTACATTTTTCAGCTTCGTCTTTGCTTCCACTTCCGGTTGCGCGGACTCCGCAGCTTCTTTTAATTTTCGTTTTCGCTCCTTCTTGTTGTTATGAACGAGTGATTCTTCACTTGGTCCTTCATTTTCGTTCGCCGAAATCGCTTCAGGAAGACTCTTATTTTTCTTTTTTTTCTTTTGTTTCTTATTGGATTTTTGCACCGATGCTACACCCTCTTCATCAACCGATTCGCGAGTTTCGATATTTTCTAAAGCTTCGTTAGACAGGCTCTCTTGTTCAATTTCCTGGCTTACTTCAGACTTTTGCTTTTTCTTATTTGATTTCTTTTTTAACTTACCACTCTCTTCTGCAACGACTTTACTCCTTTTAGTAATCCGTGAATCTTCATTAGTTGTGCTGTTCACTGTTTTAACGTCCTGCTTTTCATTATACTCCTTTGGTTCGGCAGAGTCTTCAGTTTCTGCTTGCTCGAGGCTCGATGTTCGCGATAACTTCTTCGCCAATTTCTTTCTTTCTTTACGGATAGCAATCTTACTTTTATTACTATGAACTGGTTTTTCAGTGACAATTTCCTCCTCGATTTCTTCATCTTTCGATACTATCACCATTTCCTGTATTTGACTTCCTTTCTGCTTTTCTAGATCAATATCCAATACATCCTCCGCTTCATCCATAGCTTCTTCTGCATTTGATTTTTTACTGTCCACCTCAGTACCGTCTTTACCTTCCATGGTGACCAAGCTTCTTCTTTGTTGAATCATTGATTTTCGTTTCAACTTTCGTAATTTCTCATCACCAACATCCGCTGGCAAGCTTTCATTTAGCTTCTGTTTCTTCAAGTACTTCGTTAAAGGAGTCTCACTGTTTGGAGTAGCCATTGATTTATTTAACGTATCTACCTTTAACGATTTTTTTCTTGAAAGATTTGTCGCTTCTGTAATTTCGGGTGGATCTATAGGCAAACTTTGCTGCAAGGCCTTTAGTGTTTTAAATGATGGCACGTCCTTATCCTTGGAATTACTTGCACTTTTTATAGGTGTTTTGACATCAGCTAAAGTTTGGGCACTTAGGGATTTCTTCTTAGCAAATCCAACCTCTGTAGCAACTATGTCCAGCAACGAGTCATTCGGGGTGAGTTGATTAGCTCTCTTCTCGTTAGTCTTCTCTTTAGCAGAAGTTGATATCGGCGTACTACATTCTATTGATGAAAGAGATTTACGATGTTTCTTCGTTAAACTCTTCCTTGATTGTTCTAAATCAATTTTGGACTCTATGATTTCTTCAGGCTCGTCTAAAGTTTTGTTCTTGTTCGATGATTTTGAAATATTTTTATCCATAGACAAACGAGATTTTGAGACCTGCTCGACTTCAGCTTCAGAATCTTCTTCCTGTTCTTTATGAACATCCTCCGATTCTGTATTATCATCTTCGTTTTCTGAGTCGACTGGTAATGAAATTCTGTTATACTTTTTCTTCTTTTGGTCATTACTGGGTTCTTCTAACATGTCTTCTTCTTCATTTATGGAATCTTCATCTGTTTCTTCTTCCATATCCTCCTCATCTTCAACAATCTCATCATCACCCACTACAAAATCAGCAAGATCCGAACCATTATCGTTTGAATCAGAAGATTCTGATTCTGAAGCTCTACAATCATCCGCTGGGACGTCATCGTCCGAATATTTTAGACTGGTATCGCCGTTAAGATTCATTTCACGAGCGATATCAAGATCCATACTGTTTTCAGTGTCATCCTCATCTTTAGAAGTGCTTTCATTAAACAAGAATGATGGAATTTGTTTATCACATTCATCGCTATTCGAACCGCTTTCAAGATCAGAACCATAACGTGCAAGCGTTGAATAGTTTCTCTTAAAACTGGCTGTTTTGCCACTTATCATCTTCAGTGAAGTATTCTTTGATTTATTATTTTGTTCAACGTTATCATTAGAATCATCTTCACTGAATTTCGCAGAAATATCATTGTCCGAACTTTCTTCTTCATTAAATTCTATAAGTCGTTTTGTCTTTTTACCAACTGATACATTCTTCAATGAATTACGAGACTTCATTTCAGCCGTTGAAGTCTGCATACTTTGTTCCATTTCTTCGACTTCTTTTCCTTCTTCATTATCTGATCCAGTATCCATCATGATAACAGCTTCCTCTGCTATAAGCTTCTTACTCAAATTTTGTTGGGACGTGTTTAAAGATTTTCTTGTCTCTGTAGATTTACGTGAAAAGGATTTCACATTCTCTGGCGTATTATTACTTGTTTTATTACCCTGATCTTGATTTTTGCTCGATTCAAGAGACATGGCATTAGATGACCTATTTAGAGATCTTCTCAAATCAGCAGACTTACGGGAGGAAACATTAACGTTGCACGATGAATTACAGCTAGTTTCTTGCTCATCTATTTTCTCGTCAACTGTCTCACATTCGCGTGACTTGTTTAAGGATTTCAACGCGACAGAACTCTCATCCGTTAAGTTACTGCTGAATTCTTCGTCATTGTTTTGTTGTTCCTCAATTCGGCTCGTTGATTTTTGTTTCTTAGACGTATTTAGAGACCTTCTGTTACTCAATGATTTACGAGATGATATATTTGCTTCATTTGATTCATCGTCGCTAACATCTTCGAGTACAAATGGTTCGTCATCACTAGAACTGGTAGAATTCACTTCTATAGTGTTATTTATAGGTTTTCTGTTCAAGAACTTATGGGTAAAGACATCACTCGACTCATTTTCTGGATTATTTTTACTGCTTTTTGAGAGATTTAAGTCTACTGACTTATTTAAACTTTTTTTAGAAATATTTAAACTGTCCCGTAATTTAATCAAAGATTTTCGATCTATGGATGAATCCTCTTGAGACGAATTCATAATCAACTCATCATCGGAGTCATCATCATTCTCCATGACTATCGATTTATTTTTCGAAAATGCTGTTTTATCTGATTTATTCGACGTGTTCAGTACACCTGAAGAATCTCCGGATTTATTAAGTGATTTCCTATTATTTAATGCATTGGTGTCATCATTGACGAAAACGGAATCGCTCCCATCATTCTCTGTATTGGTCGATGATTTTCTTCTACCTACAGATTTCCTTTTCGACGAATTTAAAATTTCCGTACACTCCTTAGTTAACTGTTTCTTAGCCGATGACTGATTGTCAGCAGTCTTACTGGCTTCATCTTCGCTAACAACTTCCATAGGCTCCTCCTCCGGAACTATTTCCAGCTGTGTCTGTTTCTCACCTTTTTTAAGTTCGGATTCTAACATCCTAGTTTTCATAATGATAGTATCATCTGAATCATAATCAAATTTCTGATTTTTCCTAACGAGTTTTTCAGTCTCTGCTGCGTGCCAGGCGTCACGATCTACCAGAATGAGATCGCACTCTGCCTCGCTTTCATTTTCGAGTCTTTCAGTAGACACTGAATGGATAGAACAACTTTCGTACTCTACGAGTTTCTTATTTTTTACCTTTTCCCATTCATCAGCCGGAATGTCTTGAAATAGATTACCAATATTTGAATCTAAGTCACTGTCGTCGACATTCACCCCTTGAGTACGCTTACTTTTTTTGTTGTCGACTTGTGGACTTGTCACAAATGACGATTTGGCAGTTTTCTCAGTTGTTTTACTTGGCGATTTCGAAGTAGTACTTACGGACGTTTCAACCTCTTTGACAGATTCACCTTGAGTTAGTCCTCTGGTTGAGTCTGGAACAATTGAAGAATTCGTATTTTTAATTGTACACAGAATCTCATCTCCTTTGCAGCTCTCATTCATGCGGATCGGCGAATCTGTGACTGACGATTTCTCGTTTGGATCAAAAGAAATATTTCTGATGGATATTGTATCTGACATACTGCAGTCTGTGACATACTCATTTAACTCTGCAGTAGTATCTTTCGTTGGACTCTCCTTCTGAGTACTCGCATCTTTTGGTATTTCAACATCATCTTCCTGAATATTCTCTGGCAGCTCACTCTTGTTTATAGGAGAACCACTTTCTAAATCGCTTATATTTAAACTAAGTCTTTTCTGTTGAGAGTCTGTTGAATGTTCTTGCACAACCTCACCAACTGTTCTTCTGGAAGATATTGTTTTGCTTTCTAAATTAGTAAGAAATTTTTCACGTAGCTGGCAAACTGTATTAGATTTCATTATTGCCGATAATGGTTCGGAACTCACTGCAGACATGTCCTCTGGATCCGCATCTATTTCCAATTTTTCCATTTCTGAGACCTCATTTAAGTTCTGTTGCAATTTCACAGGTTCACTATCTTCATCATTTTCGTTCGTTCGTTCGCCATCGAGTTCCATTTTGTCTAATTTCACAAAAGCGTCCTTCAAGACTACGTTTTCTATTTCCTGGAAAGTCACTTTATCGTTTGAAAGATCATTTAGATTTTCCACGGTGATTTCGTCGACTTCCATCGGTTCGGAATGGGATTCGATTTTTTGAGAACTCAAATTTGAAGACTCTTTCTCTGTAGCACTGTTCTTCAGGGAATGTCTTCGAGTTAAAATCTTCGATTTGGCGGAATCAGTTTGTTCCGAATTGTCAAAACTTTTACGAACAGTAACTGTTTCCTCTGGCGTGTTTTGAAACTCTGAAATATTAGACAGAAGTCGATCGTCCGCAGACAAATTATGCTTTTCTTTCGAGGGCGTCTCAAGGAGTGATCTCAATGATTTTTTACCAGTCGATACGACGTTGGTTATTGTCTCTAAATTTCGTTCGAACTTTATGTCAGTAACATTTCCTTTTTCATTCTCCTTATTGCCAGGACTCGTTTCTTGTTTTCCAGTTGATTTATTAAGTAAGCTTTCTATTTTAAGGCCCAATTCCTTAGAAGTCTCTTTCAGTGTTAGGGAATGACGTTTTGGCGGAGTCGCAGATATACCTTTATTGTTCACTATGGTTTCCATTACAGTTGTTTGTACTTCTACGATGGTCTCGATGGGAATGGAATGATCTGACATCGTCGGTGTTGTCAACTTTGTGTCTGCTGGCGATACATCACTTGGGGATGCTTCATCTCTTAGTGAAAGTGATTTTTCAGAGGATTCAAAGACTGAATCCTTGGCTGCAGTAAATTGAAGTAAATATGTAAATGACTGGCGCCCATAGGAAATCCGCGTACAATTTTTTTAAGGGTTAAAAAAATATTCATTTGCAACTGATAAGACAAAACAAGACAGGATCATATTTAGAATTTAGATTATTTCTGTTCGGTGCAACTTACCGAGTGACTCTTCAACGGGCATTTCTTCGTCCACTGCCTCCAAGCTAGTATTAGCTGACATGGATTTGGATGTTTTCTTGATAGAGGATGATGATAAGTTATCGGATTCTATCGTAAACAGAAATATAAATATTAAATCGTTCTTTGCTTTAAATCATTACAGCGGAATCTAATTCACACACCATCATGTTTTGATGTAACAGAATCGGAAACCTCAGGTATGGCACTTTTAACTTCTTCAGCTTCTTCTGCTAAAACAGGTTCTGATGGCATTACAGATGCTCGCCTACGTGTTTTGGTATTAGTAGGTACTGTTGTTGACTGAGAATCTGATTCTTTTTTCAATAATGTATCGATAGGATGTTCAGATTCCACAGAGCTAGCTCTAGTCCTGCGAGCTCTTACAACTGGTGGTGTAGACTTAGACTCCGAACCGGCTCTTAAAGAACGTCTGTGAACAGAATGAATAAAGACATATAAAACCATTCTGGAGAAAGGACAAAATTGTTTATCAGTAATTGCTTACTTAGCGTGAACAGTAGATTCTGGAGAATCTGCAATCTGTGCTGTGAGGCTTCTTCTTGTTGAACGTTTCTGAGGTGTGCCAACATGAGACTGTAAATCTGATACCTCGCTAACATCAGATGTAACAGAGTTTTTCCTGGATCGTAATATTCTGGATGGTTCACTAGCTCCAGATTCCATTGTACCTGTACGACGTCTTGTGCTTGGACCTGTATTACCTTCGGTTACTGATTCTGGAGATGATCCATCCTGATGGGCAGGACGTCGAATTCTGCTGCTACGTCGTAGAGGAGAGCTCGTGACCGAGGATGCTACGATTCCTCGAGTTCTGCGGCCTAACAGAAGAAAACTAAAGATTTACACATTCGTAATGAACAGCCGGTTACATGTTTGACATTCTCCAAAAAAGAATTATTAATACCAAATAACGTAGATTTGAACAGCCACCGGCGTTACTGATATATGTATATATGAAATATACTAAAGTTGCAAGACAATGCCCAAATATCGCTAAATATTTAGTGCCTTCCAAGACGGTCACGACCGTTACAAAGTATTCGGCCAAGTTCGTCCTGCGCATGCAACAAATAAAAAGAGATAATACAAACCGATCTTCGTTTCCGTATCGTCATCTGAATCCTTAAATACACGCGGCATCTTTACGATCGTTTCCAGCACTAATCGAAGAACAATACCGCGTATAAATTAAAACAAATTAAATCTCTGTTTTAAGATTCAATCCTACCGACACGTGTTCGTAAGAAATTCAACCATTAAACTACTATTTTTCCGGTATTCCGCGCGCCAATGGCTCACTTTAGAATATTACACTAGTGACATCTTATGGTTCCAGTGCAAAATATATATATTCTGAACTTAAGGAATGGGTAAGCCCGGCAAAATGAAGGAAAATTCTGGTAGAAGCAAAGGTCGGTACTGGATGATTTTAGTCGGTAAATAACTAATTAATAATAAGTCAAAAATTGCAATTAGCACTATTTAAAATTTTAATTCACTATACCTGATAAGTAATAACTTTTCCTATTTTTTCTATTTGTACATATATAATGATCACAATAAAGAAGCACCCTTGGGGTGACATAATCCTTAGTGCGTCTCTATACCACTTGTAGCGCAAGTGTTCCAAAGCTTATAGTTTATATTTGTTCATTCTAGTGAAGATTCGCTGATTTTCTTGAAAAATATAAACCCTCGATGTTCGGAAATAGTTCAAATTAAATAAACCTGGTATGCCATGCATCATATTCCAAATCATATCCTAGGTAACACATTATTCCATCCTTAAGAAGTAAAATCGAGAATTATGCGTTTTAAACTCACAGGCGCCATATTCATTCTGTTCAAACAAATATGTACACTTGGCTTTCTTATAGCATTTTATTTTCGAAGAAACAAAATATTATTTTTAGTTATTTGTAAGTAACGATATACTTCCCACAATTAGTAACATATTTTTTGAAAATAATACTTGGTTGTTTCTTCAGGCGGTGAGATTTTTTTTAGGTGTTTCGAAGTCACACTTTAGGGATTTTTTCTCTTCTAAAGTTTCTAAAAGGTCTAGTGGTAAGTGTCGACCAGCAGATAGCACATATATGTGCCATGCCGGCCGTGGGGGGTGATGGACAATTTTTTTAGAAATATTAGCACTTAGGGGGTTTCGAGGGGTTGAGTGGTTACCTAGAACAGTATTGGTTTATATTTATTTGGAAAATAATGAAACTACCCCTATAGGAACCGAACAACCCCTTTTTTCACAGTCCTTTACTGCGTACTAGTATCATGAGTTTTACACTCTATCTTTGGATTTTTATTAGAGTCAGGTTCTGGTCATGAATTGAGCCAGGCTTCCCCTTAGCATCACCCAGAGCTAACGACGTGGACGTGGGAAATATGAACCCCCTTTTTCTTCTGTTTTTTTTTTGTATTCTTTTTTTAATATCTGAAGTTGACCTCCAAATGACCTTGAAGGTCATAGTCAAGGTCCAATCCAAGGTCACCGTTGATGAGCAAGAGAACAATCCTAAAACTTTTGTATGAAACATTTGCTTGTCAAATGCATCCCAGGCTGCAAAGAAGGAGTGGAAAAATAGGGGTTATTTGGCTCCTAGGAGTGTATTTTATTCTTTTTTAAAGGGTGGACATACTTATATACCCTCTAGAAATATTGTGTGTATATACTGAATGGTTTTATACATATTAACCTTAAGTTTGGATAAATTTTATTCAATCATAATTGATGACACTAAAACGTGCCACTCCGATCGCCTGGAGGTTAAGAATCGTCCTAAATAAACAGCTATCCGTTAAGAAAGTACTTGTTAAGCAGTTAATGCCGATATACGATAGTTTTATATGAAAGTAAAAGAGTATCTCGTTTACTTTTATAGCCTCCCATTGCTTGAAATGTATGATATTTTTCTTTCCTCATTGCCTGTGTTCCCGAATTTATAACATATGTGAATACAGTTCCTACCGCAGCGGACGTTTTAACTCAATTCATCAATTTTCAAAAAATACCATTATAAAATGCTGTGCTAAAGTATCAAATCGACAAACATAAAGTTATCAAACAGCGACAAGAAAAAAGAGACTTGCATTATATTACTGCAAAGTGTCGAATATGACGTCATACAAGTCTCTAACTTGCATTTACTCACGCGTAGCATGCACTATAGCACGACAAAGATATGATATAAAAGAAACAATTCAAGGAGAAACCTCTTAAACTCATCCCTAAAATGATACTCCTGTACTGGCTCACCATATTATCCACTGATAAATCTTGTAACGTGATGCAATATAGAGTCTGTTTCTCGTCAGTCAGATTCACGTAGTGTCTCTAAATTTATTAAAAATAGAATAGATACTCCGTCCAAAAATTAAAGTGCATTAAATAATATACTATTTTATTGTTCGACAACTGTCCAGCTAACTAACTTACACTTATAACTTTATATCACATTTCGCTTATATCACTATTCGTGCACTCGATATACACTCTGTCCCCATTGCATATTCCATCATTGAATTTCAGTGTGCAACTTCAATATCTATTGTTCCATTCAAGTACTGTGCATCAAATTTTCAAAGTACTATTTTGCCATAGTAATTGTGCTGTTATACAGAACATTATAAAGAAATACATAAATGATATTGCTTTGAACGAATGTAAAACACTATTATATAACATACTATAACATAACCTTTAATTTCATTACACAATGAAGTGCCAATATCACTGTTGAAGCCTTTTTTTTAATGAATGACTAAACAATTCCAGGCGATGATATTATCCAAGAGAAGGTCAATAATCCCATTAGGACGATTATCCTTGTTATCATCATCTGATACGTATGGGGTGCACCACCAATGAAGGACGTACAAAGCGTCGTTCGACCAGTAAAGCGACCCTCTATCAGTCTACCGTTCTGTCGCTGACACATTATTGGCATCTACGAACATTCTCCAGCATTGCTGGGGAACCAAACCTTTGCGAATTAGAGAAATTGAAGGGAAACATATCGGAACGTGGTCCAATGTCTACCGGGAAACTGGACGATTGCGAGAGGAGGACTCTTTGTGAAATCTCTACTATCCGGTAATTGACCCGTGCTTTTGAACGCTCCAAGCTGTGTGATAAAATCCTTCCTAATGCTTCCTGATACTACGGCTTCTGATTTCCAGGACTTTCGAAACGCCCACGTGATACTATTGAACTGATTTTACACTTAACATTTCTGTATACATGAGTGCACAGAATAGTATATAATTGGGGTACGTATATGGCATTAGACAGATATCGGTGCAATGTACACGTATTATATGTACGATTAGGATGCGTCAAAGCTAATAATCGGGATTACGAATTTATCGTAGATTGCCTGATATAAGTATAAATGGGTTTGTTGTTACGTGGGTCAGTGCTGGTTTGTTCGACCACTATGTTTATACTGGTTTAGATCTGATTAGCTTGCAATTAGTGCCTCGAAACGTTCTGAAGGTCCGGAATGGTATTTGACCTATATTTTAATTTTTTTAAATTGTATAATATATCTATAGTATAGTGATATCAAAAATATTAAAACCAATGGATATTTGGAATCTAGCTTATCCGAAAGATTATCCAAGATTTTTTTTGAAGGATTAAAAGAAATCGACCGCGAGGAAAATGATGTATATAGAAGATGGTAAGGGTGATGGGTAAAACCCGGGTAATTTTACTCTTGTGGAATTCGCGCGGCTCACGGAAGCGGACGGCAATTTGACGCGAATGAGCACGGACGGGAAAATTGAAAAGGTAATTTAACGAATCCACAGCCCATTGAAAAGCCCATCCCTGTTATATGGATTAACGTCTAAGGAAATTTTATCTCTCAGATTATCGATACCCATACATTTCGTTCTGTACAAGGGTACAGAATGTTATGAATTAAAAAAAAAAGAGTAATCACAGATTCGATGAATAAATAAAACTAATAATATTTCCAACGAAATCCTTAAGATACTACCAACGCAGTCTGTTTATAATAATTTTAAACCTAGAAGGATAACATTCAAATAGTAAAGTTTAGTCCCAAGCCCAATATATTTTCAACTGAGGCCAGAAACAGGTTATCTTTCTAGGGTAATTGAAATTTAATAATATTTCCATGGGCGTATAACTTCACAAATTAATGTATAAGAATCCTTATATTTTTATCATTGACTATATTTTTCTACTTTTTGAAATTTTTTTAATTATAACTCGACATCATATGCTGTACCACGTGCGTGCATAATGAACCCCAGGTAAAATGAGAGTTTCGTTAATAATGGATAGGGGGGCCAAAGGGTGAAATTCTAATTAAAAACGTACTCTAGTTTACATAATACACACACGTGTTCACCTATGAGCATATGAGGGTCTGGGTCCACTATCGGCATACGACCGTCACAGTTCTTGAAACTATTATTACCAGTAACATGAGCAATGCCAGCTGGCGTTGGGTCAATCCTTCGTGTCATTATTATTATACGACGATACTATGCATGGGGGTATTCATGGAAAGCGTGTTCGGACGTTTAATCGAAAATTCGAACGATCGAAGTACCTCCGATGGTCAGTGCCAATGCGAATAGGTTGCGCCTATGCAGGGAAACAGGAAAGCACTATATAACACAAGGGACACTCGAATTTCGTTAAATTCAAACCTGGAAGTAACGAACCGAATCTATCTATTCGTTTCCCAGCGCAATTCGTCGAAACTGGATAGTAGCAAATTACCTAACCGGATAGCAGTGTAATTAATTGAATTATTCAGTATTTAACAGAGGTCCTAGTTATCTGTATATCTCTCAACTATCAGGTTCAGCTGACAAAAATCATCTTGACTAGAAACACGAAGGCTGTGCGTATAATATTATTTGCTAATTTTGGAAAGTTAAGGGTAACTTATTTAATAGTCCATTAACTCCTGAATTCACTCATGTGGCAACGGTCTTAAATTGCGAATAGGCCGACGTGGATCGTGTTAATTTGAAAATCAATTCCGATCAGCTTGGTTGGAAGCAGGGTAGCTCCACGCAAATGTCACCACAGCTGGTGCAATAGGGGTAGGATTATCCGTTTGACGCGATACCAGGGCCGTAGTCATTGCTGGCAATAAATGATTCTCCTGTGTTTTCCTTTTATAGCCTAGAAATTTATCCTCCTGGATTTCTTGTGATAACGTTAAAGGTGAAACTCTCTATGGGGTCTATACTATAGTATTCAATGAGCCATTCTAATAGGGTAGTCCATCGTATACATCCACCTCTTAAAATATATATACCTATATTATATATAGTGAGAGGACGAATTTTCCTAGGCTCTTCCTGGCGTTCCTACGGGAATACCAAGAGGAAGAAAAAGCATTCCAGGTCTCGAATATCGATCGACTCACTCCCATTAGCAACAGCCGCGTTTCCTTCGCTGCTAAAAGTGCACAGCCAAAGGACCTTCGATGTTCGTAATTCGATAGCCGATATTACATTTTGGCACGATTTTCATTTTGAACCTCTTGTCGGAAGCCCTCAGGCTTTGCCACTTTAAATCCACCACATTATCTGCGGCCCTGAGTTGGCCCCATGAACTTTGCGGGTCCGACCTCTTGTCTGACTACAGGATCGGATATTCGCTATAATTATGGTCAAATGAAATGCAAGAAGGATCCTTGCTTAAATTTGCAATATTGCTATCGGGCTTTCGAATTCTTATGTAAATTGTCTGCTATACCTATGTATACTATATACCTATACTTATAATCAATAACTATGTATTCCCTTAACCACTTTAATGCATAAATTTTCAATCTTTCAGATAATCTCAATTTTACATATTTTAATTTATTTTCTTATTTTTTTCTTTTTACCTGTACTGTAATAGAAATAATTTGGCAATGATGATGCTTTCGAACCTGGACTATTTGTGTTCGGTTGATTTTAATTGCTGCTTGATCGATAATTGCTCATTTTTTAATTTACAGTTCATGACAATGTTGATATATTGTTTTTTGCAATAAACAAGTGCGAATATGCTCGACGGACACTTTAGCAAATGATTATTGCCTTATGTTAGCATATGGTAAAACATTGTTCCCGGGAGTGCTGGTTGTCACGCGACATTTCCTCGACCTGTCTGGTCTATCGTGTCCCTTGAACATCTACTATATTTGTATGTGTATGAACGCGGTGGGATAACGTGTCAGGTTCGGATAATTCAGCCCGTTATCGGTCGGACGTTTCCCACTCATTGGAATAACAGAGTAGCTCGTTTGATTGTCATGAAAACGCACCGATGACATTAGGAAATCTCAATAGGGATCGTACAATCAATATATAAATTCTAGTCACTTTGCCAAGTGCTGTTTGCAAATTGTCGAGTATTCACGACCTGGTACTTCGTCCGGACGTCAACGGTTAAAACTCATGAACAAAGCTACTGGTATGCAGTGGCGATATAACAGTACGGGACATAGGACGCGATCTGTAAATTGTGTTTTGAGGTTCGTAAGAACAAAAAACGATAAATGAGAACGAAAAAGATTGGAGTCAAGAATGTGACAAAGAAGGGTACTGAATATATTTGAAAAATCTTTTGTAATATTTTTAAATACTTTAACGGTGATTACCTGCATTCGTGACAGTACCATTGAGCTGTGTCGCTGTAAGAACTGATTTAGTCATTCAAGATTATTCTTTGACTGATTTATTCTGGATTTTCTTTCGTACAAAGCCTTTGAGTAATATGGAACGTTCCTTAATTGAAAGGTAAAACAGTGGTATAATATTCTTTATCAGGAAATACATGTTCGAATAGGGTTGTTCGGATCTATTACGTAAGCTAAGTTTAGCTTAACCGTTTATTTTATACAGTAGAACCAACTTCAGTTGGCACGAATGTTCTAAATAAACCAGTAAAACTAGAACAATGGAGGATATATAAAAACTTTTTAACAAAAATGCTATATAGATTTATGATCCCATTTCTATGTGCTTTACTGCCGTTAAGCGTGCGATGTTGTGTCAATGATTAGGAAAAATATACGTTGGCGCTATGACATAAAAAAATAAAAACAGCTCCGACTGATATTTACTTTATTGAACTATATATGGAAGGTGGTGAACAAGTAGTGCTAAAGGTCAAGGGTTGGTGATAAGACTGATAAGAGAATTAGAAAAGGGCGCCCCAACTGTCCTTTACCTTGCTGATTCTCGCTCCTTCGTTTTCATTTTCTAGCCACCAGCAGCTGGTTCTTCTATTGGCTGCCATGTCTCCTCCGAACTTTTTGCAATCACCTCGTAGCAGAATGGCCTTATTGCTCATCGTCCACGCCTCCAAGTTCTTCCGTTAAACCCGAAAAATTCGACACTGGGGGAAAAGAAAGAAAAATCGTATGATATATGTCTCCTATCTCTTAAGGTACGACAGCTGTTCCAGGTTATGATACTCGCTAAGGAACGTTCAGTCTCCATAATCCTACATTATTGCAATTAGAATCACATGGCATTAATCTTCCCTTATATCTCTTAGGATCGTAATATTCAAGACCGTAGCTACTCAGCTCACACTTGCACTGTGAAAAGACCACCGACCATTAACAACGAGGTAGTTATAGTCTCGAGGACGTTAATAGGCGAAGGGCTTAATTGTCAGGTTTCACTAATGGCTCTGACCGGTCCTAACGCTCTTGGATCTCGTATTTCTCCTAGGAGAGAAGGACGTACCATACTCAGCCTGGGAAATTCAGAGTAGCTTACAAAGTACCCTGATCGACCATCAAATGGCTGTGGTAAGTTATACTGCTGATTTGTTTAATCTATGCATCTTTTTTTCTTTTTCTTTCTCCCTTTTAGTCAAAAATTCATATGAGTATTATTGGCGCTTTTTCGTGATGCTGATTTCTTGGGTGATATGTGTGATTATGCTGTTTTTGAAACAGAACTGTATGATTGCAGACAGTTTCGGTTGCATTGGTCAGAATTAATATCAGGATATAAAGGTTGATGATTAAATTAATTGGTAAAAAATTAACTAAATATTAATAAAAAGGGGACTGACTGATTTATTTATAAAGTTATGTAATGCAGTGCATTATTATACATTGATTGATAAGAGCGTTACAGCACTGAACAGAAATGAAAGAAATGATGAAGCAAACTTGAATGGTTAATCAATCAATTGAAAAATAGGTTACTATCATTTCGAAATAAATTATTTAATTTTATAAAAACAATGATCAGTTTGAAAAAATATGCTGACTGGTTTAAGAAAGGGTTGTCTGATTGACCAAGTGACATGGCAGCTAAGGAACAGGCTGGTCAATTTAGAATGAATCCAATTTCAATTTTGAAAGACAGTAGTTCATTTTCGATTATGTTACTGGCATTGAAGAGAGAGAGATCGATATAGAAAAGCACTTTAAAACCAGTTTAAATTGATTGCTCGGTACATAAATCGTCATTTTCAAGACTATGCAATTTGATACTATATTTGTAGAGAGCGTTAACGCCTTTTTTGTCATGCGCCAAGTGTGCGTGCCGGTCTAGTGTTCTTAAAAATGAGATCCATTTACAGACTCATTCCATATAATTTGTATTTTCTCTTATCTCTCCGGAACAGCGAGGTACTCGATACGTGACAAGAGAATTGATCTCAGACGAATATAGTCTATTGCAATAGTAAACTTTTTAGAAAAGACCCTATCTAAAATGCGATGCATATACGATAGTACAATTTGACATTCATATATCGTATGCATCTCACGCTATTGGGACCTTCCCATCATAACTGTACTTTACTTTACGTACAGGAGTCCTGTGATAATTAAATGTCACCAACTTGCATTGTACCTGTACCAAGCCACGAAGGGATGGAGATTACTATGCTTCGAGCATGACAAAGTTGGACGCATCATCGGATGGAAAGGGTGAATGAAAGGCTAGGTTATGGAATGAGAAGCCAGGTAACTTTCCCGGTGAAGCTGTCTGAACTTGGTCCAGGTCTCCCTCACTACGCTTAACACCCTCACGGCATAATTAGGCTCGTCCCATGCGGTTTCGACCCGTTAAGCGTCGCTTACGTGTGAGAGGCTATCAGGAGACATGGCACTATATGCACGTATGTACATACGTTATACTATATGCACGTGGATGCATTCATATAGCCACGCATTACTTTGGCACGCTACAGGCAAGTAATAATGGCTACGATAATAGAAACAATACTGACATGCTCCCTGGTTTTAATGATCAGACGTAAAGTTCTACAATTAACGTTGACATTTATGTACTCTGTACTTTAGACAATATGTCATATTGTTAGATACCTATTGTAATGCTAAAATTATAAGGGTTGATACCGATATACTTATTGATTGATTCATGATTCATTGATTGGTTGATTCATATAGCCACACATTACTTTGGCACGCTACAGACAAGTAATAATGGCTACGATAATAGAAACAATACTGACATGCTCCCTGGTTTTAATGATCAGACGTAAAGTTCTACAATTAACGTTGACATTTACTCTGTACTTTAGATAACATGTAATATTATTAGATACCTATTGTAACGCTAAAATTATAAGGGTTGATATCGATATACTCTATTAACTTTTATTTTTTTTTAGGATGGTAACGCTGTTCTTCGGTACAGTGCTAGCTATTAATATAAGCTGTTTTTTCATTTATGTCACGTTAAGAACTGTACTCTATCGGTACGTGGAGGTATAAAGAGGGTGGTATAGGAGGGACATAAAAATAAGGTCAGATTTTACCGAGGGTGGATAGGATATCCGCTTATCGCTAGTAGCAAACTCTAATATCAGCCCCATTCCAACGTCCTGAGAAATGAGTGCCCTTCTCTGGCGAATTCCCTTCTTGTAACTCCTTCCTCCTACCCCTTTATCACCGTCCCAATGAGAAACTCTGATCAAACAGAAAAGATTCGTCTAAGACGAACGTGTGCTCGATCGGTGCTCACTCTGCCGTGTGAAAATATTTCCGTTTGTTATTACTTCAGACTACCCCGATTGATATGCATATTACACGTGCACATCTCTCAACCTACACTATTGCCAAATTCTTTCTTTACTTTAATATTAGTTCAGATTTTTCTTCGGGGTATCCGTAATACCCTCAATTTATAAGGAAAGTTTCTCGCCTATTGTGTATCTTATGTTATGTTGCTTCAATCAGAATCCACAGCGATTTCTGAGGGTAGCTAATATACCAAGTAGGAATGCGAACAGACTTTTTTTAATCACAATCTCGAGTAACTTAATTTTATTTTTATATAAGAGAATCCGTCAAACTAATTTTAAAGAATGGTAGTGGTCAATTAAAAAAACTCTTATAAAATAAGCTTCGGGCTTGAAAAGAATTTTGAGGCAAAAAGTTATTTATTCAGGTTTCTTCCGTAATGCCTGGCGCTGCCGGCGGTTGGTTCTCGTATTCCTGTTTGAGGGTTGAAGCGGATCCGAGGGGTGGAAACGCGAAGTAACCCTGCGCGGCTGGTCGCGTAAACGCGGCGACTTGTTAGTTCACGTTCGCTATCCTGCGAATCCGGACGTCTTTCGCCGTTACGTAACTCCATTGTAACTTTACAGTTTTTATCGTCTTAAAAATCGTCGCTCCGCTTCCTGTTTGTTTTTCCTTTATTTCGTTACTTGGGGTGGATCAAAATTTTGGTCGGGATGAAGTGATCATCGTGGGACCGAGTGAAGATTCAAAAGGCGGGCCAAAAGAATGGCACGAAAACTCGACGCTTCCTTTCTGGCCCTGTTGCTACTTACGACTGTCGCTTTCGCAGTTGGTGAGTTTATCTATTTTTAGATTTTTATCGTAAATCCTTAAACCCTCTCTCCAGAGCCAGCAGGTTATAATTTTAATGTCAACGAAACGTTATATTACTTTAAGAACAAATAATAATCTAAGTATGTAATTCTTTAACGACTGAACATTGTTTATGCTTTATTATCAAAGCCTGTTAAACTTTCATTTATTATTGTACAAGTTAACACGTATCCTTAGGACACATAGCCTTGCAATGTAACTTTATAAAGCTTTCAAAGCACTAGGTCATGCGCTTACACGAATATCACCTACACTGAATCGGCTTTCGTGAATAATAAAATAAGAACAAGATCAAACAAATTCCAAACAACGTGAGTCACGCGAACGACGAGAAAGAAGCCTTCTTGGCAGAGGGCTACCAAAATTTTAACCATTCCCTTTGGTGGCACTCTATCGCTTCTTCCAACTTCTGGACGCAGCATCTTGCGCGTTTACTGCTTATACAAAGACTACGTAATTTGCTCGGCGTTGAACAGTCAGCAGTGAGAGGTCCTTTTGGAACTGTAACAGCGGATTTCACTGCGTTACGTAAGTCAGTTGGGTATAATATTCCAAGAAAGAGGTACCGCTCCAGTATAGGATTTCCAACAAAGAAGGACCTCAACTACGCTTCTCTCCTGGCAGTCAAAGAAAATAGTAAAACATCTAGACTGTGGAAAAGTTTGCCAGGAAAACTTCCCAGTAACCGTGAAACGTATTGATGCATCCTTACACGAGTTTCCAGGAAATCGATTGGATATCAGCAAAACTTATTGAAAATGCACCTGAGTTTTGGCATTTATACGATGGTGACGTTGCGCTATGCTTCTCTTACAGTGATGACAGAAAGCGTATAGGAAGAGAATAAATATTAGCTGGGGTGTTTTTAATAAGGTTAATCAAAATATGAATAATTCATATAAATTTTGATTGGACCGCTGCCTGTAATTTAATGGTCAACTGTATACCTCATATTTTTCCATGGATTACATCGCACATGACGTAATTATATTACAAATTTTTTTATCCATTAAAGTTTGGTCGTCCAATTACTCGTATATCCTACCAATATGTGTATGCTTTTCAATATAATAAATGGTTGATACGTGCATCATATGTACATGCATCTACATAGGTGAATTTTTAATGGATGATATGGAAGGGCTCCCAGTATCCGGCAGAATTCTTTGAAAATAAACAAATCGAAAAGTTTGAGCGGAACTATCGTACTGGCTTTGAAACGGGATTGTCCGGAGGAGCCTGGGTAATCCCGCGGGAGCCGCTCGACTCTTTCTACAAATATTTACGAAAGGGCAAACTTAAAAACGATCCCACGCAAAATACGAGATCGTGATTAAAAAAATAGCTGCCAGGATCCACACGGATCCTTTATGCGAAAGAACAAAAAAAATATATTTGTGAGTAAAACGGATAAGCCTACCACAGCATGAGAATAAAAGAATATTTTTCAAACTCAAATAAATCTCAAGTAATTGCGTATTAGGTTCGAGTCTGATTAAAATGTGCGTCATTGTTTTTTCTTATCGTTAATGAGAATAATATTAAGTCGCAAAAATTTGGACTGTACTTAAAAATTGTGAAGAATTCGTTAAAAGGTGACACACTGACAAATAGATTGACCTTAGGGCACAGCCGTTCGGTTTGTGCTTTGACGTTTCACGCGTAGAAAATAAAAATGGTATTGAAAGTAATCGCGCATGCGCAGAAACTTTTTTCTATAATACAGCAAATATATTCAGGAACTTAT